ATTTTGAATTAATCCTAACCATCAAGAAGATCTTCCAAAATGAAATTAAGCATTACAATCGTTGGATGTCACTGTCACAATGACCTCATTTCTCCTGATGTAAACAATGGGATGTGCAAGTTGGCATCTCATCAACTTTATTTTATTATTATTTTATTGGAGCTTTTATTTTGGACCGTCAAAATCTCACCTCTTAAGCCTAATGCTAGATATTTATTTTGCAATTTATTTGTCATGTTTGAAGATTAATTGATTGTTTTTATTATATAAAATACAATGTCCGAAAGGGTATGAGATAATATTCTAGATTATTTGGAAAATAAAATAAAATCACGGCTAGAAATAAATGAGAATGGTCAAGGATTTTATTATGGCTTATCGTTGTTTATGCTGTGAAGATTTTTAAGATTTTTAAATTTTATATATAAAATATTAATTTGATACGATATTATTATAATAAAAACAATAATTTTCACATTTTTTAGAGATAACACGCATTTTATTTTTATTTATCATGTGATAAAATTATCCTTTATTCAGACTTCTCTTTTTATTATTATTATTATGAATATTCCATAACTTTTGGGTATATGGTACTAATTTCATTTTTGAATTTTGTAAATATCTTTATCATAGATATATATATTTTTTAATCTTGCAGAAATTCGTCCTCTAAGCTTAAATGTCTTACTTATAAGTCTATCTTTGAATAATATTTTTCTAGATCAGGCCCATGGCCTTATCTACAGAACAAATTAATAAAAATAAAAATTTTTTAAAAATTATTTTTTTAAATATATGGTTAGAAATATTCTATTTTATAAAAAAAAATTACGCTTTTCATCCACTTACGCCAATGTTAAAAAAAAAAATTTTAACAAAAAATCTATCATGAGCTGGTTTTGAGTGAATGAAGTGTACATATAACTAGTGGTTTACCTGCCTTTGATACACAAATAAAAATATCAATTTTTTTTTTTTTCGAGTTTGGTTGTTGTAACGGTTCATAAAATGGGAGTAAAATAATATAAGATGTGGATGTTTACTTGATACATGAATAACATATTTATAGAAAATTACTTTTTTAGGTTGATAAATATCATTCTATTTTTACGTTTATTTGTAAATATGTAATGTAATATAATTAAAACACTGCCACCAACACCACTCCACCACCACCACCACATCATTATTAATACAAAAGAAATATCTGAATTAAAAACTATTTATTATATTAAGCTATTGAGATTATTCAGATTTATAAATTTATTTGAACTAAAAAAATTAAAAGAAACTATTTATTTATTAAAGCTATATGAGATTATTCAGATTATAAATTTATTGAACTAAAAAAATTAAAAGAAGGTAAGCCCAAAAAAATGGTTAATTTAGGAATGATCATTTGGCTAATCTCGGTTAAATTTGAGTAAAATTTTTAATTGAAAATTAAATTAAATTAAAAATTTTTTACTTACAAAAGAAATATCTGAATTAAAAACTATTTATTATATTAAGCTATTGAGATTATTCAGATTTATAAATTTATTTGAACTAAAAAAATTAAAAGAAGGTAAGCCCAAAAAAATGTAATTTAGGAATGATCATTTGGCTAATTCGGTTAATTTGAGTAAAATTTTTAATTGAAATAAATTAATTAAAAATTTTTTACTTAACCAAATTAATTTTTTAACCGAATCATTTTGTCCGAATTAATTTTGATTATTAACCGAACTGAAATTAAAGAAAATAAAAACTTAATCAACCGACTGAAATAAAAATTAACTGAAGTTATTAATTACTACTTAATCAAAACGACATAGTTTTGAGAGTCAATTAATTTAATTAACTAGGTTAAATTAATTTTTAACTGATCACTGAAATTTTAATTTTCTTTAATCGAACTTTTAACCGAACATTTGTTCACAGAACCAAATTGGCTGAATTAACCGAATTAATCAAATTAATCGAATTAGCCGAACCGAATTCTCACCCCTAATGTAATATAACAAAATAAAACTTAATTAAGTCATTAGAAATTAACTTTTTTCATATATTTTCATTGAATAGATTAAATTATAATATAAAATTATGAGTATTTTGATCTTTTTAATGATTTTTCTTATTCTTCCTATTTCTATAATAAAATAAAATAATAAAATATAATTTTTATTTTGCGTTGCATATTAAATACCAATATATAATTTTTCTTATATGGTGGTGGTGATTGTGGTAGCCGTGGTAGAGTGATCGAGGTCATGATGGCAGTAACGCAAAGTGATGGTTGTGGTTGTGATGATGGTGGTTGAGGTGGAGGTGGTGTGATTGGTGGTTAGGGTGGTGGTGATAGTTGAGATAGAGGCGGTGGAGGAGCGATGGTGAGGTAGCAGTGATGGTGGTAAAGTGGTGGAGCAATGGCAGTGGTTGAGGTGGAGAAACGATGGTGGTTTAGGTGGTGGAGCAGTAGTGGTGGCGGTGGAACGATAATAGTGGTGGTGGAGCGGAAATGGTGGTGGTGGTGAGAATGGTGGTAGTTGTGGTGCAATGGTGGTGGTGGGAGTGGTGGTGGAGATGGTGGCAGGGGTAGTGGAGTAGTGGTTAAGTGATGGTGGTAGTGGTGGCGTTGCGGTGGTAATAGAATGGTTGAGGTGGTGGTTGTGGTAGGGTTAAATAGCCTTAAATGATAAAATTTTTATTGGAGTAACTTGATATAATTGGTATTACATGTACTTGATGTAATAGACAATATATATATATATATTTTTACGTAATGAATATTACATCAAATTAATTAAAGAAGATTACACATCAATTATATTACATTATCTAAAAAAAGTCTAATCAATCATGTAATGTAATCCTTGTTCCATTACATCATTGATTTCATCATACAAAATATGACTTAAGTTCAATTCTAATTTGTGAAAATATTTGAAATTTTTGGTTCAATTAAATTCTTAAAAATCTTAAAATAATGAAAAAATTAAAAAATAAACCAAATCATATCAATTTGATAACACAATTTTAACTTGATTTATATATTAAAAATTTATTGAATTTGTATGATATAATTATTATAGAATATAATGTTAGAGCTAAGTTGAAGAACATCATTAATGCAATGTTATCTTCATATTATGCGTGGCTTGCCATTTGCACTTTAGAAAATAACGGTACAAAAAAAATATTCAAATAATAAAAAATTCCATAAAATGATAAAAGACAACCTTTTTTTTTTCCATATTTTAACCTAATTTATTAGGATTTTGGAGTTGGATTTTTAGTAACTTACAATAAGATCTTTGTTTTCCATTTAATGTTTATTTTTCCTTAAAAAACTTTAAATGAATTAATGAAATTTAACAAATGTCGCATTTTGTACAAACATGTACTATAAGAGAATAATTCCAATGCACTTGTTATACATATTTATCATATGGGCTCAATTCATGCATTCTTTTCTCATGTTCACATTCATCCAACAAAAAAATTGAATATAAAAACAAATAATTTACCTTTTACAGCAAAAAAAAAAAAAAATTTGGAAAGTGAAAAATGACCAAATATTTAAATTCACTTCTGAATTTTACAACTTTAGTTACTTGGTACTTTAAATTTTATAAATAATTCCTCTCGATAATATTTTACATCTTTTTATATTAAAAATAATTAAATTTTAGGATTTTTTTATTTTTATATGTAAAATATTAATTTATCATGTAATTAACATAACTTTTAAAACAATAATTTTTACATTTTTCAACAATATAATATGTGTTTAATTGATTTAATGTTACAAGTTGAAATTTTTAATAAAATGAGTTTACAATGCTGGATAAATATAATTTTATAAATTTAGATGTTTGATGAGTTAAAATAAAAATTGAGAGTTCTATAAAATTAAAGTAATAAATTTAAGAGTAAATTTATTTCGCAGGTTTTAATTTCAAAATCGTCCGTTTCAATTATAAAAATGTGAAACTGAAATTAAATCGTTTTTAGGTATTTTTTTTAAGATGTTTTAAAACCATTGATTTCATTTTGTCTCGGTTTGAAATCAAAATTGAAATCAGTGGTATTTTATTTTCTTTTAAATTTGTAACTTGAATAAATAATAATAATTAATATTACTCCTAAAAAATAAATCATTTTAAAAAATTCCTAAATTTTATTTTAAAAAATATAATAAAATAAAAAATAAATTGAAATTTTCTTTAACAATATGTTTTCACTCACTGATTTTAAATAAAAATCATTAATTTTAATTTTTAAAAATTGAAATCGAATCTTAAATGTACTGTTCAAATAAAAAATTATTAATCACAGTTTAATATTAATTTTGATAGATTCAATTTTAATTTGATCTAATTTCAATATAGAATCAAACTGTGGTTTAGTCGGTCTAGAATAGTAAAATAACAATTCTTTGAGAGAAAAAAAAAAAAGATATTTCAAAATTTAAGGGTATTTTTGACATTTGATACAAATACAGTTGTCCTTTCATTTTCTAGCAAAAAGGTCACAACGAAAAGACCATCACAAAATTTATCAAAAGCGCTATCATATCATGATTAGTTAATCACTAGTGATAATAAAAATTAACTAAGTTAATTAAATCTCCAATTTTTTACTCATAAAAAGTACTAAACAAATAACTGCCACGTGCCATGGCAGCCAGTCGAAGAGTCGGTGTAGACTCACGGTTCACTCAGCCAATTAAGAGGAAAGTGGCGGTTACGTTAACACGTGGCACTTTAAAAACGGCAATAGCAGTTCCAGATGTCCGTGAAACCAGCCGAGTAAGACTGTCAAAGTCACGGTTTCCTCTTACCTTCCAATGTGGGCAACTGACCCGGATCCGATCTAAACAAATCAAAACGTTCTTGTCTCATTCTCATTTCACTGGCTACCGGAATTTCCAGCTACCGCTCTGTGTCTCATTTTGTCTTTTTTGGCTCTTTACTGGCATTTACTCCGTTAGATTATTTCCCTTTTTTATTTGAAAATTAATTTTTTAAGACGTAGAGAGAGACAGAGAGAGAGTACCGAGTGTGTGTATATAAGAGACAGGGGGCTTCTTTTGTTCTGGTAAAGTGAAGCTACGGTTCGTACTTCGCTTTAAAGCTTCTCGCCGGAGTATTTCGCCGGAGTTTTAATCGTGAAAGAATTTATAGAAGAGAAGAGGAGCTTAAAATAATTATCGAGGTCGGTAAGAAAATCTTAGTATTTTATTATTGATCTTCTCTTTCGTTTTTCGTTTCTTGGATCTCTCTCAGTTTCATTGTTGTCGATTTATGTGCCCGTTGTGGTTTTTGAGCTTCGTTTATCCGATCCGATTTTCGTGGAAAAGTAGTGATTGGTTATGGAGATTATTAGTTTATTATTTAGTATCTGCAGCTTGAAAAGTCTGCGATTCTGATCTTATAATGAGAGAGATTTGGATGAGATTGGTTTGAAATTGTTGTTCATTCTTTGACTTATTTGGTTGTTTTGGTTGATTTTTCAGGTAGGAGAGAAAAAGGAGGAAAGTGAAGGAAAGGCTTTTATTAGATCCGTTGATTTTCAGAGGAATCGGATTCCATTTCTCTGTTCAATCTCTGTTTTGCTTTTTAAAGCTTTTTCTCTAAAACTTATCAACTTCTGCTGTTGTTTTTGAGGGCTTTTTGGAAAAATGGGAGTGAAAGTTGGTACATCTTGTTTTCAATGGCCACAGCCAATTATACCTCGTTCTTCGTCTGCTTCTCAAACTCTGGCCTCTGCAGTTTCATCTCCTTCCTCAAAAAGACGGTGCCGTTCTGATGTACCTGGAACTGCAGCACTCATGTGCCGATATGTACACAGACTAGACCAGTTTGCTCTGTTCGGCACTTCGTCAACAAAGCTCCACAGGTCTCGATCTTGCGAGCAGCCAAAATCAAGAGCTTACACTATCAAAAGAGCTTGCAGTGCAAGCATAGATGCCTTTTCCGACGAAGAATTTTCCAAGAAAATCGAAGAGCTAGCTCTCAGATTCCAACTCTCGGACGAAGAAGATAACAGTAACGAAGTCAATTCTAAATCAGATATGGTTTCTGATTCTAGAGATAATAATTATAACAGTGTAACTGAAGAATCTTCAAGTTTACAGTTTCCGCTGGATTCACTAGAGTCTCATTGGCTAGAAATCCAACAAGAGCCACCGGATTATATTATTCCGGTCAGTATTGAGCGGAAGGCGAACAGCGTAGACCTTCCACTTTCTCTTCGAATTATAAAGAGAAAGATGCAATGGCAAGAAGGATTTAGAGAAGCAGGGGAATCTGCTTATTGTTCAGTAAAAAAGGCTTTTTCTTCTATGGTGTTTATAATTCGGGAACTTCATAGCTTTACTCTGCAAATGAGGGAGTTACTATTCACTGAAGATATGCAAGGAATTATTGTCCGAGTACAGAAAGAAATGCACGCTTCTTTCGTTTGGTTATTTCAACAAGTATTTTCACATACACCGACTCTAATGGTGTACGTGATGATTTTGCTTGCAAACTTCACTGTACATTCCATGGGTAGCAACGCCGCCATTGCTGCCTCACCACCACCTGTGTCTTATTCAGCAGCCACTACTGAAAGTTTTTCAGCTGAAATTCAAGAAGAAGGAAATCAAAAGTTTGATTCTTCCTCAGTAAAGACGTTTTCAATATCTTCCTCGAATGGTAAATCAACTTCTGTTGGCGGTAACAATGGCGGCGGAGGTAAAATCCGGCCAGTTGCAAGCGGAACTGATGGTGACGGATTGTCGAACAGGTCAGAACATTTCAAAACAATCGTAACTGATGGCACTTCGCATTTAACGTCATTAGGAACAACAAGGGAGGCAGAGTCAGTATCAGGACAAACAACAAGAGAAGAAGAGTTAAGTCTATGGAATTCCATTGTAGATGAAGCTTCAAAATTGCAAGCTTCATTAAGAGATGATTCTCTTGATAAAGAAACCATTCAGAGATTTGTTTCACCAATCAAAGCAAACATTGAACCAGACGATCATACTGATTATTTCAGAACAGAGTTACTATATCAAACGGGATTATCTCAAGACCCTAATAATCCTCTTCTTCTTGCCAATTATGCCCAGTTTCTCTACCTAGTAGCCCATGATAATGACAGGTATTAATCTAATATCAATTCCTTTCTTCCCCAGTTAAAGTTTCAGGCTTTTCTGAAGAGAATTTTCTAAAGTATCTTATTGGTTTTTCCCCATTTGAATAGTCTTTTTTTGCATATATTTTGGCTTTGGTTTTCTTGTATCCATGATAGGGAATATGTGGTGTTCCTGCTATGCTAATGGTAGAAATATCAATATATGCGCGTTATTATTCACGCGCTTTTCACTTTAAAGATCCTCAACCTCTCAACCTTGCTTAAAAGTAGTTGTTGAGTGTTGACCATGAACTGTCTACATATTTGATTTATTGACTTTAGCTAATCTGGTTTAATTAATTAATTGTTTATTTTTTATTGTAAACAGAGCAGAAGAGTACTTCAAGAAAGCAATAGGAGTAGAGCCAGCAGATGCAGAGGCATATAGCAAATACGCGAGCTTTCTATGGAGAGTGAAAAAGGATTTATGGGCAGCAGAAGAAACATTCTTGGAAGCCATTAATGCTGATCCTACAAATTCTTATTATGCAGCGAATTACGCTCATTTTCTATGGAATACTGGTGGGGAAGACACGTGTTTCCCTCTTAGCTCCTAGCAGGTTTAATAATAATACACACAAAAATCCCCAGAAAAAGAAAATCTTGAAGAGAGGGAGATAAAAGAGAAGATGAAGATAAACCCTCCAGCTGTTTGTTTCCGCCGATCGGTGCAATAAGGGGAAAGAAAAAAAAAAGAAAAGAAGAGGAAGAAAATTTTAATTTTCCATTTGAATTTAAATTTAAATTATTTTTTTGATTGTTAATTGGGTGGGGAGAATATCCTGAAGAATATCTTGGAAGAAGGTGTGGAATGTGTATTGCGTTGTGGTGGTGGGGCGGTGTTTGGAAGCGGGTATGCACGTGACCGAGGATGGAGTTTGATTTACGAAGGAATGGTTGGGAACAGTCGCCATTAACATGGGCGTATCTTTCTGCTCTTTTACAGATCTCAGTTGGCGGATTTTGCAGTACAGTCTCAATTTTCAAATATGTTTTTTTTTTTTTTTTTAAATTTAGAGGACATAACCACATGGCAAAGTGTAATTATTCATTTTGTTAATATAATGCCATTTTTTATTAGGATGTTCTATTAAAATTATCAACATAAAGTCCACGTGTTTGGATAAAAACTAATAAAAATTTGGTTAATAGATTAATCAATTTACAGTTATTTACTAAGAACTGTTTTATATTCATCAATGCACCAAATGAATGGGAAATATTTATGAATGGAAATATTTCTGAACATTCAGATAAAAAAAATGTAAATTGGGAATAATATTAAAAAACCTCTATTGTGATTGATTTGGTCCATCGACAAGGGACCTTTTGTTTGGATCAGGGTACAATTAAGATGGATGTAAAATAAATAGTTAAAATTTAATGGGATTATCAAAATCTCATTTGGTTGGAAGTAAAATATCAATTAGCGTGTAAAATAAATTTAGTTTATACTCATTTTAACCTTATTTTCACTTTATTTTGGGAGAAAATAAATAGTAAAATTTTACATTTTTATTTTACTTTCCCTCTTCCCAAATAAAGCATGAAAGTCTAAGTAAGTTTTATCCTAATGGAAATATGACGAACAAATAATTTAACTAAAAATATGAATAATTGATGCACAAATTCATCTTTTTATATTATGAAAAGAAGGTCACTTTTACCTTTGAAGGGTGAAATAGGATAACCAGAATCTCTTATCCTTTAACCAATAGTTCGAATCTGAATTAATAGAACCAGTGGACTTCAAAATAAAAAAAAAAGGTCACTATTAGTATTAGTTTAATTCATTGACGACTCAACTTATAAATTTGTATTAGTAAATATTTCAATTTGCAGAAGTTTTTTTTATTGATTATTCTAACTTAATCACACATATATTAATATTTTGCATATAAAATTGAAAATATTAAAAAAAAAAATTAGTGCGAAAAACCTGATATTGCCAAAATTCACAATTTAGGAGTGTAATAAATGTTCTGTAAGGTTTAGAGTAGTTTGTTAAGCAAATTACATGAGTGGCAAACTATCAATGGTCGGTCACTTACCAATGAAGCTTGTAATTGTGAAAGTAAACAAAATAAAGTAACACTCAAAAGCTAATTTGGATAAAGGTTTTATAAAATCGTATGTTTGCGGCTTCCACTCTAAATAACTTGCATAAGCTTTTAAGTATATGATAACATCATTTTCCACCTCCTCTGTCATTAGAGCACATAAAATGGAACTTGTAATAAACTCAATTACTACAAGGCTAACAAGATGCACGTGCATTGAAAAGATAGGTAGTTGCTCGACAGTTGAGCTTTAAGTGTCACACTTTCCATTTTCAACTTTTTCATTTTGACTTTTTTTTCTTTACGTACCTACAGTATCGGGGGTTGCATTCTCCACATGCAAATGTTTTCTAATATTTAGGCCAAATCCGTAAATATACTTCAATACAAGTTACGAATTTTGTTAATCGTGTATACCTAAATATTAATAATAACATTTTTTTGGTGTTTTTTAATTTTTGTGCAAGATATTCACTTAACATGTAATTAATATAATATTTGAATAATAATTTTTATATTTTTCAACTATTTCATAAGTATTTAATTGATATAATTTTAAAAATTTAAGTATTCAATAGAATAATTTTTGTGAGTTGAAGTATTCAATCGATATAATTTTATAACTTGAAGTGTTTGGTAGATCAAAGTAAAGAGTTGAGAGTGTTACAAGACTTTTTACGTAGAGTATATGGATGAATTTATACATTAAGCCAATAATTTGAGATCAAAATGTTTAAAAAACATATAATTTCTCTGTCTCAAAATATAAACCTTATTTTTAGTTGATTATTAAATATAAGTCATTTTAAATATTTTAAGAAGTAGTAAATTATGTTTTTTTAATATTATAATTTTATAATTAAGATACGGTCAATGACATTTTTCTGATTTATTGAAAGGCCCAATGATTTGAAATAACACTACGGGCTATACGATAGGAGATGACTCTTCCGTGAACTCACCAGTTAATGAAAATACCTATGGTCAAGAGAATTTAACTCGAGAACAACCAGATTATATCTGATTAGCCAATCAATGTGATTTTTTATTTAGAAGTTTTCCCAGTAAGATATAAAAAGAAGTTGTAAATGTATAGTAGTGGGCATTGGTTGATTGGAATATATTCAACTTATTTTTGGAGAGGGCAAGGCCTCCACACCCACATCCCACATCAAGTGTTAAAAATGCATTAATCAAATATCTTTATCAAACACATGGTGTGCAATGCAATGTGTATTACTATTAATAATATTATGGGTCATTGTCTTCAAAATTGGATTAGGCCAAACCATAAAATGAAATTTTTTCACGTGAAGAGTTGGTGAGGTTAAGCTATACTCCCATGTCTTCTTCATTTACCACATCCCTTTCCCATACCCGCCCAATTGCTTCTACCTCTTACGTGCAAATACTCAAAGACACTTGCAATTAAATAAAGATTGTGTTTGAGATTTTTAATTATCAACGGCCCCACTCGAATTATTTTATGCGCCTTCGATTTCAAAATATAAGTTATTTTTTGAATGATTATTTTATTTGAAATTATAAGTCGTTTCAAGTATTGCAAAAAATAATAAATGATGTTCTTTTAATTCTATTTTTATTTTCATTAGATACAATAATCATCTTCACATGTTATTATTGGTTTTGAGATAAAGAGTAATTTTATCAAATTGCCCTTGGTTTTAGTATAATTTAGGAGAACTAATTGTTTTCATAATCAACTTGCAAAAAATCTTAAATGACTTATATTTTACTCTCTCTATAATTTGAGGGAGTAATTTGATGAAAATCAATATGTATTATCAAATTAGTCCCTCTGTCTCAAAATATAAATTATTTTTGAATGATTATTTGTTCAAAAATATAAGTCGTTTTGAGTATTTTAAAGAGTAATAAATTATTTTCAATATTACACTTATTTACATTAGATACAATAAATATTTTTTCAAGTAACTAGTAGTTTTGATATAAAGATAATTTAATTAATTTACCATTGGATTTGTTATAATCTAGGAAAATTAATTGTTTCCTTAATCATTGTACAAAAACCTTAAACGACTTATATTTTGAAACAGATGGTAATTAATTAATTAATTAAAATTTGAAAATAAAATTAGATAAGAGTTAAGAGGTATGGTAGCTATTACTTTATTTATTGATACATACATTTATATGTATTTCATATAATATCTTTTAGAATAGTTATTTTTTAAAATTATTTGATAATCTTAAGAAATTAAGGGAGCGACGCTTAATCTTTTTCAAATTTATTATTTTATGCATTAAGACCTTTGAAATTATTACAATAAATTTCCATGAGTGTTGATTTTGATTCAAGAAGGCGGATATGCTTTTGAAATGACAACTGTGAAGGACTCTTAGATGGGCTTTCTTATTTTCAGTCATAGATGGGCTCAGCTCTTAGATGGGCTTTCTTATTTTGAGTCATAGATGGGCTGAGCCTACAGAGTGGAATTACAAAAGCCTATAAAGTTTTGAGTATTTAATATATTAGGCCATACAATGGGTAATTAATTCTTTTTTTTATTACATAATTTAATGGTCAAATTTTAAATATTAAAATTTATTGGCTACAAATAATTATTAATATTAGTTTCATAGTCTTATTCTGCTAATTAATTAGTTACAAGCTGGACTTACTTATCACAAAGGCGACCAAATATTGTTTGTGCAGTCAATCGTGGTAAGCAAATGAACCCTCTGAACTAAAGAAAATTTAAAAAATGGTCCTTATACTTTTATTTTTTTTTCCAATTGACCCTATTAGAATATTTATTTGTCCTCATTAAATTATTTTTTTGACTCTACTGAACTAATTGCTGGCTACGATGTGGTTAGGGTTTGCAGTATTTGAAGTCTATACATAAGAAGGCCTCATGCTCATTCTCTAAAAATCATAATGTGGTTTCTTATCAAATACTGCAATTAGTTTGTTCTCTAGAAATTGTTATTTCATATGCGAACACTAACAAAAACATTTATGCGTGGCGCAACATTGAATACTATGTTAATAAAATAGATCGGGTGTAATTCATTTTCCAAAAGCTAGCTCAAGAGAGGCAGATTGCTCAAATCTTATATTTTGACTAAAGGTTTTATCTTAAATCAATACGGATAATATTATCGAAAATCAATACGGATATGAATTTCCGGGTCAACCCAGAGGTAAAATTTCAAACTTCATGTGAAAAATGGAATTATAAAATGTAATATTTATAAATTATGTATTGAAAATTTAAATAAGCATTTGGCAGCAATTAAATACTAATAATGTAATAAGCAATTAAATTCAGGGCTTGAAGTTCTCCAAAATTTTATCACCTTAATAAATTATTTTTTAATTCTTAAATTAATTCAAATTTCTTACAAAATTATTTGCATATGTACAAACTTGGCCTAAATTGTCTTTTTAACACATAATTTGCCAAATTTTATCCATAGGAGGTAGGAGAAGTGCCCAAAACGACATTCCTCTTAGCTAATTTCCAATTTTCTTTATTATTTGGAATTTAATTATTAATTATTAGGCAAATTAATGATTATTAATTAAATGTGCAAGTTCTATAACGAACCCACTAATCTCTCCATCTCTTTTTTCTACTTTGTCTGAGAGAAGAAGCTCAGGAGTTACACTCATCTCTTATTCTCATCCGTTGGATTAAAATAAGATCAATGGCCATTAGGCCAGGTGGCACATTACAAGGCTTAGCATAAGCTTTTATGTCCATCTTCTATTGTGGAGTTTTCTTACAAAGAACAAGCGAAAAAAAAAAAAAAGCACAAATCAAGCTTATTTCAACGCACAAACTTCGTTCTGTCTTCTTGTTCTAAGCTAGTGATTGAGCTCCTTTCATGGAAGGAGTAGGAGGAGGTGGTTTTAGCATAGGAAATTTACAAAAAAACCCTTTTATATATCGACCAACTCCACCATTAACAGCAGTAGATAGGTTTTTATGGGACAGGAATCATTTCTCACAGCAAAAGAGTGAAAAAGAGGTTAAAAACAAAGAAACAGTTATTTCAACAAATGTGTTTTATGATTTTTCTTCATCGAGTGGTGCAATTACTGGGGTTTTGCCATGGCCAAGTTTTCAAGATATAAGCTTTGTGGATGGACTCTTTATTGAAGGAGACAGTCATAATCTTGATTGGGTATATGAGGGAAACCCTAACGTGGGTTTTGAAGAAGAAGAAATGATTTTAGAGAAGAGCTCCAAAGGGTATACAGGAAAGAAACTCAAGAAAAGATCTAGTCCAAGTTTGATCAAAGGACAGTGGACAGAAGAAGAAGACAGGTGATATACATATATACATATATATATATTTATATACACACACATATATGTCTGTGGAAAATTATTAACACATTTTTATTCTGTTTTTTTTTAATACTTGAACATTTTAGAATTTTGTTTTTGGTGATGAAGGAAATTGATTAGGCTTGTGGAGCAATTTGGAGTGAAAAAATGGGCTTTAATAGCTGCAGAGCTGGATGGTAGGGCTGGAAAGCAGTGTCGAGAGAGATGGCACAACCATTTGCGTCCAAATATCAAGGTTTAATTCTTCTACATCTCCTTTCATTATCTCTTTTTTTTTTTTTTTTTTTTTTTTTTTTTTTTTTTTCTCCTTCATTATCTCTTTTTTTTTTTTTTTTTTTTTTTTTTTTTTTTTTTTTTTTTTTTTTTTTTAAATTAGGGTTTGTCAATTTACTCTTTCTTTTACTGGTTCAGGTTCTGATTCATTTCTATGATATAATTTCCATGGATTTGTTTCATAAGAAATCAAACAGTTTGATTAATACAACCTAAAACTATTCTAATCTTAATCCAATTCTCAATATTGAAGTGGGGGTTTGATGGATTTTCCTGTAACTGAAAGTCAAGATATGATTTTTAGATATTACCATAAGTGAAAGAAAATTTCTTTTTTGGTTCATCCCCTTAGATTTCTTTTTTCCTAGATGGTAAAACTTTCCATGTTATACATAAAAAAACAAGAATCTAGGGTTTTCAGTTTTTGATTCCATGATATTTTTTCACATGCAAGTAAGTCGGTGAATTACTAATCTTTTTAAACCCTTATTTTATATATTAATTACCTTTTTTTTAATTCAAAAGGTTATTTACAGAAATCCAAATAAATTTCTTTAATTTTTTTACTGGAAATATTTCTTTAATCTTCATTGAAATAGGAATCATAGAATATCTGTTCAGACTCGTGTTATTTGCTTCTTGTTCTTCATTGAGTGTCCTTTTTCATGTGATATTGTAATCTTTTTCTTCTGAAGCATCATAATTGACATAAAAAGTTCATAACTTTAATCACTTCGTAAATAACTTCTCTTTGTCTTTTCACTAACAATCCCTTTCTTCATATATATATATATATAATATATATATACTATATTATATATATATATATTAATATATAATATATACACAATTTTCTTTTTTCTTCCATTTCCAGAAAGAAAGCTGGAGTGAAGAAGAGGAGAGAATTTTAGTTGAAGCTCATTCAAAGGTTGGGAATCGATGGGCTGAAATTGCAAAACTAATTCCTGGAAGAACAGAAAATTCTATAAAGAATCATTGGAATGCTACTATAAGAAAGAAGGATGCAAAGAGAAAGAACAAGCAAAAAGAAACTGAAATTGGAAAGTCTCATTCTTCAATACTTCAAGATTACATTATAAGCAAGAACCTAAAAAACCCTTCAGATACTACAATTACACCTTCTCATAGCACAATAACTACCAATAATACTCCTTCAAGCTCCACCTCATCACCTGATCAAGATCCACCATTCCAATTCACTAATTACTTTCTTCCTGAATTATCTGAACCCACTATGGATGATTCTCCACCGTTGGTTACTCAATCATATGATGATGAACTTCTTTTCTTGCAAAATTTCTTCTCCGACAATCCCATTGAAAAATCTGCAATCAAGAATCCAATAGAGATGGAAAATTCAGTTGGCATTGGAAATGAAAATGATCAATTTAACTTCCTTGTTTCGAGTTCGAGTTTGACTTCCCCAAAAAGACCTAAGAATACTCATCTCTATTCAGACCTCTACGTCTCTTATCTACTGAATGGAGGAATGGAATCTTATTCGTCTTCCGTCGACTATGGATATGATGACAGTAACAGCATGATGAACATGGAGTCGGTAATGGATAATATTTATCCAAATGGAAAGAAAGAGATGGATTTGATAGAAATGGTTTCTTCTTCCCATTTCTGTAATGGTAATAGCAAATAGTTGTAGTTTTAATGGTATAATGAGCTTTTTCTTGCAGCATATTTTGGTAAAAAGAAAAAAAAAAAAAAGAAAAGGAGACTTTAGCTGATTGTAGTTCCATTTACAGAGATCAAGTGATAGAAAAAAAAAAACTGTTAGGAGAATGAGCGTTTCTTGATTTTTAAAGATTGATTGTAGTGGCAGTTGATTAAGGTTTGATGAGAGTATTATAATGGTTTGTGGACAAGTGGTGGAAATGGGATTTTTTTTTTTTTTTTTAATTTTCTGTTGTAGGGTTGCTGAACTATGCAATCATTTTCATGACTCTTGTTTTGTTTCAGTTTCTGTCTTTTTCTTTCACTTTTCTTAACAACTTTTCTAATTCTTTGACGGTTCTTTTTGTTGGTAATGAGAATTTATGGAAAGAGAAAAGAGTGACCCCATCCATACATGTCCAGACAAATTTTTTTTTTTTTTTTTTTTTTTTTTCATTCCATACATGTCCAGCACAAATTTTTTTTTTTTTTTTTTTTTTTTATTTAGCCAAATGCTACACCATTGGACACTATGCTCTGGAAATTTCCTTTAACAGCTTCAAGATATCAAAATCTATCCCAATTAGCAAATTTTCACTGCCTGTTTTATTTGTCTTTTTCTAATAAATTCATATTACTAGTTGCCTCCATTTATTATTTAAATTCTGACCTGAATTAATTCTACGTTTTTCAAATACTTGCGGTCTCTCGCGAAAAACTATTAATATTCTTCATAATATTTATTTGTTTTTTTTTTTTTTTTTTTTTTTATTTAGCAAATGTACACCATGGACACTATGTCTGAAATTTCCTTTAACAGCTTCAAGATTCAAATCTATCCCAATAGCAAATTTCACTGCCTGCTTTTATTTGTCTTTTTCTAATAAATTTTTTACTAAGTTGCTCCATTTATTTATAAATTCTGACCTGAATTAATTCTACGTTTTCAAATACTTGCGGTCTCTGGAAAAATATTATATTTTCAAATATTTATTTGCATTTAATAAATAACAAATTATTTTTTATATTTTTATTTTTCTATTTGACTAATAGTTTATTACTTTAATTCCTCAATAATTTATTATAATTTAGATAAATTAAGAGTAATTAATATAATCGATTCATTAAATAATTTTCTCCAAATGCGGTATTAATATACTCGTAAGTTGAAATTGCAACTGTTGACTCAATACATAATTTAATCCCTAAATTTTCACAAAAAGAATTTATGGCTTCTTATACTTTGAAAATAACCCTATACTCTCTTAAATTTCAATTTTTAATCTTGTGGTGGCTCTTAAATTTCATTTTTTTAGACTAATTTGAAAAATAAATGAATTACAGGGGCCACAAGGTTAAATTTTGAAATTCTAGGGATTAAGCCACAAAATTGTTTAAAAGTTTTAAATCATGCATTTGGCCCACAACTATCTGTGAGCTAGCATTGGACTTAGCAAATAGCAATCAAAATGATTATAAACATCTAACTCAATATATTTATTTAAAAAAATATAAAAGAAAAATTCTCAACCATAGCATGATATTTTTCCTCTAAAATAAAATAAAATTGTAACATCTAAAGTCACTTTCATGCATTTAAGACAGAACTGTTCTGATCATACTTTTCCTCAAACAAAACCTTTTTCAGAAAAAATATATGTATATATTCTATGTAATGAATTTAAACAATATTTATTATCCTATGCACCTGAAACAATAAAAACCCATACAAACCTTTCAAACACAACAATCAACTCTTCAAATACAGATCCAAAACAGCAACATTAATTTGAGAACAGATTAGTTCCCAAAATCCCTTCAAAAATCTTAAAAATGCCCTATAATTAATGATAATTTTTTTGTTTATAAAGTATATATACCCTTTGCACCTTCCTTCAAAGCTTCTTCTTGTAGGCTGAAGATGGAAGAGGATTGAATTTCACAAATGAGCATGTTGAAGCTATTTTTACCACTTTTGGGTTTAGTATTTTCCTTTTTATGAATCTTATTTGTAGAGTTTGATTCTGATATCAGGACATTTTGGCCCTGGCAAAGAATATTCCAGCAAATAGACCTGGAAGAAGCACATTGCAAATGAGATTAAAATGATAAAAATATTCTTGAAAATAAATATAATACTCTGGCAAGTATCGATTTGATTACCGAACAGTATACTGAACAAATTTGGTATACTGAGTGGAACTTTGAATAATACTAGACCAGCAATGGAGATAGGAATCTTGTTCAATGAACCCACCAGACTGTTGAACAGGAAACAATTTCAAATAATTAACTTTCATGTTCTTTATCCTTCTTAGCATTACCCAAAAAGGGAAAAAAAAAGTTACTATCTTGATGATTTTTGACAGTGAATTGATGGCTAGAGGCCTTTTTAACCTTATGAAGCTATTACTCTCATAAAAAAATACCAACTTTTAAGATCATGTAGCTTCAGGGGCTCTAAGCAAGAAAAGAGCTTATTATATATATTTAACAGCAGAGCAAAAACAATTACCTGTAAGTTGTTGGGCCAGTTTGACGTAAAAACCACATAGAGGTGAAGCTAATAGCAAGTCCGAGTATTCCACTTGCTGTTGCAACTACCCAGAACATTGGTAATTTTATCACATCTCTGCAAGTTAATACCAAATGTAACAAAGGTTGGAAACTATGGCTGACAAGGAGAGAGCATAAAATTCCCAAAAAATTCTGGTTACATTCCAACATTTTCTTACACATTAATTACGTACTCCCATTCACCGAACAGAAGTATCAAGAAGACAGCAAAAGGTAGAGATAACAAATTATTTAGCAACACCATTGAAATTTCATTAAGAGATCCACTTCTTGTTGACTGTTTTGCTTTGTCCATTACTCGCCTGAGAGTGAGCTGTGAAAAGCACAAGTGTTGTATATTGTTCAGAACTTATAACAGTAGACAGAGAACTGCAGCAAGAATAATTATTCTCTCAATTCAAGCTGAAAATTATAGATATTCAAAGCCATTTCAAGGGAGTGTTACTGAAAGTTTCAGGAAAAAATGAAAAAGGTTGAAACACATTAAAGAATTAAATCTCATACCGAGTAACTTGCTGTTAGAATGCAATTCATGATTTGCCATGCATAACCCATTGAATCAAATGAGAGATCTGTTATGCCACCACTAATAGCAGAGATTATCTGCAAAGCAGAAAGATAGACAGTTCTGAGCTCACTGAACTTGAAAACTGAAAGTGCATAAATTAGCAAATGAAAACAAAGAAACATGAATCTGTAGGCCAAAAAGAAAAAAACAGTATCATATTCCCATGAAAATTTGTAACAGTAGCACTTTTAAGCTATTTCCATGACATTCGATAATAATTTTCCATTCAAGAAATAGTGAATTTTTAAATATTGAGACTGTCAAGGAAGTAAAACATGAATGCACTCCAATTTGAGAATCCAGGTTCTAACATCTGATATTGCCTAGAACTGGATTATGTCTATATGCCATAAGACGAAATTCTATCCTGTAGATACAACGATGATAAGCAATCTAAATGGGATTTTAAAAGAAGTGCAGTTTCTTCATCATATTATGCAAAATATCTCTGCCATTCATTCTGAAATTGACAATTATAATTGTTTTGTTCACATATTAAACATTATAGTTTAGCATCAAAAAAGTGAAGGAGTGTTGTATACCATCAAAAACATGGCAGCCCATAATTTCTGATTCTGATGTTTCCGGAAAATATATAACTCCCCAATTGCTGTCAAAATATTTGTCACATTCTTCAGAATGGTCACCATTGCAATATTTATGTATTTCAAACTGAAAAGAAAAATGCATCAGAATTAACTGCATACAGTTTTAGATGTCATGCATCTAGCAATGATAACCATGCATGGGTTTTCTTTTCAGTTTTCACCAATATTTCATTCAGAATTAGTATTAACTGCTCTTCACTATGGTTCTTAAACACATAAAGCTTCAGATTCTGACATACCTAAACATGCCTGAAACAAGCATGCCAACAAAGATTGCATTGACAGGGAGCCAGACCCTTACGAGTTTCCAATTAAGCTTTTCCAATGAAACTGCTCCACAAAAACCCAACATAGCAACAACCAGACAGCATATCAAATTCTGCAGCCAAACGAAGCAATCATATCTCATGACAATTGACTACATTCAAATCATGTGCAAGAAAAAAGAAGATTAACCAACAACTAATAAACATTGTTGCCAAGTAATACTCAACAATTTTAAATACATAGTTGCTATCTTTTGGGTTGAAAATCAATTAGATAAGACATGCAAGAAGGAGATGTGTGAAAGTCAATCAATTATTCTGAAAGTCATAAATAGATGTGTGACAATTAACATACTTGGTATAACATAAGTGATATTCCTGCATTGAAATTATAGGTTGATAAAACAACTTTATTCAACAAAATCATGCTGCAGGAAGAAATGCAATAAGCTGTTCCAGATAAAAGAGGTCCATATTTTCTTCCTGATCCATGTTCGCGTTTCTCATCCGCATCAAAAGGAGCACCAACACTGTCACCATATACTACCTGATTACCTCTGAATAACCTGCTAGAAGAAAATATGCCCAACATCGAACAATCAGCAAAAATACATCAAATTGGCAAATGCATAAGTAAAACACATAAAAAAGGCATTCTTCTTCAAATCTTCAATTAGATAATGGGTCTGAGATGCTTGGATTACAATATTGATTGACTGTGCTTTACTAAATGACCAACAAGCAAATTGTCATGCAAAATATTAAAACTGGGATTTTTGCGAATTCATAGATTATAGTAGAAATTATTGTATAGAATTTATTTACTCCCAATATATATGTAACGAAAGAATAGCCCGCGTGAAAAAAAAAAATTGATTCACTCTTACCTGTCGCTTAAGCCTCTGCGTTCTGCATTTGATGCAAAATTGCCAATCGACCTGTCTCCTTTACCAATAACATTCAGAATCTTGTGTATCCCATTAGTCTTTTCATTCAGAGAGCTGGATTCTAATTCCTCAGTATCACGGGAAATAACCACTTCCAACTTAAGACCAGACATTCCACAGCCCTGAGAATGGGAAAAAAATTCAAAAGATTTTAAACAATTAGATACTTTCAAACTACAATAGAAAACAATACAATGAAAGTAAAACACAGGAACATGAAACTGATAAATTAACCAAAGCCAAGAAATTTTTATTGAAAGATTGAAATTCAGCCAAGAAATTTTTATTGAAAGATTGAAATTCATACCAATAGGAAGTCCAAAAGCTTTGCTTGATATACTGATCTTAGTAATGTTGAAACTTTATATTTGAATAGCAAACAGTTATACCCAGAAACTTAAATAATCTGCCAATAAACTAGCTGGCGCAAGAAGGTGAAAAAAATCATGCTAAAGACGTGAACTTGAGGGAGCTTTTTAAAGAACACGCAAAGAGAAGCGAATCAAAACAAAATCAAAACCGTGATTGAAGATATACTAATAGAAAATGACAACAGAAAAAGAAGGGACTTTATAATGGGAGGAAAGGTACAGAGCGAAATTCCAGGTGATTGAGAACACCGTCCAGAGAGATTGAATAATACTAGTAGTGAGGAAACAGTTTTCGAGGTTTCGAAAGTCAAATCCATTAATGGAGCTAACAGAGATTTTAGATTTTTTTAAAGAACACGCAAAGAGAAGCGAATCAAAACAAAATCAAAACCGTGATTGAAGATATACTAATAGAAAATGACAACAGAAAAAGAAGGGACTTTATAATGGGAGGAAAGGTACAGAGCGAAATTCCAGGTGATTGAGAACACCGTCCAGAGAGATTGAATAATACTAGTAGTGAGGAAACAGTTTTCGAGGTTTCGAAAGTCAAATCCATTAATGGAGCTAACAGAGATTTTAGATTTTTTTATTGTTTTGAAGCAGAGACGGTGAAGAACAGCAAAGTTAGATATCAGAATTCAAGACTTAGGAAGGCATTGCTTTCTTTTGAATTGCGCGGAATATGTGGGTAGCTTCTTGGCACGGAAATGGAGGTGGGTCAGTTTCATGGGTCGGGTTTGTTGATGGATCTGTTGGTTGTTGAATAGCGGTTCTGGCCCAATATTTCTGGAGAATGGGATTTACAAGTTTTGTTTTGATGACTTTTAACCCTTGGGCTTGGCTTCCCACAGCCTGCTTGGTTGGGTTGTGGCTTCCAATCTTAATTATTTGTAACTTGCACAAGTTTGCTTTTGAAAAATATATTTTCCGTGTTTTGCTTCTGCATGTATTGAATAATCACTTTTAGCATTTTACGAAAGATTATTAAAACTAACAGCTAATAACTACAGAAATAGTTAATTTTGTCAAATGAATTCTTAATATATGAGCCTATTCACAAATCAAGCTAATTTAATAGACAAATATAAGAAAAATGAGGTATTGCTGATAATTCAGTAAAAAAAAGGAAATTTAAATGATATAAAAACTTTTTAAATTAAATTTTTTCTTTGTCTTGGTTTATACCTACAGAGTGTAGGAAGGTAATTTCCTTGTCTATATTGAATTACGCATCATTACACTTATTAACATATCTTTATTGTGTATCGATATAATTTATGATAGGTTTATTTTTTTAATTCACGGGTTGTTATTATCAATTTATTATTATTGTAATATAGTAGAATATAGATATCATGTTGATGATTCCAAGTAATATGACAATTTTTTTTAACGACTAAGAGATGTTCGGGCCATAAAGCATAAATGTTTTTTACCTTTCTAGTAGATGTGTTTTCGGAAAATTAAACTTATATTCTCACCGTTATAGAAATTGAAGTCGTTTATCATCTTAGCGACACTTTGTAGATAGTATTCATATTTTTCAAAAATAAATTTTTAATTGATCCATATAATCTGAAATGAATTCACACTTCACCAGACAAAACAATCAAACAACTCTCTAAAACCACACTTTCTTGCTCTTTTATTTACACACTTCATGAAAACATATTTATATGTCCAAATGCAAATTCAAACATATAATAGCTGTGCTGTTGACTATGCAAAACACAAAAATTGAAAGTGATTTACATAATATTTCCACTAATTATAACTAAGTTAACAGACAGCTCTTCATCTAGTTAAGATTTGGACCAAACACAGAATTATCATATATGGGACCCACCTAATTATTTGGGGCATTTGGGTTGGAGTTCTGACCTTTTTTTGGACAGAGATCATGTGAAACATCAACAACACACTTCACTAATATCATCACAACCCTAAGATAAAAAATAAAAAAAAAAAGTTAAATCATAATTAAAAGAAAAATAAAATAAAAAATATTCCAAACATGCAATTACATGATGATAATCATCACCATCCATCACCATGATCACACAGTATACACAATCACAAAGCAAGGAAGCACAGCCCTTGGATTAAACACCACAAGCTCTTCTTCATCCAACCTGGTATGGACCCCACTGCCACCTCTACCCAATAAAGAATCAAACCCTCCATCCTCCTTATTCACTTCCTCCTCCTCCTCCAACTCACTCCCGACCCGACCCGCTATGACCCGGCAAACTAGCATAGCCCGTTTCACATTCATAAACTTGAACTCTTCTTCAATGTCCTCAGGAATTGCCACGTGTGCTCTTAAACTAGTAGACAGTGTAGAGATTCCATCCATCTTGGGTGAAAAACCACACTTAATTATACCACAAACACTACAATATTGTTGGTTGCAAACGCTAGAATTACCATTAACTCCTAAATCACACATAAAAGTTGAACAGTAAAATCTCAGAAGCTCATTACCATCAGCTATGCATCTCTCATCTCTTCTTTTAACGGAACCGTTTCTTGCAGCTTTAGCTTTCACAAGCTCTCTGTACTCTTCAAATCTTGATAGTATTTTTGGACTGTTATGGATCTTTAAAATCCTAAGAATCTCTGGATTCTTCTCTTTACAAGACCAGCCCGTTTTGAATATAATATAGACTATATTCTTACCCGAATCACCATCTTGGAGCTCCGATACAGCATGTTTGATCGCTAGATGTTGCTCAAGAAGATTAGGTGTTGGAAAGATTTCGCCGCAAGCAGTGCAAGGAAAGATATCATTCCTTAAAGGAAAGAACTGATCATTAGTAGTTGAAATATCGGATTCTTGACAAGAACCTGCCGGTACTGGCATTTTTCGCGGCGGAGGAATATCAGAGGTTTGATCTTCTGCTGGAGCGACCATAGAGACTATAGATTGTTGAGATGATCTTGCTGATGTAAGGGTTGGAACTGGAGATTGAACATTTGAACTGTTTTTGCAGGCTTTGGAAGTAAAAATGCGTTTTAGGTATGACAAAGAAGAAGAAAGAGCTCGGTGTGGCTTTAAGCGAAACGAAGAAGAAGAAGAGGAAGGAGAAAGAGGAGAGATTTTACGTTTCTTGGTGGGCTGGTTATCTTTAGAGGTGAAAATAAAGCAACCAAGATGAACAAGAAGAAGAAAGATGGAGAAGAACTTGTTGAAGACAGATACTATGCCTTTAGCCATTGGTCTTGGGAGAGCTTGATTGAGGTCTGGTTAATTAGGCATTGCTCGAGACAGAGAGAGAGAGAGAATGATGGAAGAAGAAAGGAAAGGAAAAGAATGTAAAGAAAGCTGACGCAGATTGGGGGCATAGAAGAATAAAGCTATAAGAGTAGGTGGAACGCAACTTCATAGAATATATTAGCTTGTTACTCTCTATTGTATTCTCCTTCTTGCTTAATTTCTCCTCCTTGAGGTTTTAAATTGGTAAGTTAAAAAAAAAAAAGTTTTTCTAATACATATGTTTGTATAATTCGACCGTAGACATAGTATTCAACTAAATTTCTTTTAATAATGATAACCGTAGACTTTTAAACCCTGAGTTTAGAGATAATATTTATATCGAAATACGATATAGATAGCATTCAAGTAAATTTCTTTTATAAGTGCAACTTTAGACTTTTAAATCCTTATTTCAGAGATAACGATTTGCATGAAACTACAATTCATCTCAGCGTCTCTTGAATGAAATTTAAAGGTAAATGAAAATTTGTTAATTACTACAGTTTTTCTAGTGTAGTATGTCTTTCAATTTTATTCAGAATTTCCTAAATAATATTTGAAGGAGATTTTACCTCATTAAGTGTTGTGGGCATGACATTGGCTAAGTCTTATATTGCAGATGAAATGCACCTTTCCTATGTACCCCTTTAGCTCTTCATTGTACTAACATATATGTTGTTATTAAATTAAAATTTAATGCTAATAGAAGAGTTAGGTGTGATACCAAATGATAAAATTTATAAAACTCAAAAAAAAATTTCTAATGCTCCATACTATCAAAAATATTTAATATTAAATAGTACCATAAATGTTTAACAACAATGTAGCACCATCAAAATAATAATTTTCTTCTGTAAACAGATTTAACCTGATTTGTCTTTTTACCTATACGAAAAGTCCGTTAAAACGAACTATAACCGGAAGTATCTGTTTATGATTCTTATCGTAAACCCTTCTCCTGATTTGTTTTCACTTTGTTTCTTTTTATTAGGCTGCTTTAACAAAAATAATTTTAAGGAAAATGGGAATATTGATGTCTAAAGAAGTAGCAAAAGGTATCTAAATCTACTTGATTGCCAATTTCAGCATCTTTTTTAACTACAGTATTTTGATAGGAAGTTGATAATAATATCTCCATTCATCAGCAATTACAAATCTTCATTACATTGCATCATATTTATTTATTTAATTAATTATTTAGATTTGAGAGGGAAAATTAGAGAAGTTTAAATTTTTTATTTAGATTTGACATGGAATGATGAAGCTAATTAAGATTTTGATCTCTTAATCAATTGCATTAGCAGAAATGAGGTGTTTTTGAAAATTTAGAAACATATTTAATAAATGTGGAAATTTTGTTTCTAATGTATCATGGATATAAATAAGAAACCATTTGGGTTTCATTGGAAATTTCTTGCTACGTCCGATGCATCGGTAGCCTCATCAAGCCAATTGAATTGGATTGCACATTAAGACATAATCTATCGGTACAATCTAATAATAGATTAAGGTTCGAATCTCTTTTCTAATATATAAAAAAAAATCTTAATTCAGATTAATTAATTATATTCTTTATTCCCTTGACAAAACATGAACGCGACTATCAATCTCCACACATGCAGGGCTCCTAGTTATGCAGCCAAACATTTATTTTTGACAATAATACATTTCCATGAGAAAATTTAAATTCTAGTGATCCATTTTGCAAGATACATAATTTCTTCTTTGAACTTATAAATATATAGTTATAATTGGGTATGTAATGCCACTTCTGTTGCCATTCTCTCAAGGAGAATCCAATGCCTAAACTATGTATACTTCTGCCAATTGAGCTTTTTCACTGGTAATTTTGGGTTCTCTGAACACATGTGCACATGATTTTTCTGTTGTCTGCTTGAGCTGAATAAGCTTTAGTTGGACTTGTTTTTACATGGCAGTGAAAAATCTCATGTCTTTGCATTTATTGAACAAATTTTATGACTTAATAATATGCTTTTTCTAGTACTAAATCACTAAATGTCGTGGTCATTTTAGGACATTTTGCAGGTTTAATGTTTTTCCAGTTGCCTTTAGGACATTTTAGGACGTTAAAGGTCTCAAATTCGAGTTTGAGTTATCTCGAATATAAGAGTTTTTACCCGGATAAATTTGGTCCGGGATTGCCGTTTTATTTACCTTATAAAGGCTGTAAAAATGATAATGAGTTGTTATTACATTTTTGAGGTTGTTTTGTCTTGTTTTCTTTAACAAGGCGACATATACAATTATATTTTCAGTGGGCCACATGATCCTACGTGGGTACTGTCCTGCTTTTTCAGTGGGCCAATATAATCTTCTATTTGGTTGATAAATATTCTGCATATATCTCCTTGTCCCCCTTCCATTAAATGCCTCTCCTCTAAGAATCACCACTCTTTCTCTTTAAATAAATATTTAATTACTCAAATTATTATAATGCTTACATTGTTAATTAATTATTAATTTCTTTATCTTCATTTTTCCTGATTTTGTTTAATAATAATACAATTAATTTTTTTTTAAAAAAGTTATTTTTTAAAACCAACAAAATCACCCATGTCAAAGTTATAAAATTGGTAACAAATACAAATACTTTCTGCTTCTATTATTCAATAATTGAATGGTTTGTCTTCTTAAAGTAAAAGAAAAGGAATTGAATTATTGGATATTCATGTGATTATAATCTTCTTTTTGAAATAAAATTTCAAATAACTAACTTATCGGTCATTAAATTTTAAATTTTAGAATATAAACCCATTTTTATGCAGAATTGATTTTATAATAATTAAATTAAAAAGAAAAAGGAATTAATATATGGTTTGATGTGATATGGAACCAACATTAACATCCTTTTAAGAAATGAATTAATATTATGTCACGTAAATCTATCATTACATTTCCCTTATACTATGACCCAATTGGTCAATACCACATGTTATGTTATGTTAAGACCTTGTTTGGTTCAAAACTGCCAATTTCCTTAGAAGTGTATACTTTGCAGAAAATACGTTTCCAAAAAAATTATTTACTAGTATATAAATTTGAATATATTTAGTAATTTTTCTGTGAAGTAAATTGTTCTCAAATTACAAATTACAATGAAGCTAAATCATGAGAAAAAGCCTAAAGTTTGACGCTTTTGGCAAATTTAGATAATACTTTTAATTTTGTCGATTACTACTTAGATTTATTTTTTCTTGTTAATTATGGCCTTCGAGCATAGTCCTTCATTTTGTTGCTTCCTTGCCATTAATTGGCCCACAACATGATAGCTCATATTCTCGTGGTCATTCTTTAGCCGTTCATCATTACTTTTAAAATTTCTAAGTTAGAAGATTGTGTTGGGGAGGTTATCTATTTTTTATCTCATTGCAGGTTTGAAAGAATTTGGTACGATTTTATAATTAACAGACTCTTGATGGATCCTTAGCGAGCAACTTGCAATGTCAGACATCAAAGTCCAACAAATAGGTTTCTTTGCTCATGGAGTTGCATGACTCGACCACTTCCAATCGGATTATGGACCAAGGCTATAGTTGAAAATAAAAAATAAGTACAACATATTGATTGACAAAATCAAGAGTATTCACCAAATTTGAAAAAACTCAAAAATTTAAGCTTTTTTAATGATTAATCCTTATAATAATGTTCATAATATAAATTTGAGTGTATTTAGACAATAGAATAAATTGGTAAAATTCATTTCACTTAATTAAAGAAGTGCAAGTTCGTTAACTATATATAAGGAACTTACTTCTCTTACGAGAGGAAAGTTGGATTATCTATTTCTCGAAAAACAAAATTAATAATGCAAACTAAACACAAATATTTTATACACTTACGGAAAAATGTAACTTCCTTAGTCTATTTATCCTCGACCAAACACCACCTAAGTTTGTTGCTATAATATAAATAGCACACAGAAAAAAAAAGAAAAAGGAAAATTGATTTTGACTATGCTGTTGACTCTGAAAGAGTGAAAGAAGAAGCTGTGGGTTCCCATTCGCTTCTTCTTTACTTCTTCTACCTTTTCCCTTTCCAATAATCTATATATCTACTTTTAACTTCTTTTTCCTTTTTTTTTTTTTTCCTACCTCCACAATGACAATAAATAAATAAGTAAATAAAAAAGCTGCCGACATTTTTTTTTCTATTAATTAGGAATGCTATATATTATATTTGAAATAAACCTCCATAAAATTGTTTAAAATTGAAAATTATCTGAATTTTAACTCGAAATATTATTATTTGGATTTATATTCGGAAAAAAAAAATTGAATTTAAAATCTATCCACCGAATCAGTGTTAACTTATAATCTTCATATACGATAGATAAACATTTAATCAATCAATAAATTATTAAAAAAACACACGGTTAAACTTTAAATTTCTCTTTTTTTTTTGAAGGAAAAAAAAATTAAAACAGAAGGATGCAATAATAAATTTATCAAAATAATATATTATGAAAATAGGATTAATAATGCATATAAGGCACCAACCTGTCTTTAAATTTAATATAAACTAGTGGAAAAGTGGGAACCACTTAGATAGAATTGATAAGCACATGCTTAATTTTCCTTAATTTGGGCATGCATTAACCCATAGACTTGACATTAACATCATAAGCATTAGCTTCTTCAAAATGTTTTTTTTTTTTCTTTTGTCAAATAATATTTGACCACTTGTCCCAATAGCAAGAAGACACTTGGACATCTAGTCTTTCAATCCCATGAGTCACCGATAAGGGTTTAAATGACACGCAAAAAAAAAAAAAAAAAAAAAAAAAAAAAAAAAAAAAACTTGACATGCCATGCTACTCTTTCAATCCCATGAGTCACCCGATAAGGGTTTACAACAATGACACGCAAAAAAAAAAAAAAAAAAAAAAAAAAAAAAAAAAAAAAAAAAAAAAGAGATAAAAGTTAAAACTTTACTTATTAGGGTTTTAACTTTCTTTTTTCATTAAATCACTTTTAATACGATTTAAAACCATCTATTAAAATTTAGCAGTTAAAAACTATCCTGAATCGAGTCAATACAATTAAATTAATTACTATATATTGGCTCGATTCAAATTGAAGTTTGTTATAATCAGGAAGTGTAATCTATCACAGAGAGTAGAGTATAAAGGTTTTAGGTTTTTGAACCTTCTAGTTTCATTTTGGTTTGGTTTGATCAGCATTTTAAGAGTTCAATTACCATTTGGTTTGAATAGTAATAACTGAACAGTTTTCAATTCTGTTCAATCATTTATATAGCCAACTGAATTGGTATTTATGCCTAAAATAAATAATTTGATTTGAAATAACTAAATTAATCCAAACCAATCTGTTTCAGTTCGGTACTAAATTGATTTTTTCGCTTTGTGATTCAGAATTAGTCATTACAAAATCTATTTAGCCAGATTGAACCAAACTAAGTTAGTCCGATTAGACTGAATGCTTACCCATACTCCAGCAAAGTGCATTTTTCGAGATTGTATTCTCACTGTTGCAGGAGTTGAAGCTGTTTACCATTTTAACTAATATTTTGTTGGTAATTAAAACTAAAATTTGGTTCTATTAATACCTGATTAATGTTAAATGTTTTATAAATTAAGTGAGTCATTTATCCAACGGGTATTTTAGCTTTACAAAAGGTGGCCTAAATGATGATGATGATGAAGAAGAAGCAGAAATTAGAAAATTTTGTTCCTTGTCCTTTACCAGATGGAACAGCTGGGCCATAAGGTGAAGTGGCTCTGACAGTAGTTCCATTATTTATTGAAAATGACCTATAATGGGAGACCCATCGTTGGGCCTTCATGTTGTGCAAGTATTAATGTTCTTTGACCCACATGGCTTCCTTACTCTTCAATTCTTTTGTTTTTAACGTGTGGCTCTTTCAATTGGAGGAATTTTAATGTTAGATAAAAGTAACATTAACAAGAATCTAAAAAGAGTTTTCATTGATTGGCTTGAACAAGGTCCTACCTACTTATGCATGTTTTGGCTGTCATAACAAGGTGAAATATAATATAATAGTGTTAATCCGGTGTGATTTGATTGATCTTCTTACGTGAGAGGTCTTTAGTTTGAGTTTTCTTCACTACAAAAGTTATCGCCAATTTGATTAATGTCGTTTAAAAGAGAGGGCAACCACTGCTGAGTAGTCCATAACGTTATTTCAATTTATTGAGTCTCCGAGTGTATAAAAAAATAATGATAATGTGCTTTTCTTCCTTTTTGTTGGCTGCTTCTATTGATGTTCCTATATGGATAGTTCTTTGTTGTATGTCACCTGCAAAATGTTTGGTAGTAGGATTATGAAATTGGGATTCTCAAGGTTTTTTTTTTTTTTTTTTTTTTTTTTCAAGCTGGGGAATTTGCAAATATAAATATAACCTGGGTATAGTGTTATCCGGTGGGGAAGTGATTTAAATTGACTCTTTTCTACACGTGATGTGGCCTAGGGTGCCAATAAGTATTAACAGCTAGTTTTGAACTCTTTCACTAGCAAAAGTTAATCGGCCAATCATTGATTAATGTCGTCTTAAAAGAGAGGGCAACCACCTATGCTTTCCGAGTCAGTCATCAACGCTTATTTCATTATTTTATTGAGATCCTCCCGAGTGTCACTAAAAAAATAATGATAATGTGCTTTTCTTCCCTTTTTTGCGTTGGCTGCTTCTATTTAGATAGGTTCGAAAACCATATATGCAGTGGGATTAGTTCATTTGTTCCCGCTAGTACAAAGCGATGCAGAAGAAATAGATCTTTGGTAAGTAGATTAACATGAAATCTGGCATTCTCAATAGTTTGGAATCCTTTTTTTTTTTTTTTTTTGCTGAGTTTGCAAGGAATTAGGGAGTTGCAAGTTCAAATTTTCTATTCTTCTCATGTGTCTCTATGATTGAATTACAATTCTCGGTTAATGCCTCCCAATCGAAACAGTTGGTGACAGAAGAACACCACTCACCTGTAATTTAGCCATCCACACAACTTTAAAATACAAAGAAGAAAAACTGAAGAAATTAGCAATTGTATCCCCTTAAAAAAGTTTGCAAGGAGTTTGATTTTAGGATTAAACTTTAAAAAATTTTTAATCGGTCTGGAGTTATTCGAGGTTGAAAAAATGTAAATTCTAAAATCTAAATTTAAAGTGGTAAATGAAGTAAGTTCAACTACCTAAATATTAATATTAGATGTTATTAAATTTTACTAACAATCATACAATTATAACTACTCTCTATTATGTAATTACCAATATTATGTTGTCTGAATCCATGATTTACTATCTACTGGGATCTATCTCTATCTACAAAGTCAAGTTTTAGTATAGGTCCTGGGAATATAAAAATCTGGAGAACATTTTTAAACTAAAACAATCGAAAAATAAAAAAATCTTAGTCAAGCCAACTTGGGCCTGGACCGCAAAACTTTTTTTTTATATTTACTGAATTGGAACTTCAGTTTAGGACCCCGACATCACAATCGTCTCTACGGTTTTAGTTTTTTTTTTTTTTTTTTTTTTTTTCTGAGTTGCAAGGATTAGGGTTGCAAGTTTCAATTTTCCTATTCTTTATGTGTTTGATTGAAACAATTTCTGTATGTCAATCGAAAGTGTGACAGAAGAACACATCACTGTATTTAAGCCATCACACACTTAAAATACAAAGAGAATAACTGAGAAATTACAATTGTATCCCCTTAAAAAGTTATGCAAGGAGTTGATTTAGGATTAAACTTTAAAATTTATGGTTGGATTCGAGTTTAAAAAATGTTAAATCTAAATTTAGTGTTGAATATGTAGTGATACTTAAATATTAATATTGATGTTATTAATTTTATAAACAATATACAATTATAACTAATTACATATTATGTTGTCTGAATAGATACTATCTATGATCTATTCTATAATGTAATATTTTTAGTATACTGAATATAAATAAATTTTTAAATAAAACAATGAAAAATAAAAATCTTAGTCACAGCCAACTTGGGCCTGGACCCAAAACTTTTTTTTATTTTACTGATTGGAACTTCAGTTTAGGCCCACATTCAACGTCTCTACGGTTAGCCAACTCTACAAAATTAATCAAAATGGGCCCAGAGTTCAATTCTGCAATAGCCCAAAAAATAATCACAGAGCAGTATTTTTTCATTTGTTTGGAAAGAAAATTATTATTCGGTTTTCAGTTAATCAACCCGCCAGTTTCTGTTTCTCTCCCTTACCTCGCTCATCCAATCATCTTCAATGACACGACGCCACGTGTCAAAACTGTTGCCAATCCCCATAAATATCCCTCCACTTCTCTCCAAAAACCTCCTATTCAACATTCAAATATCTGTCTCGCAGCTCTCGTTCCAGTAATACGGAGATGTGGTGAACAGAATAGTCTTTACTTCGTTTCCTCTTGCCACCATGAACGCTAGAGCTCTTCTCTACTCCTTTTCTCCCCATTTTCGGCCTCTGCCCGATATTTCGCTCTCCAAGAAAAGTTTCGGCCTTTCGCGCAGAGAACCGTTTAATTTTCGGGTTCGGTTTCAATCTGATGAACGGTGCGCTGTTTTCCGCATTTATGTACGGAATTCTAACCGGAGCGAGTTCGGGAAAGTATATGCAGAAGTTAAGTCAGAGCCTTGCGATGTATCGGAGTCGGTGCCGGAATCGGTGAAGTTCAAGGATAGTTTGAGTAGTGGTGATTTGGAGTTGGAAAGTTCCGTACCATGGTGGGAAGAGTTCCCGAAACGATGGGTTATAGTGATTTTGTGTTTCTCGGCTTTTCTTCTCTGCAATATGGATAGAGTATGTCTTCGTTACTCGCTTAAATACGAGCTTATTCACTTCTTTAGCTATATAATTAATTGAATAATGTACTGTTTTCTGTGTAGTCTTTGAAGTAGAATTCTGTAATTAATTGGTGATCTTATTTCATCTATTTGGTTATCTATTTTCAGAGGCTTGTGTCTACTCTAGAGACACTTGTAAATGCAACAATTAAGCGTTATATTTCTGTATTTATGATATCAGTACACTGCTCATTAGCTCAAAGTTCAAGAAATCAATGTATAACTTTTTTCTTATTGTTTGTAATTGTGGGCTTGGCCATTAATTTTCTCTTTTAATTATGGTTCAATTATCAATTGGAGAAAGTACTAAATTTTGGATTGGCTATGCCATAATTTTCACAATGCCAGATGTTAATGAGATTGTAGTCTTGACTTGGCAGTAAATTTGAGCAGATTCTGTTTGGCAGGTAAATATGAGCATTGCAATACTCCCCATGTCCGCAGAATACAATTGGAATCCAGCCACAGTCGGTTTGATTCAATCTTCATTTTTCTGGGGATACCTACTTACCCAGGTAATGGAGTTTTCTCTTCATTAACTTGTATATTTTTTTGGTTGCAAAGTTTATCTACTATCATTTCCTTGGAGTCAAGGTCTTAGTGTTAAACTATTTGTTTTCACTGCAACCAAAGGTGTTTCTAAATCTGGGTTCCGTGGACATGATCTGTATTTTTTCAACTAATTAGTTCTCAGTGACAGATTGCTGGGGGAATATGGGCAGACACAGTGGGTGGGAAGTTGGTTTTGGGATTTGGCGTAGTTTGGTGGTCCATTGCTACAGCTCTGACTCCTGTTGCTGCTAAACTTGGGTTGCCTTTTCTCCTTGTCGTCCGCGCTTTCATGGGGATTGGTGAGGTAAGTCCTTTGGCAACTTCTTAGTTTTTCATGTGCTTCCCGTACAGGATCATGAATATGGTTTTTTCTTGTAGTTCTTTGTTGTTTCTCATAATATGTAACTATAAAATGTGCTTTATGGTGAATTGTCTCATAGGGTGCCTATTTATTTAGTGTGGTTCTGTTCCAGGGTGTTGCTATGCCTGCCATGAATAATATTCTGTCCAAATGGGTTCCCGTATCTGAGAGAAGTAGATCTTTAGCACTCGTCTACAGCGGCATGTACCTCGGATCAGTTACTGGCCTGGCTTTCTCACCATTCTTGATTCATCAATTTGGATGGCCCTCAGTCTTTTACTCCTTTGGATCTCTAGGGACAGTTTGGTTTACTGTATGGCTAAATAAGGTAAGTTTCACTGGTCCTAGAATGATATGGCTTCTCATTTGACAATTGACAATTGCAAGATTTGGAAATGAAAGAGAAATACCATTTCAAACAAAGGTTTAGATATTTGAGGAGTTTGTGATCATGAACGTGAGTTTCTTTTAACTATGAAATTGTCTACCCACAAGAACAGCATTGAAAAACTATGTTTCCTTTCATCAATTTGCTTTCCTTTTTTCTTTTCGAATCGTCATTTTCTTGCCTTTTCTTTTAACAGGCATACAGTTCACCTCTTGATGATCCTAAGCTCCAGCCAAAAGAAAAGCAGCTTATTGTTGCAAACAGTGTTTCTAAAGAACCTGTTAAATCAATACCCTGGGGATTAATCTTGTCAAAACCACCTGTATGGGCCCTAATAGTGTCTCACTTCTGTCACAATTGGGGTACATTTATTCTTCTAACATGGATGCCAACATATTACAACCAAGTAAGTCTTCCTTTCCATCATAATATATGCTTCAATGTTGTGAGAGTATGTCCTCTAGCAAATGTACACTTGCTTTTTCAGTCTAACTTATTCATATGACCTTGTCCATTAGGATAGTAATGTCTTGGTTGCTGATGTTTTCTGTCAATAATTTAGTTTTAGCTGCATAAATGAAAGAGTCAATAAAGAAACCTTTGGCCATGTGATATTCTTCATGGTCTGTGTAGCTATGATACTGCAGGAGCATCAAAAGAAAACAAATAATCTTTCTGTGAGGCAAAGACCTCGTATTTGTGTGTGTTTTTGGGGTATCTGATGGCTGGGTGCGAATTGTCAATGTGAAGTCATTCATTTGCTTCTTGAGAGCGAGCCAGTTGTATGCCATGCATTTAGTAGGGAATGAATTAGTTTTACATTTTTTTATTTTCCTTTTAAATAAACTATCTTGTCCTTATCATGGCACTATTGCTCGTAAAGCTACTGTTTTCTGCTTGCCAATTTTGTTGGCAATTTTTAATCAGTGTGTTCATGTTTGAGTTGCTGTTATTATCGACAACTTGTAAAAGAGAAGTCACAGCTTACAACTATAGTACTTACAGAGGAAACTTTTCTTGAAAACTGTGGATCTTATTATTTTTCCTTGTCTTGCCATATAGGTCCTGAAGTTCAATCTTACAGAATCTGGGCTTTTCTGTGTTTTGCCTTGGCTTACAATGGCATTTTCAGCAAATCTTGGAGGGTGGATTGCTGATACACTGGTGAGCAAAGGTTTTTCTGTAACAACAGTTCGGAAGGTATTGCTCAGTTTCTTATATTGCAACTTATTACCTACTAATAGTCGTGCTAAATCCGGTGATTCCCTCTCTCACTCTCCTCTCTGTGTATTCTGCTTCTTACATGGCTTGAAGAACAAATGCATTTGGTGAGATCTCGCCATTCAACTCGTATGCTTTAATAGAACATGCCCTGTATTCTCTTGGCAGATCATGCAAACAATTGGATTTCTTGGCCCGGCCTTTTTCTTAACTCAATTGAGCCATATTGATTCTCCTGCTATGGCTGTACTCTGCATGGCGTGCAGTCAGGTTTGCCCTGTACACTAAAGCATTAAATTTAAAGGAAAAAGAAGTTTAATAAATAGTTATTGCATAAAATGCAAGGTTAATATTCCAAAACTAAACTTCTGATTTTTTATATTTTGTTACCTTTTGAGTTTCTCATATTATTGTGTCTCTAGTATTATTTTGTAATTTAGCAGGCAACACGCGACTTGAGATAAGATTTAATTTATCCCAACTCTGAGAAATCTTATATCCTGAAATTTGTTTTTGTAAATCTTCTTTTTCTTATTTTATGCACAAATGACATCTCTTTTTTTTTTTTTTTTTTTTTAAACATTAAATTTTAATAGGAAAATAGTAAGTTTAAATAAAATGTTATTGCGCATAAAATGCAAAGGTTAATATTCCAAAATAACTTCTGACTTTTTTAGGATTTTATGTGTGTACCTAACATGGTATCTCTTGAGATTTCTCAAAGATATTATAGTTTATTGTTGGTCCTCTTAAGTAATTTGATTTTGTATATGATTTGCAGGCTAAACGACCTCACGCGTATCTCTGGAAGATAAGATTTAATTTATCCCCAACTTCTGAGAAGCATATTCATATCTCCTGATATATTATGCTTTATTATGTAAATCTTCCTGTTTCTTTAGATTTGTATGATGGGCACAAGATGACATCTTCTTTAGTTTTTTTTATAAAATTTTTTTTTTTTTTTAAACCGAATAGGAACTCTACTGTAAGAACTTATTTAGTATTCTCTTCTGAGCAGGGACTGAGAATGGCACATTCTCCAGGTCTGGTTTAACCGTAACAATGAGAATCTGATATTTGCTCACTAGTATATTTCTGTGAAAGTATTTGGATTTCTTCTAGTGAGCTTTAAATTTATAGTGGTTTTATTGTAACCCAAATACCAATTTTGGTGGTGGGAGAGGGATATATTGTAGGGGTTGTGGGAGAGGTTTTCACTTCTCAATATTATAATAGTACTATCCCACATCGCCTACCATTGGGTTTGCGTACAAAATGGTTTCCATAAGATTGAATTTATGCATATCCTAATTGCTGCTAGTAAAAGCAGTCAACAGTTCTGATCATTGGTCCCTCCTACTTTAGAGAACTAATGGGTGTTATTGCCATGAAAGCGGGAGTTCTGCTAGGTCTTAAATTAATATCCTATACTGCTTGGGTGCTAGTCCAGCCGCGTCCCTTTACAATAGGAAACCATAGCAAGCTACAGGGTGAGCACTCGATATGCTAGATTTTAAAAAAATGGTTAGAGTTATAATTGACCCTTATTCTAAATCTGAGGTGTGTTAGCTAGAGTTTAACTAAAGAAAACTACATTCTTTTACGGGTGTGCTTCTAACCGTCTAGACTCTTTATACACTTCAATTTCCCTAGCTCATATCTCGGTCGTCACCTCTAATACTAGTTCTATCTGTCTACTTGTGACTCAAACTGGAAGCATGAGTTCGGGTGTAAACTTTGTTTGTTGCGAGGACTCGCGGGTTTCCCCCAACGCCCTCTTCCCACACCCCCCCCGCAAAATGGAAAAAAAGGAGCCTACGTAACATTTATACGATGCCGTTTAGAGTTGGCCAGTAACTTTGTTTGTCCAATCAAAGGATATGCTTTCTTCTTATGTGTTTACGTTTTTTGTTTTCCTACCGAGCTTTTTTTTTTTTTTTTTTTTTTAAACAATATATCACTCTATGTAAACCTTATTAGTATTTTTCTTGGCAGGGAACTGATGCATTCTCCCAGTCTGGTTTATATTCAAATCATCAAGATATTGCTCCTAGATATTCTGTAAGTATTGATTCTTCTAGTACTTATATGTGGTTTAATTGTAACCCAACCATTTGGTGTTGGAGAGGGATATATTGTAGGTTGTGGGAGAGGTTTTACTTCTCATATTATATAGTATATCAATCGCCTACCATTGGGTTTCTACCAAATGGTTCATGAATTTTAGCACATCCTAATTGCCAGTAATGCGTCACAGTTCTGTCATTGGTCCTCCACTTAGAGAACTAATGGGTGTTATTGCATAACAGGGAGTTCTGCTAGGTCTATCCAATACTGCTGGTGTGCTAGCAGGCGTCTTTGGAACAGCAGCTACAGGTTACATCTTGCAACATGGTAAGACCTTATTCTATCGTGTGTTAGCTGTTACTAAGAGACACATCACGCTTCCTCTAAGTTAACCAAATATTCCTAGCTCATTCTCGCCATTAATCTAGTCTATTTCTACTTGTGCTCAAATGGAAGGCATGAGTCGCGTGTAAAACTTTGTTTTTGCATGGTCGAGAGAGCCTAGTAACATTATAGATGGTAGAGTTAAATTTGTTTGTCAATCAAGGATATGCCTTTCTTCTTAGTGGTTACGTTTTGTTTTCTACCACCTACTAATTCCCAAATAAGAAAACATTCTTGGACTAGATATTGTCCTTATTTCAACAGAATGGGTAAGAAAAGGTCCTCATACCCTGCTTATACTTTTGGTTCATTGGTGAATCATTGCCTTCATTTTCAAGCTTTCTTGAAACTTTTGAGATAATAAAACTACGTTGGCTGATTTTATTGTGGTGAGAATCACCACCTTCTTTATTGACATTTGGGAACATAAAAGTTTTACTTCAGCTGATTCTTTATTCTCCACCTTCACACATTTGCAGGTTCTTGGGATGATGTTTTCAAGGTTTCAGTTAGTCTCTATTTGGTTGGAACTGTTGTTTGGAACCTTTTCTCGACTGGTGAGAAAATAGTGGACTAAAATGAAAATTAAAATGAGTCGGGCCCAGTCTTCCCCTTCACGAGTCAGAACACGAGTTTCACACGATTGATTGGAGAGAAAATTAAAAAGACAAGAAATGAACAAAGATATACTTGAGGGATAACCGTTCCATAATGCTTTAGGACTCAGGCAAATTTTCTGAATGCCATTGAAGAGCTCAAATTTGGAAATTCTGCAACCGCCAGCGGCTGTTGTGCATAAATGAAACAGTAGAACAGGGATTCATTTGTAAAGTGTCTCCACACAGCTTGTAAATGTTATAATCAATTCTAACAAAGCAATCTTATGATGTTTTATGTTACTTGATCCTTGTTGTAACTCAATTATTTCAAGGCCTAATACATAAATTTAACCTTAAATTTTAGCCGATTATCCTTATGACCCCTTAAACTTTACAAGTTTGAATCATGACTACTTTCACATTTCAGTAATAAATATAAATGAAACGTGAAAGTGCAGAGTCATTATGTTTCTCATAGAAAGTTTAGGAGCCAAAAGAATAATCGTTGAAAGTATATGATCAAATTTATGCATTAGGCTCTTATTTCAAGCATCCAATCGAATAAATCTTCCATTGGCTGTTTTTCTGAGGATTAATGTTAACAAGAGTGTAATGTGTATTTTATTGAAACAATTATACGAAAACCCACATCATGTTGACATGGAATGTAGAACATTACAAGACAATCACTTTTTAGTATGCCCCCAAAACAAACAACAAATGTAAACATGAAAATCAAAACAAATTATATATATATAAAACTTATATGCCCTTCAGCAGAAAGCAATGAAAGGGAAGAAAATGTATGACTAAATCACTATATTACCCCTTATATATTCAGTGAAGCCTCCATATTAATGCACAGTTGAGAGAAAGACAGCACCCCACACCTATGCAAGCATACGAGGATGCAAGAACACACGAAGCCCATTCTTCATGAACAATGTAAGAGACATCTTCTGCTGGACACGGTGACCGGGAACCAGAGATAACCTGTAACGCAACAGTATTGCAGAAGCTACAGACTTCATTTGCAGGTAAGCCAAGTCCTTCCCTAAACAAGTTCTGGGTCCTGCATTGAAGGAGACAAACTTGTAACCATCTTTAGGAGGTTCAAATTTGTTTCCTTCTGCTGATAGCCATCTCTCTGGATTGAACTCCAGGCAATCCTCACCCCATATGCTCTTCATTCTCCCTACAGAATATATAGAATAGGTAACAGTTGAACCAGCCGGAACAAATGTACCGTCCGGTAGAATATCATCTGATACAACATATTTGAAGTCTTGAGGCACTGAAGGGTATAGCCGGAGGGTTTCAGCTAATGCCGCTTTGAGGTAGATTAATTTATCTGCTTCATCGAAGTTTAAAGGCTCTTCAAGCCATTTTTGATGATCATTTCCTCGAGTTTCTTCAAGTATAGCTGATATTTCTTGAACGATCTTGGCTTCAACTTCAGGATGGTTCATGACTAGCCAGAAAAACCAGCTAAGAGCAACTGATGAGGTGTCGCGGCCGGCAAGAACGAAGTTTAGAGCAATTCTTTGGAGAACTGAGATTGGAAAATGATTACCATCGACGTCTCTTTTCTTCATGAATCTTGATAATAAGTCATCTGATGGATTTTCTTTACGTACTGCTATGGCTTCGTCCATATATTTTTCTACAACTTTAAGGCTCTTTTTTAGTCTCTTCTCAGCTCCAATTCCTAAAATCTTCTCAATTCTCCATAAGAAACCAGGATAAAGAAGCCGTTGAAGCGTAGCTTCTGTAGCAGTATCAAAGGCGACAGCGAAAGGGTTTTCAGGCAATTCTGGAGAGAGTGTTTGAGGATCTTTACCAAAGGTGAGTCCACATATATTATCGAAAGTTAACCGGAGTAACAAGTCTTGCAAGTCTACTACAATCTTTTCATTAGCAGCTTTATCCAAAATGCTCCATAACCGAGACTTGATTGTCCGGTTAACCCATCGAGCCATTGCTTGCCTTAAAGTCCTCGTAGTGAACTCTAAAGCTGCAGTTTTACGTTGTATAAGCCAAGTATCTCCATCACTATTAAAAATCCCTTGCCCAAGAAGATCATGAAATGCAGTTTGCCAATGAGGACCCTTGGGATAGTTATCGAATCGTGTTCGAAGAATATGTTCCAAGTTCTTGGGATGGCAAGTGACAGTATAAAATCCTTGCCGGTGAGCAAAGAAAGGGAGAGCTATAGTACACGTTTGATAAGTCGACGCACCTCCGGTAGACCGGAGATTACTAGCAATCCAATCATGGATTTGTCTTCTGTTCTTGAAAAGAAAAGGCAAGCTTCCTACTATAGGCCATACTTTAGGACCGGTAAGTTTACGAGCAAGAAGATGGAACCAAAAGAGATAAGCAAATGTAACAGTTGCTAAGGTAAAGAAGAAAGGTGAGATCTCCATTTGATGGTTATGGTGTTAAGATTTAGACAGTGAAAGAGACGACATGGAAGAGTTATATATAAAGAATGGTATTAAAAGAAATTTTTTAGGAGAAAGTTGTTGAGAAATTTAGAACAATTGGGTTGATGTTGGTTTGATAGACACTGTGGCTGAAAGAATATGCAAGAAAACCATAAACCGATTGCTACTGGTTTCTATTAGAGTCGCCTGAGTAGTTGCATCGCAAAATACTTGTAGTAATGAGCTTTGAAGGGTTGGTGTGTTCTTTGCCCATTTATTTGCTAAGCAAGTTTCTCTCTTCTACTGTAGATTGCCACATGTGGAATTGTATGATATTTTATGCTTTTTTATTATTATTTGGTCCATCAAATATAAGAAAAATAACTTTTTTTTGTTTATATTGATTTATTGTTATTTAATTTATTTTTGGATGGATAACTTATTTTATAACCTAATTAAGGTTTTGTTAGTGTAATAATTTTTACTACATATATTTGCTTTATGTTCATATAATATTGAAAATTAAATAGAAAGGGTTAAAAAATATATCAATTAGAAAGTTGCTAATAATAAAATTCAACAAGAACAATTAAAAATACATTAATTAGAAAACAGTTTGTTTATTAGTATTCATATGTTAAAGTTAAGAAATAAGAATAATTATGGCACTGTAAGTCAATTTAATTATTAAAAAAATATTTAATAACTATTTTAAATATAAATTATACTAATATTCTTTTTGATTAGTTGATATATATCTTCAATTAATAAATTTATATATATTATTATAGATAATATATATTAAATAAAATATATGAGCTATTGTGAATTATAATTTTTCAAGTTATATCTAAGTATGTGATTTGTAGTTTGTAAGATTTTATTTTTGTTTATTATTAATTATGTAATTCATTTCCATAAATGAAAATTTATTATCTTATTACATTGAAAAGAAAATCATAATTTAATCCCAAAGATATATCACTTGATAGTGAAGAAACAGACAAAGATACATTTTATCAAAACGGTGTTGCGTTTCTTGGAAGCAAAAAAAAAAAAAAAAAAAAAAGATATAATCCACTTGATAGTGAAAGAAAACAGACAAAGATACATTTTAAATCAAAAAACGGTAGTTGCGTTTCTTGGAAGCAAAAAAAAAAAAAAAAAAAAGGATTTTATTATGAAACCGTTCTTCCACACACATCAGGACATCCAGATTCATAAATATTTATTGTTAAATTAAAAGAAACAATTGATTAAATTTATTATGAAATTAAAAAGTTGATTCTATATATAATCTTTCAATTCAAATTGTTAACTTATACATTTATTATATAAATACAAGGATAAAATTTGTTCCTAACTCGGTTTTATTCCTAACGTAAATTGTTATGCAAAATTATTGTTTTATTTTTTTGGTAGGATTTTAGTAAATTTATATTACATTAAAAATAAAAAAATTAAAACTTGCATAAAATCATAAATCAAATCAAAACCGGAAAAATTTCAAATAATTAACAAATAACAAGATTGTCGAAGGTTGGATTTGAAGTATCCGCAAACCTAAATCTAACAAGAAAGAAGACTTTACAAAAAAAAAAAAAAAAAAAGGATTTATTATACGAAACCGTTTCTTCCACACACATAGACATCCAGATTCATATTTATTGTTAAATTAAGACATTGATTAAATTTATTATAAATTAAAAAGTTGATTCTATATATAATTTCAATTCAATTGTTAATTATAATTTATTATATAATACAAAAGGATAAAATTTGTCTAAACTCGGTTTATTCCTAACGTAAATTGTTTGAAAATTATTGTTTTATTTTTTTTGGTAGGATTTTAGTAATTTATATTACATTAAAAATAAAAAATTAAACTTGCATAAAATCATAAATCAAATCAAACCGAAAAATTTCAATAATTAACAAAATAACTAAGATTGTCAAGGTTGGATGTTGAGTATCGCAAACTAATCTAACAAGAAAAAGACTTACGTACACTCGATGTAGGACCTATACACCAAATTAATTACAGTTCAAACGATGATATTTCTGACCATTTGAAAAGAAAATGATAAATATTATCTAATTAACACGTGGAGACCGATATTTATATTTCTTTTTCCTCAAAATATTCCCCTAACTGTTATAAACGGTCAGTTGACAAAGGTCATTTTGAAAACAATAATTTTTTTACTAAAATACCCCTCCAAACTAGTTATCTAAAGTTTTTGGAAAGTATATTTATTCTAAAAAATTTCTCATTTTTAGTAAAATACCTCTTCAAAGGGGTATTTTACATAAATCATGTACCTTATTCAATAGATATGATAATAACCTAAGTTCTTCCAACATATGCATTTGAAACCTCATTAATGTACAATTTCTCAATTTTCTATTGAGCAAATTCATCTTGATCATACTATATAATACAATATTCACATATTAAACCAACCCATATATATATTATTCAAAAAAAAAGGAAAGCTCCTCTTGTTTTCTTCCTAGGCTACTGTGTTTATGTCTGCGGTGAGTTAGATAAAGTTAGAGTAAAATGAACTTAATGCCAGCAGTCCAAAGGAAGCAAGAATGGTCCAAATTGAAAGAGAGTGGTTAGAGTGGGTTTAACTACATTGAGAAAATGTTTTTTTTTTCAATTTTTTTTTTCCCAAAAGCTAGACGTGTAATATATATATATCTGTCTGTCTGAGACCATAGATATAATAGAAGGTAAAGCATTTGACTCTACCCTTCATTGGTACTAAGAAAAAATGTAACTTTGAGAGAAAGAAAGACAGAAAGAAAGAACCTAAAAGTTTCCTTTTACCCTTTCGTAGGGGAAATTAATACCAAACCTTAGAATTTTAGCTTTCTAATTCAATCTCGGTTACCAAGCTTTTGTTTCAAATAATTCTAAATATAGACATATCTATAGCAACAATGTCTCCCATGTACAAGTCACAAAATCTTTTTTATAAATTTTTTATTATCTTATTTCAATTTTTATTTGACTATAAGTTTTATATATATTGGCAAGGAATTATGTATAATTTTATTTGTATATTCATTTGGAATGTCACATTGAAAACAAATATTCAAATGTTAATTTCATGTTGAGTTCGAGTCCTTTCGAACACAAGTATTTTCACCAATTTGATGAGTTCAGTGGATGGCTATTCATATTGTGTAGCTCGCATTGTTATTTTAGTCAATGGAACCTCCCAATGAATAAGAAAAAAGAAATTCAAATACAATGCAAAATGTTGTTATATTATATTTAAATGCAAAATAAAACCTCAATCAACAAATTATTATTATTCAAAAAGTACATTAACTATTTTTCTACCTAAGTACCATTGTTTTTATTTTTCAATACACTTTTTTTTTCTCTCTGTTTGCAATTTTTTTTAGCATTAGAGATGAACATTTCTCTTTTTATCACTAAATTAGAGTAAAATTTAAAAAATATTTATCCGAATATCATTCTTGATTCAAACGCGGAAACCCGTAAAAAATAAAAGAGTAATACTTGATTATGCAAATAACTAGCTATTACTAAAACCTAGTACTTTTCTTTGTATCAAATGATTAAATTAGTTTATGGCAAATTAAAATATTAAAAAATAAAAATTTTTAAAAATAAAAAAATATTTTCTTAAACTTTCTCTTTATTTTTAACAGCTATTGGGTATTCATTCTGATATTTATTTGTTTTGGTAGATCCTGAATCTTTGGTTAATCTTTTGAGGTTATTATTGTCAATTTCATGATGATTTTATTTGCGTTATTTTGTTATTTGAATAGTACTGCAGACAGAGATCCGAATGTCCTTTTCTCTTTATTTTTAACAGCTATTGGGTATTCATTCTCATGTCTATTTGTTTTGGTAGACCCTAAATCTTTGATTAATCTTTTGAGGTTATTATTGTCAATTTCATGATAATTTTATTTTGCATTATTTTGTTATTTGAATAATACTACATACAGAGATGCGAATATCCTTTTTAATAGATGAAAGAATTTTGAAAATTTTCATATTGAACCTATAGACCATAAAGTAAAACCGGTTTTATCTTCACCAAGTAAAACGTACATGCTCTTGGTGGGATAAGTCTAGCGGTCTATCAATCCGATTGAATCTCTCAAATCAAGTTAATATTTTTTATTTTTTATATAAGTAGTTTATAATTAGATTATTTATTTAAAAATATAAAAACTTGCTAATTGATATCAGCATTTCGTATTAGTATTATGTTTCTTTTTAATGAAATTTTCACGTTTCTTTTAAAATAAATACTAAATTATTAAAAATTTGTGCAAATGGCTATTACTACATAACAGATTTGGGCCTTTGAGGCCTTTCATTTTCATTAATTACCCAATCTCGTAACCCTGAGATTGAATTCCAATGATTCCAAACTATTAATTTGGGCTCAAGCCCTTAAAAGACCCACTTGCAATCAAATTGTCATCAAAAGCTCAGAGGTTATCGCCATGCCACGTGTCAAATCCACACCCTTATTTTCCTTTGGATTTTTTTCTTATTTTCAACCTCTAAAAAGAAAAAAAAAAATAAAAAAAACATTAAAAAAATAACACAAGAACAACAATCAAGATAAGCCACTTGTGGAGGCCTCGTGTCACAAATACTTCCTCCATCTCTCACTTCCAATCCAACGGCTAATAATTCAGTCCACCAATAGCCAATAAAAAAGAAAAAAGAAAATAAATTACCATAACCATCTTCTTCTCATAGCAAGAAAAGAAACAGAGCAAAAACTACAACTAGATAAGACACTAATGGCTTCTCTTCCAATTGTCTTTGCTCCTCCTAAAGTTAGAGTGTACGCAGCCACAGCAACAAAAGAAGCAGGAGGCAGCAAAGAAGAGAAGAGTTTTCTTGATTGGGTTCTTGGAAATTTAGCAAAGGAAGATCAGTTTTATGAGACTGATCCAATTCTCAAGAAAGTAGAGGAGAAGAATAGTAGTGGCACCACCTCCGGCCGCGGCCGGAACTCTGTGTCTATTCCTCAGAAGAAGAAGAATGGTGGCAATGGTGTGTTTGGTGGACTGTTTGCCAAGAAAGAATGAATCAAGATTTGTTATATATTTATATGTAATTTATATTTTCTTCTCAATCTCTCATTTGGATCTTTTAATGATTCTTGAACTCTAATTTAAGATGTATGTGGTTTCTTGCTGTTGCACATTAAATTACTTTCTTTTCTTTTTTTTTTTTTTTAAATTTAATTTCTTTCATCTCCTTATATGAACTATATGAATTTTGATTTAATGGAAGAACAATATTAGCTATTAAGTGAACTTTTTTGTCTTTGCAATAATGCACCATAGGGCCATAGGCATTGGAGAAATTTCTAGATAAACTAGGTCAATAATATAATTAACATATATATTATTTATAGAATAGTTAATTTATAATTGATTATCTTAAAATTAATTGTTAAATCTTGATTTATTACGTTGATCGTATTTTTTTCTTAGATGGGTTATTCAGGGAATCTTGATTTTCTCACCCTTCAGCTTCTCATAATTTAGTAATATAATCCTTCTTGTTGCATGATGAAAATGGAGTTTTATACCCAATGATGTAATTTGCTTGGGCTATGCTTCCCTTTTTATTAGGGTCAGCAAATTTATAAAAAAATTGAAAATTAAATTAAATTCAATTGAATTATTTTCCATTATTTGATTTTCAATTTCAGTTTTTGAAAACCTATTGATAAAAAAAACTTATTTTCTGAGCAAAATCAAATTGTATGATCGAAGCAATATGTATCGAACCGAACCAACCAATTTGGTTGGATTTCAAAGAAAAACTATTTTTCAATTTTTATAGTTTCGCTTCCGTAATCCTACTTTTTATAAATAAAAAAAAATTTTAAAGTTTTATAAATGTCAAGTGAGTTAATTTTTTATAAAAAGTTAATTTAACTTGTAAGAGCCGGTCCATCAAACAATATAAAAATTAAGGTTTAACTTAAAAAGCTACCGAACACCGCCCAAGTCTTGGAAATCAGTATGTTAGATCCATTCCATAGGATAGATTATTATTTAGTTGCTACAATTTGGTAAAAATTTATAAATCAAGATTTTCTTTTTAGAAATTAATTAAATAATTGATTTATTTTATTATTATTATTCATCGAAAAACTCCTTTTATTAAGATTTTGTTATTTTTTAGTTAGTTAGAAAAAAAAAATCAGATAAATCACTTTTTATTTCAGTGTTGCGCTTGAAAGAAAAGAAAAAAAAAAAAAAAATCAAATCTTATTCTAATAACCTAAACATATGTTTAACTTATATTTCTTATGAGTTTAATTTATGAATTAAGATTGATAATTTTTTAAAATAAACTAAATTAAGAGTTTGATTTGGTTATATGTATAAGAAAATTTAGAACTTCGTTAGTACAAAATCTAATGGAGACATTAACGGAGGATTGAAGAATATGTTATACAACAAGAAGTTATAAATTGTACTAAACTATAATGAAATTGACTTATTTTTGTTGAGAACATTGCGGATGTTAAGCTCGAGCTCAGCTTGGTAAAAAAATATGTTCATGCTCGATCACCATTTGAACTCAAAATATTAAGCTCATACGTAGCTGAATGCTCATTTTATAGTTTGACAAATATAAGAAAGAGAAAGGCTCGTAATTGGTTAAACTTATCAAACGAGTTTGAACAAACTTTTTTTAAAATCATAATTATTGGTGGTTTAAAATCGTGGGATTATTATAATTATACTATTTTGAATTCCATAAGGTATATACAGATTGAAGGATTTCAGAAATTGGAAGGAAAACTACTGAGTTTATTCATGGCGATGGTACTTGTATTTTTTTTATCACAAACCTAATTATCACAAGCGGTGTGAGTTACCAACACCTCCGTCTCCATTGGTCCATCTTACCCTGCGCTTTGCTACTTTGACGTGAATTGTTTGAAGAAGATAAAGCTGTGCCTTTTTATTGAAACTCAGCTCTCGAAGCTTATTATGACCAAACCCATCCTTTAATGGTGTTTTCTTTTCTTTCATGAAGGTTGGCTTGGCTTGTATTGATCCTGTACAGACTCTTGTTTTCTGGAGAATTTGGTTGAACAGAGTTAACCACTATAACATTTAATGTCACAGAATTTGTAAAATATGTGAAGCTACCAGATTTAAACTTTATAAAGAAAGAGAGAGAAATTCAGATGTTTAAATAGCATTTCCAGTGGCAGAATTTGACCTTGCAAAAGAAGAAGATGCGTTGATGAACTCAATGCAATCTTCTATGGCTTCGCTTTTGTGACTATCAGAGGAAGCCATAGTTACAGATGGCCTTTGTCTTCTCGATGAAGAAACTCGAGGAGAAGGTCGCCTGCATGAACATAAAGCTCTTACCACATTACTGCCGATACGCTTGAGAAACTTGAGAGGTGACAGTTCTGATCTTTCTATTAGCCTGAATCCACTGCATCTGACAAGCCTCTTCTTTCCAGCAACTCTATTACTAATACAGTTTCGATTCCAGAAGAAGGCTTTCTTGCTCATACCTGATTTTTGATTCACTTGATCACTCGTTCTTGACATGACTATAGTTCGTGTCTCTGATGGAATTTGCACTCACTCGTGCACTAGATAGACAGAGAGAGATTAAGAGCACAAGAGGTAGAAAATCTTGATGTATATAAAAGAAGAAAACACCAGCACAGTTCAACAATTGAAAAAGACATTTGTTATGTCAATATAAAGTAAAATGTGAAAGGAGCCTAATAACAAAATCAAATACTTGAGGTTTAGGTTTCTTGTAAGTTCTTTTCAAGAGGGCATTAATAACTGCAATTAACTGTAGCTTGCACGGGACACGAGCAACAGTGAATTGTTCTAAAATGCAAAGTCATCAGTTTCCTATACAGAAAAGTTTATTCAGTTTCTGCTTGTTCATTTCTTTGTGGAGAGTGACAACATTTCATATTCTAAATGAACATACAATAATGGAGATTTGATTTTCTTCACAAAAACACACACATAATGACATATACAAGAAGATGCTCCTGCAAGACTACAAATGAAACATAGAGATCTAAGCTACTATAGTATTATTTAGTGGGGACAAACAATAACAAAATTTAGGTCTAAACAAAGAAAGCACCTATATACCATGCACACGAGGGCATTATTCAACATCAACAAAATCACATGGTTGCATCTAACAGGAAGATTTGACAGGAAGTAGGCTCCCTTGAAAACCTTGCCTTGAGGCTCTATTTGGTGCGCAAGAATTATTCCAAAAAAGTGCAATCAACAAAGATCAATTCATCATATCTTTTTCAGATTGAAAGGATTTATATAAATGGAATTCTATCAATTCGATCATGCCAAACGAGAGAATTAGCAAACTATCATAGATTTTAATTAAATTCTTGCAAATTTTGGGTACCAAACAGTAGGTTAGAGGAAACTAGGAGAGTTGAAAAGAAAAAGTTTTGCCCCTCATCAGTTTTTCTTGCTTTTCAGGCTTCAAACCTCATACATGGTCTTGAGAGGGAGAAAAGTTAAAGGTGATGAATATTTTAGGGATTCCTTCAGTTTTTCAAAAGGAGGATACAGCAGGGTATCCTTGGAAAAATCTGCCAGGGTGGCTCATCCAATCAGCATATAATAATTAAGAAAACTTTTTGACATGTCAACACCTTTAATTCACATAACTTTTCCTTTTTTTTTTTTTTTTTTAGGGATTTCTTTCAAAGTTTTCAAAAAGAGGATACAGCAGGGTAATCCTTGGAAAAATCTGCCACAAGGGTGGCTCATGCCATCAAGCATATAAGTAATTAAAGAAACTTTTTGACATGTCAACATCCTTTAATTCACAATAACTTTTCTCCTTTTTTATTTTTTTTTATTTTTAACTTTTCTTTTTTTTTTTTTTTTTTGAAAGAAATAACTTTTCCTTATTTAAGATTCAATTCTTAGTTCTCATACACCAACATACAAAATAGAAGTCTAAGGTAGGTAAGAAGAATATTAAAAAGTAGTAATAGGAGGTAGAGACCAAAAAAATAAAGGGTCTCAGTTCCCTAAGCAGCACCTTCACGACAAGAGAACGAAACAAGAATAGTGTAAAGATATAGAAAAAAGGAAATCATTTACTTTAACTTGATAAGATGGTGCAAGATTATTGTATAGATCATCAAAACAACATATGAAGATTAGAAAGCATGCTATTCTTATTGATACATGACATTTTGCAGTAACAACAAAAATATTTACCTCAATACAATTTTCATTTCTGAAGAAAAATACATAGCCAACATAAAATTAAAATTGCAATTATGCCCCCACGACTTATTCTTAATTTTGCTTCAATTGGTACACACAGCCAAGAGAGAGAGAGACACACACAGAGAGATACAGAGAGAGATTAAAGGGGGAAAAAAACTGTACAAAAAACTCGTATATATGATGTTTCCAGTAACATCTCTACCTACCCTGGCACTTCCATTATAAACCAACTTTTCACACGTGCATTCAGGTGATTATTAACTCTCCTCATCTGTCATAAATAACCAGGTTAGTTATGTGGTTTAACTTCATTGTCGTTTATTTGTCTAATTGGAAGTGCTTTCATTTCCTTATGTAACATACTTCACTACCACGCTCTTTCCTTCCCTGCCTAATTATAAATGTATATTTAGTTAAACAAAGTAGAAAGGAAGCAACTAAAAATGCAGAGAGGGGAGCTTGACCCTCTCTTCAAGCAGGCCATATCACCACTAGCTCTTGTTTGGCAAAGATGAAGAAGTACAATCCATGCGTCCTATGATTGGAAGATGGAAAGGCCCAAAGATCACTTTTTTATGGAAAATTTTAGACTAATATTTGAGCAGTAAATTACTGCAGTGAGAGTACCAACACAAATACACTTACTAAAATGCAATTTTAATATACCACACACCAAAAAAAAAAAAAAAAAAAAACTTTACTAAAAATGCAATTTTAATAAACCACACAAAAAAACAAAAAAAAAAAAAAAAAATTCACCGCAACGCGATTGATTTAGGGTGGAGTTTTACAAAAAGATGCTGAAAAAAAAAAAAAAAAAAAAAAAAAAAAATTCACCCAACGCGATTGATTTAGGTGGAGTTTACAAAAATGCGAAAAATATACCAGAATATGAGCCAAGTACAATGTTCACGTGCAATTCAGGACTACAAAATGTGATCAACCAAAAACCAGCAAAGTTTTCAAAGTGACAGAATTCTGCTGTTGCTATCAGAATATGTATTTTTGGTCAACCATCTTCTCTGAACTCCAACCAGACTAACTACTAGAAATAAAAATCATGACATAGCAACATTTCAAAATCACTGCTCAAAATGGAGTCAAATCAGCTATAAGTGCTTCATTAAATGGCAGATATCAAGAATTTCATGCTCGTAATTAAGGGCATGTAACCTTGAAGATGCAGCATTGTTTCCTAAGACTGAAAGATGAGAAGGGCCTCCTATCAATGAGAAAACAAGAATAAATTGTGTTTAAAGACCACTATTGGAGGAAAATTTTAGATTAAAATGATTATGAGCAATAAGTTATCATACCGTTTTATTAATTTGCTTCTAAATCGAGTGCAAAGTTCAAGAACTAGACACAAACTAAATAAACGACTCTAATAAATGGACAAACAATTTTTAAAAAACATTGTAAAAGAAAATAAAGCAACTATTAATTCCTTCTGCATTTAAAGTGTAATTACAGGAAAAAGATTGACATATACAAAGGCAAATTCTATCACCACTCAAAACCTAAAGCAAAGAGAGATCACTCTTTCTTGTTCATGACAAGCAAAATTTCCCCACCCTGCCTAATAATATAATCCAAGAATCCCCTAAAATCATCAGCATCCTGAAAAGCCATAGGCTCACTAAGATCACTATCCAAATTATACCAAACCCCACCAATCTTTCTCAAAGCAACCCAATGCCTACTCTTCCAAAACCCAGCATACCTTCTAACTTGAACATTTAGAATTATACCAAACAAGTCATTATCGTTATCAAGCTCAATTGAAGAAGCCCCATTTCGCCTGTCATGCCAAACAACAGTCTTACCTCTCTCCTCAAGGGCAGCAATTAAGACATTAATGTCATAGTTCCCTGTGAAAGAATTGTGGTGAGGCTTGAAGACTATAGAAAAGGGTGTCCAACTCTGCTTGCTTGGATCATCCAAAACGAGTTTCTCAGCAATCGCATTTAAGCTTGCTCTAGTAAACGCCTCCGTCAGCTGAATCAAGTAAACGGGTAGTCATAAAATTAATAAATGTTGTTGGGTTTTGTGATTAATAAGAATAGACTCAGCAGAATATTAAAATTTAAAAGAGAGAAAGGGATACATACCTGGAACAGATTGTTGAGGGCATGTAAGAGGCAAAATTGCAATCTTTGCTTCTCGTGATAAATTTGAGGCTTTTGGGTCTCCATCTACAGCAAAATCTTTTCAATTGAAGATTGAATCTCGAATTCTTAAAGAAAGGAGGACTCAATTCGAGTGAAATTTTCTGGGAGATTTTTGATTTCTTGTTTTGTGTGAAGAACTCAACTGTTTACCAGGTGAATTGGATTGTAATAGTTGTTGAAACCTGGCGCGTATTTTACCACGGTTTTGATAATTTGATGTAATCTTTTTTATTTTAAAAAATAAAGACCATTATAAAAAAAGTTTATTTTTAAGAAAATTGTAAACTGCTCTAAAATTTAGAGGGCAAAATGAGGATTATTTCTTATTTTTGTTTTGACGCTAAACAAACAGTTTCATTACTTAAAACGCCGCGTTTCAGCTCTGCACTAAACTACTTCCCCAACAATGGATAGAAAAATGACGAGTGGATAACGAAAACATCATCTCTGTTCTTTCCCTCGCGCTCTCTCACTAAATCTTTCCATGGCAGCCCCTTTGAGAGCACCACCACCAACCTCTCTTTCCTTCTTCTCTTCCTCTCTGTTTCAAATTCCTAAACTAACTTCTCTCTCCAAGCCAAACAATTCCTTCAATTCTCAATTTAAACGCCTCTCCATCTCTTGCCAAACGGCAACCATTCCAATCCTCTCCTTCACTGGTGAAAAAATCGGCGAAACCTTCTTAGATCTCAAGTCCGCTCCTCCAGAAACCGCACGAGCCGTCGTTCACCGTGCTATCATCACTGACCAGCAGAACAAACGTCGAGGCACCGCCTCCACCCTCACTCGTGGAGAAGTTAGAGGTGGTGGTAGAAAACCTTACCCACAAAAGAAAACTGGCCGTGCTCGCCGTGGTTCCAACCGAACACCTCTCCGACCCGGTGGAGGAGTCATTTTTGGTCCAAAGCCCAAAGATTGGTCTATAAGGATTAACAAAAAGGAGAAAAGATTGGCAATTTCTACAGCATTGTCGAGCGCGACGGAGAGTATGATTTGTGTCGAAGAATTTGGGGAAAATTTTGAGAAACCAAAGACAAAGGAGTTCATTGCGGCTATGAAACGGTGGGGATTGGACCCAAAAGAGAAAGTTATGTTTTTGATGATGGACGTTAATGATAATCTTGGGTTATCGAGTAGGAATATTGGGACTTTGAGAATGTTGACTCCACGGACTTTGAATTTGTTTGATATTTTGAATTCTGATAAGTTGGTTTTAACGCCAGATGCTGTTGATTTCTTGAACGGAAGGTATGGAGTGGATGTGGAGATAGAGAGCGGAGATGATGAGGAAGAAGAGGGAGAATCAGAAGAAGAAGGAGGTGAAGGTTAGTTGTTTCTTTTTACTTCCTTAGTTTGAATATTATTAATTGTTCTTTAGCTAGAATAGATTACATGAGAATATATGTGTGTATCAGTTATTGGAGTGGCCAAGTTAGTAGTTACTGATGCTTGCTATAATTAAGGATGAATGGGTACATTGTAAGTTCTAATTGACTTATCTTGAAAATTAGCATAATATATATAGGAGTTTTGTTACCTTCATGTCTATGATGATTCAATTGCGTTTTTTAACAAAACCTAGATGTTGAGGATGTGCATAGATTCACACCATAAATGGGAACACCCTTATGCATTGGCATTAGAGCTGTAAATGAGACAAGCTGCTCATGAGCTACTTGAGACTTAGCTCCAATAAAAGCTCCTTCGAGCTCGTTCAATAAGCTTATCGAGCCGAGCTCAAGCTCAAATGAGCTCGGCTTGTTTACAGCCCTAATTGGCTTATATGAATATAATATCGTGGTTGGAGATCAAACAAAGTACATCTGTGATCATTTGTTAAGTTCCTATGGTGTGATTCATGGTAATAGTAGCAATGTAAGTACTATTTGTTAAGTATCCCTATTTATGTGGCTTTCATCTAAATAAATGCAAATGGTCATAGAAGTATTATTGGGTATTTTCAGTTCTCTATCTGTACAAGAATTACTTTGGTATTTAAATGTTAATACCAAAAGTTGGTTGGCTATTACTTAGAGTATTTTGAGTTTGACATATTTCTTTATTATTTATACTGTTTTTCCTCATTGGTTTTGTTCATCGTAGTATGTTAATGGTAGTTGTGGTTGTAGCAAGATGCTGAATTTGTTTTTTCCCTCCTTTCCTTTTTCTCTTAGGCTTTGGTTTCTTGGTGTTGCCCTTATGCTGATATTGTTCTTTCAATCTATGATTTGTAACTCAGGAATCGAAGCTGGTGAGGATTCTACTGTGACAGAGTGATGTGTAGAGTTTTGTAGCTGCCTTGACCTAGGGTTCATGCCAACCCATATATAAAAATTTGGAGAGGAACCATCTTGTACCTGAACAATCAATTGAATTATTTGCAGGCTGCAACTGAATCATATTGCGTTGACAGTTTTTTGCTATATTTTCCATTTATTGTTTTTTGTATCAATTTACACATTCTCCTTGTTAAAAATGCATCTAGGTATATCATTTGTCTTGTTATTCTTCTAGATTACTTCTCAGTCTAACTATTCTTTTATATTCTACAGTTGGTATTTGATTGAGTTTCTTGAATGGAGCAAGGTAAGTATAAAAGATTATATTAAACAAATAAAGGAACGTGAGATAAAATTACGCAATTGTTATTCAGAAACAGTTGGGTTGGAGGAGCGGAGTTTGCAAAACTGATACTGATAGATGATGCCTTCATCGTTATGGTGATATTGATACAGAGTTTTGAAAGAATTTCGAAGAAAGACTGAATATTCAGTAAACCATGGATGACGGTGATGTGCGTTTCAGCACTCTGTTGCCGCAAAATCAGCTTTCGTTCTTCATTCTTGGCAATTTGGATTTGTTTAAACTATCGACTAAACCTCATAAAGGGTAGGGAGAACAACTTCCATATTAGTCATCAAGCTGTTTTAATAATTTTTAATTGGAGCAAAGGTAATATTAGTTGTTTTAATAATTTTTAATTAGAGCAAAGGGAGGGAAGCAAGAGATATGATTGTTAAAACAGCTAATGTTACCGAACAGACACTTGTGACTAATAAAGAACTAAATTTTACTTGTCATTTGATGACCTTAAAGAGAATCAGATGGAACATTTTTAAATCCATAGGAAGACAGTTTTGAAGGCTGATTATTCATATTTTTTCTAAAACAAAACCTATACTTATTCTGGTCAAGTAAAATGCCAGGCAAGATACCGATTAGACTTTTTTTATGCGATCTATATATATATATATATATATGCATTAAGATTAAACCCTCTTGATGGTATTATGTTGATCTTTTTTCTAATTAGTAAACCTTGATTACACAAAATTATTCGTTGAACTTAAGTCATTCTAAGAAAAGTTCCAAAATTTGTAATTCCTTTGTTTGGTGCTTGACATGGATAAATTAAGCAACTTACCTTGTAAAATTATTGATTAAACTCAGGTGTACCTTACCGTTAATTCTTCAAAATATCTCCAACCTCCCCATCCAACGCAACGGAGTTTATCTAAATTCCTCCACTTAAATTTGCAACTAGTTTGCTAAACACGAAATGTTGCGTGCCCAACCTCGTTTTGTCTCAGAATGTCCTCCCCACCAACAGTTGAAGCAAGAGCCAAGCTAAATACTTTGCTAGAAGTAGTCAAATAGAAGATATTGAGTTGGAAGACACCGAGCATAATATTAATATACTAATTTCTTTAATAATTCTTCTCAATAAACATAATTAAGACGAAAAATGGACCTATGCAAATGAAATTACATGTCCCTTCCAAGTGTAAAATATTATTACTGATAAAAAATTAAGATAATATTACAAATTCACAATAAATTTATTGGGAAAATATATATTACAATTTTCCTTCCTCCGAACAAAAGGGGAAAAAAAGAAAAACTAAAAAGGGGGAAGTACTTCTTTTCTTTATTTCCTTTCTTCCCCTTACTTTGTTTCCTTGACACAGTGCAAGAAGCAAGGCAAAGTTATAAATGTAAAGAATTCTATTATTGGGCCAACAGGGAATAGAAAGATTGCTGAGAAATGAAAAATCTACAATGTCGATCACTATGTACATCACTTAATGCGTATCTTTCAGCACTAGGTTATTCACGAACTACTTGAAAATAATAATAATAATAATAAGCCATGAAGAGGCCTTTTTCAGAAGTATTTATACCACTTTAATGCAAGAATCACTGAGATTATGTAAGCATAGACATTTTTTTTTCCCCGCTAAAAGTGCTTTTTTATTACATTAGAGTACGTTCCATTCCGGCAAACTAGACATAGCATGAGTGTCAAACTTTTCTCCTTTCACATAAGCCATGTCATGCTTTTTGAAATGGTAATTAATTGTCTTAAGACATTCACTTTTATAACTACTTGTTATTAAATGTGATCCACCATTTTATTTAATAGACTATCTAACTAGTTTGAATGATGTCCTTACAGAGTAAATAAAATTCAGAAAATGGTTGATCAAGAATTAGCAAATTTTCTGTGCTTTTTAGAGAAGTGCAAACCATGATTATATTGAAGCCACTGAAGCGATAAAGCCCGGGCACGATGGGGAATCTGCATACACGGATCAGCTAGTCCAAGCCATAGGAAGCTATCTCCCTGTGCAAGAACACAAAAGAGGGAAAAGAAAATGCACACTCCCTACGCAGGCATTATCCTGTTCAGGTTCAAAGGGACTTTCTCAGCCTGAACTGCTCCATCCTTTAGCCAAATGGCCAGTACTAAAGCAGACACAGGCACCCCTGGTGCGTTTCCTTCGTCAAAACAATAGCCAAAAAAGAGAAAAGAACCAAGGAACTATAGGTATAAAATAGAAAATGTAGCAATTGCATTGCTGTTTTCTTATTACTGCAACACACAAGACGCAAACACAGATAAAACGTCTCCAGGTCTTAACAAACTAAACTACTAAACCATCAACTTACCTATATCTTGAAAGAAAAGATTCATGTTCCTTTCTTCACAATGCAGCAAATTGCTGGAGTTCTGAGGATCTTCAACCATATCTTTGTACTCATACACCCCTGCAAGAAAATTCCACAATAGGCATTTCAACATGACTTTTGAATAAATAAAAAACAATTACCTGATAAGCTGCAGTAAACAAATCAGAAACTAACAAGGTTAAATCTGTTGGCTAAGCATTTTCATAAGAAAAACAATATGATAATGACACGCTATTTTTCAACATTTAGGATATCTTTACTTCATAATAGGACTGTGGTTGTATTTCTGATAATCAGCATTCCTGGCCCACTAGCCAGCAAATACTCAGATAAGAATTATATTTCCTTTGGTTGGAAGGCACGATGCAGTTGTAAGTGGCAATTATAAATATCGGTGGAAAAGAATAGTATCTTTTTTTAATATAAGTAGTTCAGATTCACAGATTGTATGAGATGTTTTAGATTTTTATGAATTTAGCATTTACCTCTCGGTGGATTTAGTATAACTAACTGGCAGGTAAATTTCTCCACCAACTTCACCATGTTGTTCTCCACTAATGGTTTTCTTTGCAGCCAGGAACTCGGCACTCATGGCATCCATTCCATGCTGCACAGCTTCCTCTGCATTACCATAACCATGCTCCTCCGCATACTTTCTTACATCTTCTGTTATCTTCATAGAGCAGAATTTTGGCCCACACATAGAACAAAAGTGTGCTACTTTTGCTCCTTCTGATGGCAAGGTTTCGTCATGGAATGACATCGCAGTCATGGGGTCCAAGGATAAAGCAAATTGGTCCATCCATCTAAACTCAAATCTGGCCTTGCTTAAAGCATCATCCCAGGCTTGAGCATGAGGATGACCCTTGGCTAAATCAGCTGCGTGTGCAGCTATTTTGTATGCAATAACTCCAGCCTTCACATCATCCCTGTTTGGTAAACCAAGATGTTCCTTTGGTGTGACATAACACAGAAGTGCAGTGCCAAGAGCCCCAATATTGGCAGCACCAATGGCAGAGGTAATGTGATCATAGCCAGGAGCAACATCAGTTGTCAGGGGCCCAAGAGTATAGAAAGGTGCTTCATTGCACCACTCTAGCTGTTTTTGCATGTTCTCAGGAATTTTGTGCATTGGAATATGGCCAGGACCTTCATTCATCACCTGAAAAAGCACATCATACTTTCAGTCACCTATGAAAAAAAGCAGTTCTTTGCAATCGAGCATAACTGCAATAATAAATAGTAAACAACCTATTAAGTCATAATGAACAACTGTAACTTTCCAAATATATTTTTCTGTTATATTTATGAAACATCACTTATTCGGTTGGTCCAGGAATTTGTTTTACTGATATCAGCAAATTAACAGCATTTGCATTCAAACAAGAGCTTTAAGCTAGATTTAGAACATTTTATCATAAAGAGCAATCTATCTATGGAAGGAATCATGTAAAACCACAAGATTTTATTCTTCAAATTTGCCCCACTTGATATAAACTCAACACAAGAAATTATAAGATTACCTGCACATCCTTTTCCCACGCTCTACGGGTCAGTTCCCCTTGGGTCAAGAGCTCTGCAAACTGAGCAGTATCATTGGCATCATATATGGACCCAGGCCTCAGTCCATCACCAATTGAGAGGGCCACATCGTATTGATTACAGATATCAAGTATGTCATCCCAGTGTTCATAGGCAAAATTCTCCTTGTGATAGGCTAGGCACCATTTTGCATGAATTGATCCCCCGCGAGAAACAATTCCTGTCATGCGCTTTGCAGTTAAAGGGATATATCGCAGCAAAACACCAGCATGGATTGTGAAATAATCTACACCCTGCTCTGCTTGTTCAATCAATGTGTCTCTGAAGACTTCCCAGCTAAGATTTTCAGCAATTCCATTAACTTTTTCAAGTGCTTGATAGATGGGCACAGTTCCTACTGGTACAGCAGAGTTTCTTAAGATCCATTCACGGGTCTCATGAATGTGGCGACCTGTCGAAAGGTCCATAACAGTGTCAGCACCCCACATGGTTGCCCATTGAACCTTATAAACTTCCTCCTCAATAGAGCTTACAACAGCAGAATTTCCAATATTTGCATTAACTTTAACCAAAAAGTTTCTTCCAACTATCATTGGCTCTAACTCTAGGTGCTTCTTGTTGGAAGGGATTATTGCCCGTCCACGAGCAACCTCTGACCTCACAAACTCTGGGTCAAGCTTCTCACGTGCAGCACAATAAAGCATCTCCTCAGTGATTATTCCCTGCTTCGCATAATACATTTGTGTGTATCTTGGTGCCCCTAGCTTCTCCCGCCTGTCAACCCAGTCTTTACGCAGTTTAGGAAGTCCTGTTTAAACAAATATAATTTATAATAGTGTTACTAAATAATAAAATCACTTAAATAATAAAATCACTCTAAGCCAGAAGTAAAAAAAAAAAGGCCTAGAACAACTAGGATGAGAAGACATTGAATAGAACTGGTACAGTGTTAACTAGGAAAATTTGCACAAAGCATTTAAATTTCCTCCCAAATTCCACAGGAAAAAAGAACAAACTACATTGCAGAGACTTCCTACCAGTCTTTTCCCCTTTTGAAGCAAACAAGAGGGAAAAAGAAAGTAACAACAAAGTATGTTACAATTTTAGTAGGGCAAATTACTCAAACACACGGGCCTGTACCATCATGAGCTCATAGGTCCCAATTAAAAGAAATTTGCATATTCAGTGTTTGGGGTTTGTTAATGTCCGAAATCCCAAGACAATGGTCATTGTTTGTAAAATTAGCAAGCTTGTACTATATTTTATTCCCAAGTTTTTAACTTATTCAAGAGTTAATTCCTATAATTTCATATATTTTAATCCTTGAGCTATCATATTATAAAACTCTCTAGTGCCTCTAAATTGTACATGTTTCACTGAAATTAGTTAAGGAACTAAAAGTGCTAATTTTGAAATGACAGGGACTACTAATTAATAACAAACATGCCCACTTCAGTAAATATGAAGCCAGGCCATGCAATTACTAATGAGTATAAGTAAATTAGAAAATCACAAATTGACAGAAAAAGGATGTATGGATCAATCTAAACACTATTGACTAATAAGAACTGTATGTTCAAAATACATAATTATCATTAACTAACTACATTCAGAAAAGTAAATCGTGTAAAAAAAGGGTGAGCTCTATACCAATACGTGGACTGATATTTTGAGGACCACTAGTATCATAATTATCAAAACTAGGTTCACCCCCAGACAAGTGCACTCTTCTGAAAGGAACTTTAAGCACATGACCAGATTCTTCGTGAACAACTTCCCTGAAAAATTAATCATATCATAATTATCAAAAACACATAAAAAAACATAAATCAAACGGATATTAAAGAGATAAGAATCCAAAGAGTAACCTAAATTCTTTGGTGCTCTTAGGGAAACACTGTTCAAAAGAAGGAAGAGGAAGGAAATCAGGAGAAGAAGGATCAACAGTATGTTTCCTCTGTTGCTGCGTGATTTTATCAGAATTTGTCGTCGGAGGATCAAATGTTAAGGTAGCTCTGGTCAAGTAGCGAGAAGATAAGTCCTTGTTAAGTCCACGGCCAGCCACGACTACATCAAACGCCGGCAAGAAGGAGGTAGTCGGGAACTTAATCGGAGAAGAAACATTGCCGTTTTTGCAAACGGCAGAGGTCAAAGCCGTAGCTTGAAGCGACGCCATGAATCAAAAAGTTGTTGAATACGAATTTGTTGTAATTTGGCAAATGAATTAGGAAAGAGTTATAGATTTGAGAAGATAACGCAGCTCGAGAAGGTGAGAGTGATGAGTCAGTTCACGGGGCTTTTGGCTTTATAGGGCAACTCTCACTCGAAAACTGGAGAAAACTTTCTAAAAAGTGAAACTTGACGTGGCTAGTGGGATCACATGTACACGTGTATCTCTGGAGAGTGGAGAGGTTTGTCCAGCTTACGTCGTGTGTGGCGGCTAACTATCACAGTTTTATTTTATTTTTTCCCTGTAACTGTAAGGAAAGAAAACGACTTTCCTTCTTGAAAGGATGAATTATCTTTCAAACGTTAACAAACTTAGGTTAGTTTGCTTTGAAAAATAACTAAATTTGGAAAATATTTTATGAATTTTTTATATTTGTATACTCAAAAAAATTAATCAAAAAAAATATATTTTTCCTTCAAAAAGAATTAAATTATTTTAAAAAGATAATTCGTATTTTAAAAAAGTTAATTATTTTTCAATCACTAGCAAAATTATATTAACTTTATATTATTTACCAATTGGTTTCCTATAGTTGATCTCATCTGTCACAACTACTCAGTGATGATCACTACTGTTATCAGTCTCCACTTCCATTAGCATTCATTACTGGTTTACTAGCAACCAGCATAATTCATCATTTTTATGCATTTTTTAATATTTAATAATAGTTTTTAAAATATAAAATTTCTTATAATTCTAAATAATTCTATAATTTTAATTAATTTTCAACATTGTTATCAAACAATAAATGTTTGTTTGGAAAATATTTACCGAAAAATAAATTATTTTCTAAAAACAAGTGAAATTTTATAATTAAAAAAAAATAGATAAATACATATATAATCACCAGGGATCACAGACAATATCATCAGATAAATATCACAATTTTATATATTTTTTATATTTAGCAATAAATATTTGAAAAATAAATTATTTAGAGAACACCTAAGAAGAAATATTTTTCTTAAAAAAACATATCCTTTCAAAAACAAATAGACTCAAAACATTATACTTATATTTTAAACATCAAAACATTAGATGAAATGAAATCAATTTAAATGTAATTTACATATTTTGTTATATTAACTCAATAACTCTAATTCAGCAAAAAGTATAAAAAAGTATGTATGCATGAAGTCAACCCATTCTCCCATACAAAGTGTAAATTAACTGTCAAAACACTAAAAATTACTTAAAAAATTATTGTCGAACACAGCTAGAATGTAAATTAGCTATCAAAACATTAAAAACTACTTAAAAAATTATTACCGAACATATCTAGAATGTAACTTGATAACGTCTCCTTGATCTTGTAGAAATTTTACATGGCAAAGCTACAAAAGTTTATTCTGTTTGATTATTTTGAAATTTTAAAAGATAACAAAAAAAAAAAAGGAAGATAATTTTCATAATTTTTTTACCACATATTGGACTTGTTATTCTCTAACTCCTCTAGGTTTACAAAGTCCAATTGGTTGGGAAGCGTATCTAAGCAGAATCCAGAAACTGCCTGCCTGTTTCACCATTCATACCATATCATTACATTACCAGTGCTTCTTTAGATATGGTCCTTACAATATGTATTCAGTACAGGTCAAGCATTTCTTGTAATTTTCCACAGCAAGAGACAGACATGTTACCATCATTTTCAGAAAGCAACACTGATATTTTAGTCTACTAATAAAAATATCAATGTCAAAATCACCAAACCACTGTTACCCCAAATCCATACTGATTAGCTTGTAGGAAGACATCACACAGACAGGATGAACTTAAAATATGAATTAAAATTGCATCTTGCAAAGGGGAAAAATGGCGTAATGCATAAATTTGACCTTTAACTTTGGCTGATTATCCTTGTGACCCCTTGAAGTTTACGACAATTATGACCCTATACTTTCACATTTTAATAATAACTATGTCCTTTGTCAAAATGAAAATATCTTTCGAGGGAGTTCACATTAGCGAGCGGCATAGTTATTATTGAAATGTGAAAATACAGGATCGGGACGGTTTCTTCACAAAGTTCAGGGGGCTACAAGATAATCGCTGAAAATACATGGTCAAATTTATGCATTAGGTCAGGGAAAAATTATAATCAGCAATAGACATACATGTATAGGCATTATGTTACCCAGTCCTAAAGCAAGAACACATAGAAACCAACCTCGTTGGAATCTCAGGGCAAGACTGCAAAGACAATCAAGCACTGACTATCAGTTCAATGATTCCCATCTGCGCATAAATGACGATTGTACACCACTCCAACAATTTGATCCAAGAATCTAAAGCATGTAGATAGATGTACAATGTAATATTCCTGTGACAATATGCACAATGTTTGTTTGCACAACACCTTTTGGAAACCAATATTATCTAAAATACTATATATTTCACTTAAATAATCATGTATACAGCTGAATAAACAGTTACAAATGCCAACAATGGAAAACTGTACCGACTCTATCGCCAATATAGAACAACTTCACAGACCAACCTGTAGGAATCAAAGGTAATGTTGAGATGGCAACAGACCTGATAAGGCTTTGGAAGAAGTAAAATCATCAGCTCTTTCCCCCTGACTTTTTGTAGTTTTAGGCTGTTAATATCAAAATGAGCAAAAATTTACCTCAGTGAAATTTACAATTTTATAAGGTGAGGCTACGCCAACCACAACGTTGTGTGGGCATGAAGAGCTACAGGCTAATTCCGCATTTTGCTCAACATCGGCACACTGAATGTGCAAACATTGCTATCAAAAGCCAGCCTGCATTGGGAGAAGGGACTCTTGCTTGCCTTTAACAAAGATTGAAAGCTCTTTTGGAGCAACCACCAATTTTAACCACTCCTGCAATTCCTCACCTTCTACTTTCTCATTCTCTGAACCAATAAATAAATAGTGTTAAAGCAGGGCACAAATTGACAAGGACAATAAAACTTAAATCAATTCAATATAAGAACTTAATATGGGGATATATTTTCATCAACCTCTTCGAGCTCATTTGCTTATGGAGCAGAGATAAGGACACATGAATAGCAAAGACCTAGCATCTAACTCTAATAATCACAACCATTCTATCTTATATGACACAAGAAGCAAAAGCAATACACCATACAAGTCAAGCAGTGAGCAAATTTTAAAATATCTCCTTTTAATGGCATTGGCACAACTAACTTCTTGAAAGAAATCATCGATTAATGAATAAGTTGGAGTTTATTGATACAATACTGTAAAAAAATCAACACCAATACCTAAAAGCAATATATTACCTTCCAGATGGGCACCAAGCCCTTCCAAGACAGTAGGATTAGCACGAATAACTGAAAGTGCTACCTCCAGGGAAGATTGCAACAATGCTTTCACCTCTCTTTGAACAAGATCAACAAGATGGCCCTGTTATATCAGCTGTGTCAGTCTTTGAGTAGACCATTGTAGGAAGAACTAAATGAACTTTCGAAAAAACAAAGAACCTGATCCCTTCCCCATGGAGCAGCTCCATAGTCATCCATCCCACCTCCAGAAAGTGTTGCTAGAGATATGGGTCCTATTGTCTGATTAAGACCATATTCTGCTACTGCCTTGTATGCCATGTCAGTAGCTCGTCTTATATCATCCAGTGCACCTGTTGATACACGACCAGAATATGCAACTTCTTCTGCTGCACGTCCTCCAAGAAGAGTAACCAAGCGACCACGTAATTCATCAATGAAGAGCAAATATCTGTCCTCATTTGTTGGAGGTGTATAAGTAAAGCCCAATGCTCCTCCTGATCTTGGTAATATGCTCAACTTCTGATGACATAAATATGGGTTATTATTATTGTATATCCATGCTATGCAACTATATAAATGGCAAAGTTTATATGTCACAAATTCTAAGGCCACACAAAATTCCGTACAGCATGTCTAAAACATCATTTTATCATTCTCATTATTCATAATATCAAACCAGTTTTAAACATCCTTGTTTTTTTCTTTGTGAAAAAAGGCAGTTAATCAGATTGTTGAAATTCGATATGTTCGCATATGCCAGACATACTGTGCAATTGCAACTTAATGCATTTGCATCCCTCAAGCTTCTGCATATATGCATCTCACTATGTGGCCATACATGCTACACTTATTAAATTTACTATAATTTTATTTGGGCCTCAACTCATTCCCCCTTGAGCACAAATGATATAAATGCAGACTTCATTTGGCATATTATACCTTGAATGGAAATAACTTCACCATTTCCTGAATTTAATTGAAGGCACTAACAGAAATAGGAACTAAGAAAAATAAAATAAAATTGCTCCCATGATTTTATTTTTACCTCAACTCGTGGTTGTCCAGGAAGGAGATTAGCAACAGCAGTGCCTACAACTGCATGACCAGCCTCATGACGTGCAACCACAGCTTTCTCACTTCCTTGTAACTTGGCAGTCTTTTTCTCTATGCCCTACGATATGATAAACAATAATTTGGTTAAGTTCAACATTTAACTGAAATCTCACTAAGGAGGAAGGTGGGGATTTTTTTTTTTTTAATTTCTAAATAGGAAGAATAACTATGTCTCCCATATACAAGACAATCTAGCCTGCATATCCATGCTGCATATCAAAATTGGTAGAAAGAAGCCAACAATCTTTGAATGTGAAGTGAGGCAATTTCCTACCTCCCTCAAACTCTCCCACTCCCTAGAAGAGAAGGAAATGTAGTAGACATCTTATGCCTAATTTCATTGAGGTTGGGACAAAAAGAGCAATCAATTAAAAGCCCATTAATAGAAAGAGATATGCATTAAAATGAGAGTGTGTCATATTCAACAAACATAAGGAAGGTCAGTGGCAAACAACGTAATTGCTTAGAATAAATTTTATATTCAAGACAAACAAGCAACAAGGAACCAACAACATGGATTGAATGGATCATCACATCAAGAGCTAACATCCATATTGATGAAGATAATGCACATGCTTAAAAACAAGCCTAAATAACATATCATTCCAGAATCAAGCCTTAAATTAAATATGTAAGTTTGAGGGCCATTTGTGAGAATTAATAGTCCTGGTTGATAAGTATCAGCCAATGCTTCAAAAAAAAAAAAAAAGTACAGATAAAAAAGAAGGAACAAAATCGTATGAAAAAGAAAAATCAATGGATACATTAAAGCAGGATAAAGCCAATTCTCATCTCCATGCCATACAGAGAAAATGAGAGAGGGAGAGATAAAGAGAGAGAGTTACAGCTATTGATCGCTCGACTGCATGAATGAAATCGACTTTCTCCACTACTATTTTGTTTTTCCTCCCTGCCAATAAAGCAGCTTCATTTACCAGATTTGCAAGATCAGCGCTGCAAAATAAAACAAATGGAAAAAGTCATATCAGAAATGTCAGCAGGAAACAGAGATAGAAAATCAATTAATCAGGGGGAAAATTACCCAGTAAAACCAGTGGTCATAGATGCAATGTCACTAAGGTCAACATTGTCTGCAAGAGGAAGTTCTTTCTTGGAAACATGCACTTTTAAAATGGCTTCTCTCCCACTCCTATCAGGCGTTTCCACCTAAAGACCATGTGAAACAAGCTTCTGAGACATTATTAAGTGAAACTTGCTTATATAGCCAATCTTGAACTTTCTAAAATGTGAATAAGCCATGTACTGACCATAACAACACGATCAAATCTTCCTGGTCGGCGAAGTGCAGGATCTAAGACATCTGATCTATTTGTTGCACCAAGAACAATCACAGCAGAATTGCTATCAAACCCATCCATTTCCTGCAATACATTTAATAACAGCTTAACTTCATATTGACAGAGCTATTGTAAATCAAAATGAAAAGGCAAAAGAACAAGGGAGTTTACAGTGAGCAATTGATTCAAAGTTTGCTCCCGTTCATCATTGCTAACAATGCGAAATTTTCCATCACGGCTCTTGGCCACAGCATCTATCTGCACGAACAAAATATGGCTGATATTGAGAATGCCTAGCTCTGGACATTGCAACCGAACTTAGGAACCATTCCTGTAATCTTACCATCTTACCTCATCAATAAATATTATTGATGGTGCCTCCTTCTTTGCCCGGGCAAATAGATCTCTTACACGGGAGGCACCCATGCCAACATACAACTCTACAAATTCACTTGCAGAACAACTAATAAATGGCACTTCAGCTTCTCCAGCAACAGCCTTTGCAAGAAGAGTCTTACCAGTCCCAGGAAGACCCACCTGTATGATAGACAAAAATGTTATATCCAACATTTCTCCATATCTATCCTCCAGAATCTAGTAAACAATTATATAATCTAACAGAATCAACACTCATCAGAAAACAAGCAGTTAAATTGGAACCGAGTAACAAGAACATGAAGTATGCAGGTCAACATCCTGTGGCACAGTACATACACTGTAATTATATATGAATCTAGCATAAAGAAAATATAAATGTATTTAGCACAAAAAAGATGGAGATTGCCGGCTACGAACATGGATATGGCAGTTGTGGAACTGTTGACAGCAGAAATTAATGAATTTCAGAAAAAAAAGGCTCTCGACAATACAATTGTAGCTAAGTTTTGAATGCTTACCAAGAGAACACCTCGAGGAGGCCGAGCACCAAGCCTTATATACCTGTCTGGATTCCTAAGAAATTCCTGGGCAGAGAAAGATAATTTCCTAATTAGTAAACAAAGACCATTTCTTAATTAGTGGAAAGAGGTTGAGAGATCCCATGAGAAACCATGATTCAGTAGGAGCAACACAAATGGCTAAGACTACCATACCACAATCTCTTCCAGCTCTTCTTTAGCCTCATCTACTCCAGCAACATCAGCAAAAGTAATTGTTTCTCCTTGCTCAGACACTTTTGCACCTCTAGAGCCCCCAGACTTGCGGTTCCTAATTTGACCAGCCGTATGCTGCACAACAGACATGTATCAAGTCAGTACATTACTTAATAGCATAAGCTTCAAGGTGAAGCAAAAAGTAGAATAGTTTGCACCTGAGAAAAGCTAACAGGGAAACGGTGAAGAAGCCCTGCAAGCACAGCCACATAGAACAAAGCTATCTGCACATAAAATGAAATCATAAATCCATAACATCATAAAACTCTGGATTACACAACTTATAACTTCAAAAAAGTAACCTATTTAATCCTTCCAACTGATTATCAACTGAGACATAAACATGTACATTCAGTTTATTACGCCATTTAGAATGTGTGTATCGAACCCCAAACCAAGAGTTAAGATAATAAATGAGCATACATGTTTAGCATACACATGAGAGAGACTTCAGTAGGAGATAAAGTCAAAGCCCTGAAACTACACATTGGCAGATCATGCCAACAGCACGCGAGTAGAACACTCCAGTTAAGATATGATTTGAAACTATAGGATCATTCAAACGATAGACTAGTACCTCCTAGGCAATCAAAGTAGCCAAAGCTGAGATTCAGTATGCACTAAATCATTGTTCTTTATCACCTTGGTAGTCTATCTAATAATGTAACTGAACATTCAATTACTATATGAAACCCATGCTTGATTAAACAATGCAAACTACCAGCTTCCCATAATATTAAAGAAGCACAAAAGTAAATAAAGATAATGAATTTACACTAATTACTGCCACTTCAGCTTCTTGAAATCATAAAACCGAACAAAACTCACCAAAGCGGAGTTGAAGAATCCACCAGACCTCTTATCAGGCGATCCAAACTCAACCTGATTATCAAGCATTTTCTCATAAGGAGTCTTAATATCAGTAGGCCTAGTAGTTGTATAAACAATCCTCTTAGTAGTAGGCGCAACACTCCTCAACAAGGACTCCGAATCCTGAAACTTACTATTAACTACTTCACTGTTACTACTCTCCTGATAACTGTTAACCACTTCATTTTTCAATTTGAACATAATATGTACACCATCAACCTCCACTTTCTGCACTTGATTACTATTAATCTTGCTCAAAAACTCACTATACGGCACACTAATAAAAGTCGTCGGTTGTCTTGGCTCCGACCCGGGTAAAGGTATACCAGGCCGGAGCAACCGCATAACAAACATAACAATCCCTAATTGCAAAAGCAAAACACCAATCTCTTGCGCTTGAATCAACGGTTGCCATTTCCAGCTTTGTTTCTTTGACCACCACCATTGACTTTTCCCTTTCCTCTGTTTAGGCCCTGAATTTGGCGGATTGTTACTCACTTTTTGCCCTTCGCTTTCGCTTCTGTTCTCGCTTGGACTGGCCGTTGAATCACTATCTTGACAATTAGCTAAAATTCTATACTCTCTTATCTTCTGGTTCCAAAGACTCGATCCTTTATTATTGCCTAGGGTTTTGGGGAGAACTACTGGAGAAAACGACGCCGGATTCGGAACAAAACGATGAGAATTGTGGTGGAGAAAAACCCTAGACTTGCAGCGCAAGAAGGAGAAACCATTAGAACAGTGAAATTTTGTATGCGTTATCGGCCTTAGAGTTTCAATCATCGATGACATGATTTTCTCGTCGTTACATAACCAGAATAGAAAAAGAAAATGAAAAACTGTTTTTATTTATAGGTTATTCTTTGTATTAAGTGATTTTTAGAGTTCAGACAATGGAGGAGAAGAAGATGATTACCAGTCAACGTGAGCCGTTGGATTTGAAAGAAAACCGGGATGGTATGATTAACCATCGGTTTTCCATTTTGGGATTTGTATTGGATAATTTCTCTCTCTTGTCATCGTTATCAGATGTCGCTTGGTTAGTGAATGAGGGATCATTGTGTGCGTTAAGGTGCATCTTGGAATATGTGTTCTGAGGTTTTAAAGGTGACACGTGTCATAAGATTGTCAGGTTCAGGGGTGATTTCAATCGGTGGCTTGGCGCGACAATCGCCACACATACGCTTGGATTTTATTGGGCTCAGTTTGTGGTTTGAAGCGATTAAAAAATAAGCCCATTTTTGTCCATATTCGGGTTGTAGCTGCTGGGCTGTAATTATCTAGTTTTGTAATTTTGTCCAAATCTATGCTCTCTCTTTTTACCTTCTAAATTTACATTGACTTTTACTTTGAAGTCCCAAAAAATAACCGAAGGAGCATAGAGTCTAACGATTAATTTAAAAACGTTATCTGTTTAACAATTTAACAATTTTATTTTTATTTTTTTATTACTTACGCGAAGTGTTCAGACTTATATCCGTTTTAACGATCCACAATGAATCTGATTAACTCTGCTTGCTCTCGAAAAGAGAAAGGCCGGCCAAGAACTTGATTTTTACTTTCAAAACTTGCTACTTGGCAAGACTAATTTAATAATTCTTCTGAGTTACTTCACATATATTCTAAAAGATTTTCACTTGCTTCAGTCACTTGGATTTCTGTAAAGCAAGAGATGGTAATATGCAAGAATGGAATGACATAAGAACATGGATAGGATAGAGACAACTGCAATATGCAGGCCTCGCTATGCAAAATTCCTCTTCAGATGCTATAAATTTTCCCCAAGTAATGCATAAAACATCATTTAACCAGTTAAATTTGAATTTAATAAATAGAAATTAAATTAGAGACACAAAATTTCAGTCACCGTATTGTGTCTTTAAAGTCTACTATATATATCCAATCAACTTAAAAATAAATAATAAAAAATTAAAAACTCTCATTCATTCTTCCGATATATTACAATATCAAAAATCTTTATCATTCTCATATTTTGATTCCTTAAAGATTTACTAAATACATAAATCTAATACCTCAAATAATAAAATATATATTACACATCCACGTGCATCGCGGGAGTCTGCTTATTAAATTTTAAGAATTAATTATAATTGTTAACCTTAACTTAATTTCATTAATTATTTGGAATATATTACAAGGTTTTGGGGCGTTGCATAATATATACAAGAGGGAAAAAAATATTATTAACCTCTTGTCTTAGTTCTTGGCTTCGCCCCCTCTTTCTATATATATATATATTTTTTTTTTCTAATACTAATAAATAGTATAAGATATTAGTCCATATAAAAAAATAATAATATAACTTAAAAAATTCATTATTTTTCTAATAATTGAATGATTAAATAAATTGAAATTAAATACTTAACAACATTTCAATTAAGAAGCAAAAGGATCATCTTTGCTAATTAAATGCTATGGTTTTCATGCATAACTTTATAATTTAAAAATGTAAGTTATGAAAGCCGGCGGTCGCCAGTGGTGATAGCCGATGGTGGTAGCCGTTGGTGACGATGGTAAATGGTAACTGGTGGTAATGACTATGATAATTAATAAATTAAAAAAAATATTATTTATAAGATTTATCAATGTCCGAAAAACGAAAAGTTATTTTCCTTAAAAAAATAACTTAAATTTTCCTTTCACCAGGAATATATTTTTCATTGGCTTATTTTTTTGAACGCCCCAACCAACGGAAAATTGTGAAAAATATTTTCCTGCAAGTTATTTTATAGAAACAAACAGAGCCTAAATCATCATTAAATTAACATTATTCAAATAAACTTCTAAATTTTAAATTTTAATAAAAATCTCTTATCATAAAATAATTTACTTTAAACCTTCGAGTGGTGAGATAGAATAGTAGATATCCTTTCTTTCTTAACTAGAGATCTCGAGTTCGAGTCCTGGTATGGAGTCCCTTTGTGCGCCTATGCGACGCAAATTCGGATTAGTCGGACCCGAATCCGGTTATTTAAATTAATTTTTGAAACTTTAGGTCTTAATAAAAATCTCTTATTACTAAAAAAAATTTCACAAATCAAATACTCTGCAGCAATAACAACTGCCAAGAAGATATATACCTGTTTTCTATTTTATCCGATATCTATAAAAATAGCAAGTGCAATTCCTAAATAGAAGGATCTCACATAGCTCCCAACCAAACAAAAAAATTTTCTAAAAATGAAACTCCATTTCCAATTCTATTGACAACAAATCACAGATTTTTGCTGGACTTCTTTTCTGGGTAAAACTGCCCTCTCTTGTCATCTTCTTCTGTGCACATTTCAGTTGCTGTCTCAAAATCATGTTATAACCCACAATTTTTTTTTTCCCCTCTTGTTCTGGCCATTTTTAAAATTTGATTCTCAGCCACTTTTTAACAAGAATGCTTGAAAAATTAAATGCCAATATGTGAAGAAATTTAAATATTTTCTTGTTCTTTATAGATTGTTGCAGACAAATTTAAAATTAAAAATGGGTGTTGAGGTAAAGAACATTCAAGCTTTTATATGGAGAGTTCTTAAACTTTCTATAAACATTTGCATTATATTTGTACAAAAGCATCCATTTGTTTCAAGTTTATTTCTGTTCTTGTTTTCTCTGTATTTTTTTCTTCCTAAAATTTTCATTTTCTTTATTTACTCTTCTCCATTGATTGCCTGCACTGCTCTTTTTATCCGATTTCAACGTTCAAAAATCCAAAATGATCTCAAGAAGGATCGTGCAATGTCATCTGTTATATCTGAACCTAAAGCTTCTGATCTTATAGTCAATAAAGATGATAAATCTTGTATGCGTAGAAATGTTAAGGAACAGAAGAAAGAATTGGAAGCAACAGAAACAATTATGCAAGAAAAGAAAATTGTTTCTTCAACAACAAATCCTAATGAAGGAATCAAAGAGGAGAAAAAGGCTTCTTCTTCCTGTAGTGTTTCGCGAAATGTGTCAATTGGTGAAAATATTGCAGAATTTAATAAAGGGTCAAATTCTGATTTTATTTCCTTAAATGGGTTAGAAGAGCAAGCAGCAAAATTTGATGGTGGTGTTGGTGGTGAGACGGAGTTGGAAAACTCAGTAAGTTCCGACGATGAAGAAGGAGAGACAAAAGAAGCTGGAAATAAAGCTGTGGAATGGAATGAAGATGATCAAAAGAATTTAATGGATCTGGGAATTTCTGAATTAGAAAGAAACAAAAGATTGGAAAGTTTAATTGCAAGAAGAAAAGTAAGAAAGTTATTCAAAATGCAAACTGAAAAGATACTAATTAGTTCAGATTTTTATGCTTCAATTCCAGTTGCTCCTGTTTTTGTCTCAAGAGGAAACCCTTTTGATGTTCCTGATAATCCTGATGAGCAAGGTCCTGGTTCAGCACCTTCTGTTTTGTTACCCACTCGAAACCCATTTGACCTTCCATATGATCAATTTGAAGAAAAGCCCGATCTCTCAGCAGATAGTTTCCAACAAGAATTCATGGCACCTCTTCAAAAGGATTTGATCTTCTGCAGGCATGAGAGCTTTAGTTTAGGACCTTCTTTTCCGCTGGATCCCACTAATTTTACAGCAAACAACAGATTTAGAAGGCAGCAGCAGCCAGGTGAAGACGATATATTTTCCTTTTCTTTTTGTTCCCATCACAAATTAATGAACATTTTGCAGGTAAAGGAGGAAAGGACTTGCTAGTGGATAATTTACTCTCTGAAAAAGGCTCTCAAGGCGGAGAAGAAGGTACTTTGCAACGTAATTTAAGTGTCACTGATCTTGTGGCAGAAGGTGAATCTTCAAGCAAAGGTACAACTACAAACCAACCTGAAGAGAAAGATGGAGAAGCTGAAACTAGTAGAATAGAAATGAAAGATGAAAATATAGATAATGCTAAAGAAGTGACTGTAAGTTTAGGGATAGAAAGCAATACTGAACTGGGTACAAATGAAAAAAATGAATCAGGCTCATCTTCTGATAGCGATCAGGTCATAAGACCAAGAAAACCTGAATCTTTAACAATCCCACCTCCTGTATTATTTAGATTTCCTGAAGTGTTGATCCACACTCCTTCACCCAATTCGACTCCTTGTCCGATTCCTAAAGCAAGAAGTACACATGAACAAAACTCTTATGCTGCTAGCCCTGCTACAATTGACAGGTCACGAATAGAGAATCATTTACTTTACACTAACAATGGACCTTGGCATACTCCTACTAATTCCATAGCTTCCGATATGCAAGTTGAGGTATCAGAAATTGGTTCACCTCCAGTTACAGGAGATGGATCAGCTTCATCTAATGATGGAGGGTCTTTGACTTACGACGGGGATGTAGAGAAGGAAATTACTTCTGGAAGTGATGAAATGTGGGGTAACTCACCTTATGCACCAAAAGTAAATGAGGATATTAAAATTGCATCAACTTCAAGAACTGCATTAGCTCAGGAGGGTCAAAATCATACAATTGTTTCTGATAATAAGATCTCCAATCCTGTAGAAAATGAAGGTCAAGAAACTCTACCAGAAAATTTGATGGAAAGAACTAACAAACCTCATGAAGGAGATTTGCAGCAGCCAAAGGTAAATGTGTTATAGCAGCAAATTTATAATTACTTTGTTATGCTTAACTTTTATCTATTTGCAGATATAGTGAATACAAAAATGCCTGGATCCTTCCTGGATAGTGAAAATTAATTCATTCTCTATTGGGTTTAACAATGTTAACTTTCGGATGTCAAGCAGGAACCAAAATCTGAAGAGGAAGTGAGCATGAGTTATAATGGGGATGTTGCTGTAAATGAAATTGATGAACTGGGAAGCGCGAAATCAGTCGAAGAAAAATCAGAATCTAGCCAGAATACTGAAAGGAAGTCATTGAATATTCTTGATCAGTCAGTAGAGGAAGCTAACATTCATGATGACCCAGTAGTTAAGCTAGATGAAAACAGGAAAGCAATTGAAGACATAGATGCTAGAATTGAAAAATATATTGAACAAGAAGTCTTAGTAGACCTGTCGAAACGAGCTGAGGAAAGTACTTCAGAATATAAGAACAGTGAAGAAGGGAAAGAAAACTCAAGAGAAGTTGAAGTTTCTACATCAGGAACACAACTGGAATTGACAGTTGAAGAACAAGTTTTTACTAATTCAAGTTCTCCTTCATCTCCTACGTCTATTTTACCAGCCAGGAATCCTTTAGAAAAAACATTTTCAGATCTCAGTGGAATATTAGAAGCAACAGAATTTGATATGGAGGAGACAATAGTGAGAAATAAATTGTTGGATGGAGTGAGAAATAAGTTGTTGGATGAACAAGAACTAGAAAATCTACCTCCACTCCCACCTCGTCAAAATGCACAGCACTTAACAGATCAACCATCTATTAGTAGCAAGTCTGAAAAATCTGAGGTCAGTAGAGTTCACACGTGTAAGAGATTAGAAATTCTCATTCAGATAAGATAACCGAACTTGTTTTTTTCTCATTCTATTAACAGGAAACTTCAAATAAAACAGAAGAAATATTCATTAGAAATGAACCCATGCAGCTTAATGATGGAGAACCCAAAATGGAGGATCTAAAATCTGCAAAAACCATAAATGGTGAATTGCAGACATCAATCAATAATGAAGAGGTATTACTATATATTTCGGTCTGTTTCCATTAGAAAAAGGAGAGGTAAAAGTTTACTGTTTTACTTTTGCTCTAATATTATATATGCATGCAAAGCAACTGTTTTGTATTGACATTTGACAGGAAAACGAACTCTTTTGCAGAAATCTACATCCATTAACAATGCAGTAGCCGATGAAATGACCATTAAAGAGAACTTTGAGCTTGTTATAGATGGTGAAAGTGAGTCTCAAAGATTAGACAAAAATACAGATACTAATGAACAAACTTCAAGATCCATCGAAGATACTGAGGCAGAATCAAGAAACTTGCAGGTAGAAGAAGAAAGTAAAAGTTCAAATAACATAGCAGATCACACAATCATTGATGATGAGATTAAGGCTCCCATATCAGAAGCAAGTGACGGAAAAACTGAGGCGCAATGAGAAGCAATGGAAAGCATTTTTGGATTTTCATTTTTTTTAAGAACAAAAAGAAAAGGCAGATGCGTCAAGCTGACTGAAGAGAAAGTTAAAAATCAAATTTTTTCTTAACATGCCAAATTAATAGAGCTTTGTATATTTACTTAGAAATAAAAAGTTCTTATAGGTTTTAGTGAGTTTTACCATCACTAAAATTGAAACTTTGATAAACTATTTGTCTCATTGTTTCTATATATGGGTTATCATATCAAAATTTTGACATAGTACTGATCTTTTCTTTTTTTTTCCTGGCCCTCTAATCTTTCCATGACAAAATGTTATCTTCCCTATGATCCATGGAAATGACTTCACCTGAACCTACAAGTCCAATGTTAATCTTCTTTTGGTTGTAGTACGTAAATGTTTTTGAAACTCGCAGTAAGCTTTCAGACAATCAGAGTTTGTGTTTTTACCCTTATAGAAATTATAAACATCGAGGTTGTTTATCAACCCACTAATACTTTATTAGTCTATATACTTCATTACCCTTATTATTATTATTATTATTATTATTTTGCTTTGTCGTGATTCCATTTGACGAGGCAAATTATCCGACCTAATCATTGACCCAGTAGTAATAATATGCCACGTCAGCTAGATAACTAATGAATTGTGATAAGGTTAACTGAGTTTTACTGTTAGATTTGCTAAGGATTAAGATTTTATCATTATCATTTTGAGGATAAAATTTTTTATCTAATTAGTAATTACTCCTGGAGTAATAATATCGTTAAATTAAATTTTATTTAGTTTTTTAATATATTCTTAAATTAATTTTTAAATGATCTATATAATTTTTTAATTTAATTAAATGGTTCATACTAGATTATTTTTAAAACTAAATAAAATTTAATTTTTTAATGTAAAAATCAAGCCAATTAAAATTATGGAATTGACTAATATTGATGTTATTATTTATTAATATTAAGTGCACATTAAATAAGGATAGAATAAAAAAATAAAAAAATTTATCTTATAATAATGAATTTTATCAATAATCATTATTATTATGAGAGATTAGTTCCATCCGTATAAATGAGTGGATGAATAATAATAATAATAATAATAATAATAAGATAGTTTCTGGCTGGATATATTATAACGTGTTTAGCTCAAAAAAAAAAAAAAATTAACCCTTCGTTTTTGTAGAAAAAGGTTCTTTATTGTATATATTTATTTAAATTAATTTTTTTTTTAATATTAAACAATGGACTACTAGATACGTTAATCATTGTTTCTATTAGTTCAGACCACCAATTAAGTGCTGACCTCCCGATTTAAAACACCATATAGAATGCATCGAACTCGAGTAGTGGTGAGAGAAATGGATATAAAGTAATATTTTACTAATATATATCCATTTTTCTTAAAAAAAATTATACATAATTTGAGATATTTTAGGGATCATTAGGATTTTGAATATCAAGAAGATATACTATTTAGATAATGTAAATTGTTCAAAAAGAAAAAAGACAAAAGATAAATATTCAATTAAATTCCCATTAGTTGCCACATGATTCTTTGACTATATGTATCTCTTCTAATTTAAGCAAGTGTTGTTGGACTTGCAGAAAAAAGAGAAGCCAGAGACAGCAGCTAAAAGTCACTAAACCAAACAAAAGATGCAAGAAATGAACTGAGGTGTGACAGAATTTATTTGATCCGAAGTCTTTCTTTATAAAAAAACCAAGAATTCCACCATGGGCGGCAGCGTAATCACGGCAGAAGCCGGTGGTGGTCCTCAGGGCTTCCCCGGCAAGCTCACCAGGCACGTCTTTGTTTGTACAATAATTGCAGCTTGTGGCGGTCTCATGTTTGGATATGATATTGGCATTTCTGGTAATATTGTCGTGTATATAAACTCTGTAACGATCTTTCTTTAATTTTGTTTTCTTTTAATGTTATATCTTTGAATCTTGAGACACAAAAGATACAATCTTTTTTTTATATATATGGGTATTATTGTTACTAGGAGGAGTAACATCAATGGATGATTTCTTGAAGAAATTCTTCCCTACTGTTTATATCAAGAAACATCAAGCAAAGGCAGATAATTACTGCAAATACAGTAATCAATATCTTCAACTTTTCAATTCTTCTATATATATTTCAGCTATTGTGTCTAGTTTTTTTGCTTCAATTGTTAACAAGAAATGTGGTAGAAAACCCACTATCCAAATTGCCTCTGTTTTATATCTTATTGGTGCTGTACTGAATGCTTTTGCTCAAAATCTTGCAATGTTGATTGCTGGAAGGATGTTTATTGGTGCTGGAGTTGGATTTGGGAACCAGGTGAATAAAATAAACAACGTTTCTTTATGTAATTGATGTTATGTTAGAAAATGTTTTTGTTACCTATTATATTAAGTGTTTGAGAAAATGGCAATGCAGGCAGTTCCATTGTTTATATCAGAAATAGCTCCTACAAGATATAGGGGTGGTCTTAACATCTGTTTTCAGTTGTTCGTCACATTTGGAATTTTGATTGCAAATATTATCAATTATGGTACTTCAAAGTTGCATCCATATGGTTGGAGGCTATCTTTGGGTGGTGCTGCTGGGCCTAGTTTAATTCTTTTTGTTGGCTCAATGATAATTGTAGAGACTCCAACAAGTCTTATAGAAAGAGGGAAGATGGAAAAAGGGTTGTCTACACTTAAGAAGATTAGAGGTGTTGATGATGTTGAAAAAGAGTTTGCTGAAATTTCAAATGCTGTTGAATTTGCTAAACAAATTAAACACCCTTTTAGGAATCTCATGAGTCGGTATAATAGGCCTCAGCTTATTTGTGGTTCACTTACGCAATTCTTCCAGCAAGTCACAGGCGTCACTGCAGTCATGTTTTATGCGCCTGTGCTCTTTCTGACTATGGGGTTCGGAGATGATGCATCGTTGTTAGCTGCTGTTGTGGCTAATACTGTCAAACCATTAGGTACTGTGGTTGCTATGTTTATTGTGGATAGATTTGGAAGAAGGGTATTGCTTGCACAAGCTGCTATTCAGATGCTCATTTCTCAGGTAAGCTAGCAATGTTGGACGTTCTATAAAATTAACCTGAATAGGTTATGAAGAATGTTTGCCATGACAGTGACACACTGACATGCTGATTCTGTTATTTTTCTATGGCTATTAGACTTTTGTCTCATGTCTTTAAACGAGCTGAGCTTGAATCGAGCTCAAGCTTTTATCAGCATTCACAAACCAAACTGAACAACTGAAAGCTCGAATCGACTTTACTCGTTTATTCGTTTACAGCCCTAGTCTCAACCAACTGACTTGCCTACAATATGGCTGCGAAGCCATTAATTATTAAGAATTTTACTAATGGCCAATTCTGACTATCAAATCAGATTTCTGTCCCTAGTTATTGTTTAGCATTACTAACTCCAATCATGGTTTTTTATCCCTTACAGTGTGCGATCGGGGGAATTCTAGCAGAGCACTTGAAATCTACAAATGTTGTGCCAAGACATTATTGTTTAATAGTGATTGTATTGATTTGTATATTCTTGGCTGGTTTTGCTTGGTCATGGGGTCCCCTTGGCTGGTTAATTCCTAGTGAATCCTTTCCGGTGGAGACTCGAAGTTCTGCTTTGTTCATTACTGTTAGTATGAACATGTTCTGCACATTACTCATAGCACAATCATTCCTAACCATGCTGTGCCATATGCGAGCTGGGATATTCTTCTTCTTCGCCTTCTGGCTCGGTGTGATGGCCCTTTTTACAGTTTTTCTACTGCCTGAGACAAAAGGAGTCCCAATTGATGAAATGATCGATAGGGTATGGAAGAAACATTGGTTTTGGAAGAGATACTACAATGACTATGATGGTGGTGGTAGCAAGGGACAGGAAAAACTCTAAGATAAAAGGGTTAATTGTATGATTAGTGTCCGAACTTTTTGATTTTTGCTATATTGGTGTTTGAACTGAAAAATTTTCTGATCAATTGTCTAATGTTCAAAAAACTTTTCAAACAGATTTTTTTTTTTTGCATGTGGCAGGCTGAACTTGACATTTGGATCAAAACGGGATCCACCATTTGCCACATCAGTATATGATCTGCCATTTCATAAAATCAACCGGTCACATGTACTCAACGTACCATTTAATCTTAAAAAGACATTATTGCCCTCGTATGATCGACTTAACATATTTACTTCTCTTTCCAAACAAAACATAGCCTAAAATTAATTTTCTTTCCAAACAAATTGCAGAAATTTCCTAAACATTCAGATAATCTTTGACTAATTTTCAAGATTCACTATCCAACCAAAATTCAAATCATCAAGAAATTATGTCAGATTTGAAATTCCCTATATATACAAGATGTTTAAAGCCCAAAAACAAAATAATCGATCCCAATGTTCATCTCTCAATTTTAATATGAACAAAATCCATAAAAGAAAATAGGGCTGTTAAATTGATAATTTCTCATCCCGATCCAAATCCCAAGCAAGATCTGTTGTGTTGTTGGCTTGGCCCTGCTTCCTTTATTTTTGATTTTTTTTCTTTGGAGCCATATTGATCGATAGTTGTGGGAGAAGATGTGACGTGTATACATTTAGTTACTTTTATGATTGGGAATGGTGTTTTATGGAGGTAAATGGCTAAATTGATGAATAAAGCGTGAGGGTTTGGTGATGTGAAAGAGATATGAGGTTCTTATTTTGATCGGAAAGGGCGAGGATAGAGAGAGAGGTTAAATTAATTGTTAATAAGGGCAAAAGAGTATTTTTATTTAGTATTAAACGACATGTGAAATGCACGTGACATGATGATTTGGAAGTCTACATTACACATGATCTATTGATGTGTTAAAAGGTGTGTCTCATATTGCGCCAGCCGTGAAATCTGGCACGTCACGTGTGCCAAAAGACATATGATTGGTAAAATCTTTTACCATTAGACAATTGATTACAAAATTTTTCCATTCAAACACCAAAATAGTAAAAATTGAAAAGTTTAAACACCAATGATGTAATTAGCCCTAAGAGAATACAATTGAATAAAAATTTATTGTTGTCATTCTTTAATTGTGTCTTTTCTCTCTCTCTCTCTTTTTTTTTTTTTTTTCATTTTCTGTCTAATTGTTAGAAAATAATCAAATTGTAAATGGCTTACAGTTTCTGCTTGAAAGGATACGTGCAATTGATTTCCAATTATATTCTTCTTCCTATTTCTCTTTATGTCCTTGTTTGGCATGAGATAACTTGAATTTATATAACTTAATTTAGTTATGTTAAATTTCATAAAATTAAATTCATAAGTGTGAAAAAAATATTTTCGTTTATAAATACCAAACAAGACCTATTAAGTGTGATATTGCAAATTTGCAAATCTTGCTCGTATGGGAATGGGAAGTAATATTGAAACTCTATTAAGTTTGATATTGTAATCTAAAAAGAGTGATTCACAGCGGAAAGAGTGACTCGAATAATAAGACATCCACACACTTGAGTGTTCAAGTCTCATGCTAAGAAATGCAATTTGCAAGGGGTTAGTTCATTATTTTTCATACGAAGATGGAGAGTATACCCTTTATTCTCTCCAACCATTTCTTAAAATGTGCTGACTGATAGAGGGGGCCAAGCTAGGATCTTCACCTTAGTGGAGGCATTGTAAATTGATATTGATATAGATATAGTTATGTCGGACGCTAACAATACATAAATTGTGCTGGCTACATACAGTTAGGCTAAATATATTTTTCAAGTATATATATATATATATATATGTTTGTTTAAAATTATTTAAATTTACTTACGGGTTTTGGTTCAATTGATAATATAGACTGAACATGTGTGTAAAGCTCTCGGGTTCGATCTCTACTAAACACACCTGTAGGAAGGGAAGAAATACCTCAACTATGACTAAATTTTAAGTCGGATTAGGTGATTCTTGCTATCCTTGGTATCAAAGTCTGAACATAGGTGGTTTGTAAAAAACAATTATTTAAATTTTCTTTTCTAACTTTTTGGAGAAAAACAAGTTTTACAAAACTATAAATTTGTTATTTTCGAAATTTAGTTTTCACTTTATATTTCCTTTTTTAGAATATATCTCCTTTATTCTAGAATTTATTTTATTTTTATTATAGAGTTTATCTTATTATCTTCTCTATGTCTATATAAATCTAACATAATTTATTTATTTAAATTACTGGAATATTAATTTCATCGGTATTGAAAATTCTCTACTCTTTTTACATTATTTTCTCTATTATATCAATTTAATATGATTTATTTATTTAAATCACTCATACTATTTATCTAAATTTAATGTAACTTTTTTATTTAAACCATTTACACAGTATTAATGCACTTTGAAATTTAAAATTTGAAGTATAATATTATTATTTTGATATTAAATTAGGAACTTTTTTATTATAATTAATTAAATTATCAATTATCAATAACTAATAAAAATAATAAATTTAATATACATGATATATTTTTTTTTTTTGATCATCAATGTACATGATAAATTTGATATATTGAAAATTGTAAATAGATTATATTTATATATATGTATATGATAAATTAGAGTAATTTTTCATATTATGAATGAAGAGAAAAAGCAAAATAATTGTAGGTAAAAAAATAATTTCAAATAACATAAAATAAAAAAACAAAGATAAAAAATAAACACCAAAAACTATAACAAACAGGCCTAAGATTTTTTTTTTTTTTAAATTGAAACTGTTTTTACCCAAAAAGCAAGAAAGATTTGTTGATAAGCTATTGAACAGAAGGTGATATGTAATACAATGGATAAGACCTGCCTACTACAATATCCGAGTATAACGAAATTATCCAAACTAAAAGGGTAAGTTCCAAAGAATTTGGGATCGCCTGAGAAGAGAGATTTCAGTAGGCTATCAAGATATTGATAATATCTGAAATTTGGGATTTTTTAATTGTACCTCCAAGCTGGCTCTAACTATATATATATATATAAATACGTGTATAATCCGAAGACAAACTCCGATCAAAGTAAAAGCTGCAACCATGCCTGGAATCATGGTAGAATCCGGCGGTGGCAAAGACCTTCCGGCTAAGCTCACCGGACAGGTTGTTATTTGCAGCATCATTGCAGCATTTGGTGGTCTCATGTTTGGCTATGATATTGGCATTTCTGGTATTATGACCATTATTTTTTGTTTACTATATCATTTCAAATCTTGATTATAGCATTTGGGATTTAATAGATTATGAATTTTCTTGATGTTAATGGTGATAGGAGGAGTAACTTCCATGGATGATTTCTTGGAGAAGTTCTTTCCAACAGTTTATATCAAGAAACACAAAGCAAGAGAAGACAACTATTGCAAATACGATAACCAATATCTTCAGCTATTTACTTCTTCACTTTACCTAGCTGCCATTTTATCCAGCTTTTTAGCTTCTTTTGTTTGCAAGATATGGGGCCGGAAACCCACCATTCAGATTGCTTCAGTCTTCTTTCTCATCGGAGCTATCTTGAATGCCGTTGCTCAAAAACTCGGTATGTTGATTGCCGGAAGGCTTTTTCTCGGTGCTGGAGTTGGGTTTGGTAATCAGGTATAAGAAAATTCAAAGAATATATATACATTTGTACAAGCATTTTCTTCCTTTCAATAATTTCTTAACATACGAAAACTAATCCATGCAGGCAGTGCCATTGTTCATATCAGAAATTGCACCAGCAAAATATAGGGGAGGCCTTAATATATGTTTTCAATTGCTAATCACAGTAGGAATTTTGATAGCAAATGTCATTAACTATTTTACCTCAAAGTTGCATCCACACGGTTGGAGAGTTTCTCTAGGTGGAGCTGCAGTTCCTGCTATAATTCTCTTTATTGGCTCTCTTGCTATATCAGAAACCCCAACAAGCTTAATCGAGCGAGGAAAGAATGAAAAGGGTATAAGTGTTCTAAAAAAGATTAGAGGTGTTGATAATGTTGATGAAGAATACATAGAAATTTTAAATGCTATTGTGTTAGCTAGACAAGTTAAAAACCCATTTAGAAATCTCATGAATCGGTCTAATAGAGGACAACTTGTCTGTGGAACAATTCTTCAGATCTTTCAGCAGTTTACAGGCATCAATGTGGTGATGTTTTATGCACCAGTTTTGTTTCAGACTATGGGGTTTGGAGGTGACGCTTCTCTTTTATCAGCTGTAGTTACTGACTCTATCAATGTGGTGTGCACATTGGTTGCAGTTTTTGGTGTTGATAAATTTGGAAGAAAATTTTTGCTGCTGGAAGCTGTTCTTCAAATGCTCGTTGCCCAGGTAAACCAACCAACTCTCAGTATATTGTGTTAATAGCGCTGCAAATGAGCCGAGGCTAGGCTCGACAAAAAAAGTTCAGTATTAATGTGATTTTGTTTCTTGCAGACTGTAATGGGAGTGACTCTAGATATGCATTTGAAATCTACAAACATAATGCCAAAGCATTCTGCTGTTCTTGTTCTGGTGATGGTATGTATATTTGTGTCTGGTTTTGCATGGTCATGGGGTCCTTTAGGATGGCTAATACCAAGTGAAATCTTCCCCTTGGAAACAAGAAGTGCTGGTTTCTTCTTCGCTGTCAGTATGAACATGTTCTGCACATTTCTAATTGCTCAAGCTTTCCTCACTATGCTCTGCCATATGCGATCTGGGATCTTCTTCTTCTTTGTTGCTTGGATAATTGTGATGGGTCTTTTTGCCATTTTCTTTCTTCCTGAAACAAAAGGAGTTCCAATTGATGAAATGAATGAAAGAGTATGGAAGAAACATTGGTACTGGAGAAGGTATTTTAAGGATTCTGATCAAAAGAGAATCCTAGAAAAACCATAAGGTTGTGTTTATAATATCTTGTTCTCTCTTTTTGTAGGGTAAGAATAATTGTTTTCAATTGATTTCCATTTTAGTAGTCTTGTAGGTTCAATTTTAGTGTATTATTATTATTATTATTATTGTTAATTATTGAGTTAAATTTCTTATTAATGCATGTGTATTTGGCGTGCTACTCATATGGAACATATTTATTTATAATTAATAATTAGAACATTTGTGCCAAAATTAAGAAAATATTAGAAAATAATACTATTTATTCATAAAAAAATCTCTTCATTAGAAAATATTGACAACCGAAAAATTATGGCACGTGACTTGATCTCTCAAATAAATAAGATGAATAAGCAAAATTTTATTTTAGTGGAAAAGTGAAGTTTTGCTGTTTTCCCCTTTTTCTCATTTTGATTTCTGAGATGGAAAGTTTTGTTTCTTAGCTGCACGTCAATTTAACAATACTTCTACTGGGCCTGTGGGCCATGACTATACCCATCATTTTCCGGCCCGCTATTAAAAACAGAAAATGGCACCTGTATTTAATTGGCCACTACCTATGCCCCGCGATTTCCGCCGTTCTAGTAGATATCATTTGTTGTAATAATTATCTGTAGTTGTTGTAACAATTATCGGTTGTTTTGGTTAGATATTAACTGTTGTGAATTGTTTATATAATGATTTAAAATAAAAATATTCCGTAAGAATAAATATTTAATTCGTTATTTAATATAAAAAGATAAAAAAAAAAAGAACATACACAAGTGATGTGCATAAATTTAATAAAAAATTTATAAAAACACTTAAGGTTAATAAGAAGACATTTCGTGAAATATTGCCTCATACTCTAAATATTATGATAGATGTGACATTACTGAATACAATAATTAATTAAAATTTTAACCTAATCAAAATACTAAACGCTATTTCTATGTGATAAATGAGTGCCTTGACCGTAAAATTAAAAATAATTATATTAAACCTCCGTTTCTTTATTTCTTTTAATTCTTGTTGTTTAGAAGAATAGCTAGGAATATTTTGTAAGAAAAATAATTTTTTAAAAAAAAATAATATTTCACACGGATTCATATGTTATGGTAAAAATTTCACTCATTTTTATTAAATTAACTAAATATCATAAATTAATTAACAAATTTTAATCCTTTCTTAAATATTTTACTTTGGGAAGGAAAAAAAAAATATGGAAGGAAAATAAAAAGGAAAAATATAAAACAATCTTTCCTCTTACTGTTTGGATATCTCGTAGGGAAATAAGAAAGGAAAATGATTTTATAAATCGTAAAATTATGAATTGAATCCTTAATAAAAAAATTCAATAAATAGAATAAAATTATAATTTTAATCATTTTACTCCATCGTTTCTTTCAAATTGAAGAGAAAATGAAACGTGAGTCCTATGATCTATTTTTTTTCTCTATATTTTCCTTCTTCCCATATTTTATCATTTCCAAACAAGTGAAAAAAGGAAAATTGGTACTATTTTCCTTCTCAATTTTCTTTCCTCTCTTATTTTCTACCAATTCAAACATAATATGAGGGAGGACATAATTGTCAATTTTTAATAATAGCATTTCATTTTTTATACAATTTTATCCTTTTTAAATAAAAAAATAAATTTATTTTTTTCTCGCATTATCCAAACCCGTAGTAAAAATAATAATAATAACAATTTTTTATTATTTTCTTCTCTCTTTCTCAAACAAAAGAAATTTATTTATTTATTTGGCACGTGCTCAACTATACTGTACCAATTATTGATTCTAACATCACCAGTTGTGGGTACCAACTACCAAGCACATGTCATTCTGGTAAAAATTCAAAATTTTCTTCATACAGTTTGATTAGTCTTCTTGCCGGAATCCAGTCGAAGCAGAGGCCAGCAAGTTCAAGAGTATGGATTCTCCTTGCATTTACAAAGACCCAAATGCACCAGTAGAAGCTCGTGTCAAAGACCTCCTTTCAAGAATGACTTTGAAAGAGAAGGTTGCCCAGATGACTCAAATAGAGCGCCGCTTTGCCTCTCCTTACTACCTCAAAGACCTCGCCGTTGGTACCTTTCGTTTAACTCTCTCGAGTTCTCGAATTTTTGTTTTTTAACCATTTCTTCATATATTTGATGGACTATTGTTTGGTAGGGAGTGTTCTTAATGTTGGAGGAAGTGGACCCTTTGAGAATGCTTTGTCGTCTGATTGGGCGGATATGGTTGATGGGTTTCAGAAGCTGGCACTTGATTCCCGGTTAGGTATACCAATTATATATGGGATCGATGCTGTCCATGGTAACAATGGTGTCTATGGTACCACTATATTTCCTCATAATGTTGGCCTTGGAGCTACTAGGTCAGTTTTTTATGCATTGTTTTGATTAATTTAGAATGGCAGCATTCTCATACATTTTTCTGTTAAGTTTAAAGAATTCCATATAAAATTTGACACATAAATTTTGGTTTTTGAACTCTAATTGTCAAAATGTGGTATAGGGATTCAGATTTGGTAAGAAGGATTGGTGTTGCAACAGCTCTTGAAGTTAGGGCAAGTGGAATTCATTATACTTTTGCTCCTTGTGTGGCTGTAAGTTGTTGCCTAATTGTTGGTTATCCTTTTAAGTTTTGTAGTTTTGGCGGTTCTAGCAGGGGGGGGGGGGAAAGCAAGGCATAGTTACTTCAATTTTTAATTTTATATTACACCATCTGTGTCAGATAAGGATATTTGGAATACGAGTAACACAAGTTGAATCAGTGGGAAGATCAACGGAATTTTGAAAAGCAGGCGAACCCAACCCATAGACAGATACCTGCATTAGATACCCATACTGGAGCTCAAGTAAGTAGGAATAAGGAGATCCTGATCTGAGAACTAGGGACAGTTCTATCTTCTCTCTCTCTCTTTTGCCACAATTTACAATATCATTTGAAGGACACGTGCCATTTTTCATTTGATTTTAATTCAAATGTCATTTTTAGTTGCACTTTACCCAATTGGTTGGTTGCTGGACATTCCTTTTGAACTTGGTGACCTTTTGACAGATGCATAGAGAATTAGCACGCGAAGCAGTTCGGAAGTCATTGGTTCTCCTGAAAAATGGGAAGGACCCAAAGAAAACTTTTCTTCCATTAGACAAAAATGCTAAAAAGATTCTTGTTACTGGAACACATGCTGATGATCTTGGATATCAGTGCGGTGGCTGGACTATAACTTGGGATGGATTAAGCGGCAGGATTACTATTGGTATGGAGTTTTCTCAATTGCTAATTAATAAATATAACTGATGTTGGTGTTTGTGTATGTGTGCAAGCTTTCTTATTCTCATTGATGATGTTCCTTGGTAGGAGTTTCTCTCATTGGGTTGGTATTATTTTCATTTTCCTCTATGCCAACACTGCCTTTCTCCTTTTGCTTCCTGCTGAATTGCATTGATAAATTGCATATATAGATTCTACGCACACTTGTTGATGTGCCTTGGTCCCAAATGCTGAGTGCATGATTGCAATTTGCATGTTTTCATCTCCAATGTCTTTCCATATTGTAATATTTTTAGAGGTTTACTTTGTTAACTAGTAAAATGTAATTCCATTGCTAGCATTTCCCCTTTCTCCTTGTTAAGGATTAGTTATAAATAGAGTTCTATTAGGAGTTAGATTCCTAATTAGTTTATGATTTGTATTCCTAAATAGCTAGCGTAGGAATTCCTTATGATCCTAATTAGTGTTATGATTTGTTTCCTAAATAGCTGAGCGTAGGATTCCTTATATATTTATGATCCTTTTGGTAATTCGATGATGAGAATTACAAGGATATAAATTAAATAGTTTTCTCAATCATGGTATCCAGAGCCTTGCCATTATAAAAAAAAAATAAAAAAAAAATCCTCCGAAACTTCCCTTAAAGAGTAAGCCACTGCTACCTTAGGTAAGCCTTCTAGGGTTTAGTAGTTTTTGCCCTCACCTGCTCATCTTCAGGATTATTCTCGCAGCCGGCCTTGATCAGCGACCTGCCCGCAGAATCCGGGTCGCTGGATTCCAAGCGAATGGCCCCCACCCTTCTTTCCTTCCATGCTCTGGTTCACGCGCTGGCGCATGTTCCAAATTGGTCATTTTTCACTCCGGTTCCTCTCTCCGTCCCGACGTTGTGCTTGAAAGAGAGATGTGCAACCTAGTGAGTTGATACGTCGATTCTTGGGCTTATTCATAAGGTTGTGGTGTTGCGTTTTTGTTGCAGCTGTGTCGAGCAGTCCTGCTTGCTACTGTTGTTGCTTTAATTTGCCTTGAGGAAACATATTTTTATTTTGCTGAGGAAACATATTTTTCCTTTGCTTTGACAATTGGTTTAGGTAATTTTCGGTGATTTTCTAGGGATTCCTTTTTGCATTAGGGTTTAGTACTGCACCTGCAGTTACGGGTATTCTGCTTTTGAACCTTCTCCTTTGTATAGAGCAGTGCAACCCCAATGAGTTGCATCGTGTTCTTGGCCTTAGTGCCTTTAGTGGTGCGCTCCGTTTGCCAGAGTTTCCTTTGCTGCGTTTCTGACTATTTGCGCTACTGGGCTTCTTTGAGGCATTGATTATGGAAGCTTAAAACAGCCCTGTGAGTTGTTTTCTGGTTCCTGGTTCAGTTGAGATTTGTTTTCGACAACTAAGTGTGTTGTTCTTAATTCTGCTGTTAATTAATTGGTTTGGGGATTCTATATTGCTATAATGAAGTGGGTACAGTTACTGGAGTTATGGTATTGTGCTTTGCTTGAAAGCTGTAGGTTGTAACAAGTTGAAGAGGCAATGGATTAACATCTAATGCTCCAAATTTTGAAGGGGGAGTGTTAAGGATTAGTTATAAATAGAGTTCTATTTAGGAGTTTAAGATTCGCTAATTAAGTTTATGATTTGTATTCCTAAATTCCTAGCATAGGAATTTCCTTATATATATGACCTTTGTAATCCGATTGATTGAGTACGAAAAGAAATTACAATTACATAATATGTTTCTCTCGCAACACTCCTTATGTGTATGTGCCATCTGAGAATGGTGTGTAATTGTACATGCCTTTTCTGACCTTTTGTTTGTCTGAATAATGTGTTTTTAAAAATGTAGAATTCTGATCTGATACCTTTCTTTGAAAAGAAATAGAGAAAAATGGCATAAATGCAAGTATTCATATTAGGCCGTGTTTTGCATGAAAAGCATTGCTTACACTAATCTCTTGATCTTTTTCTGTGAGCATTTTCTTTGGGTCTACAATTTCATATTAGAAGACGTGTTTTGCATGAAAAGCATTTTTTACAAATCTCTTTTGGATCTTATTTTGGTAGGCATTTATCTATGCTCCAATTTGAGGGGGAGTGTTAAGGATTAGTTATAAATAGAGTTCTATTAGGAGTTAGATTCCTAATTAGTTTATGATTTGTATTCCTAAATTCCTAGCATAGGAATTCCTTATATATAGACCTTTGTAATCGATTGATGAGATACAAGAAATACAATTACAATATGTTCTCTCAACACTCCTTATGTGTATGTGCATCTGAGAATGGTGTGTAATTGTACATGCCTTTTCTGACTTTTTGTTGTCTGAATAATTGGGTAAAATGTAGAATTCTGATCTGAACCTTTCTTGAAAAGAAATAGAGAAAATGGCATATGCAAGTATTCATATTAGGCGTGTTTGCATGAAAAGCATTGCTTACACTATCTCTTGATCTTTTTCTGGAGCATTTTCTTTGGGTCTAACATTCATATTAGACGTGTTTGCATGAAAAGCATTTTTTACAATCTCTTTTGATCTTATTTTGGAGCATTTTCTTTGGGTCTAATGGCTGATTACACAAATAGAGGACAGCCTTTCCTCTTCTTAAATCCCCCAATTATAGGTCTAGATCTCAGTTTGCTACATTCACCAGATTGAGATTTCTTCATCTGAGTTTGTCGGCATCCATCTGATTTTGGGACTCTGTAGCTATAAGCCAAAGCTGACATTTTTCTCATTTATGTTCTTTGCTACCTTATCTGTGAATAAATGTGAGCATCTCACTTTGAGTTCATATGCATTTTAGGGACAACAATCTTGGATGCCATTAAAAGGGCAGTGGGAGAGACAGCAGAAGTTGTATATGAGAAATATCCATCACCAGAAACCTTAGCATGCCAAGATTTTTCGTATGCCATTGTAGCTGTTGGTGAAGGTCCATATGCAGAATTCACTGGTGACAATTCAGAGCTTGTGATCCCCTTCGATGGAACTGATGTGATTAGTTCAGTTGCAGATAGAATCCCCACCCTGGCAATTCTGATATCCGGAAGACCTCTAGTTCTAGAGGCATGGCTCTTAGAAAAGATAGATGCTTTTGTTGCTGCTTGGTTGCCTGGAACTGAAGGGTCAGGAATTACAGATGTTATATTTGGAGATTATGAATTTAAGGGCCGATTGCCAGTGACATGGTTTAAGAAGGTTGAACAGCTACCTATGAATAGTAGAGATAATTCATATGATCCTTTATTTCCCTTTGGTTTTGGTTTGACATACAATGGAGAGAAATCTTTGGACTAATTCATCTGAAGATCAAGGCTGGCCCTAGGTCCAAGTTTCCTGAATAAATTATGGATGCAAGTGGATTTTCCATGAATAAGTGCCTGCCTTGATACTTGTGTTTTCGTGTGTCATACTCCAAAAGTATGTATTTATTTCACTGTGATCCACATCTGTTGGTGATATTCGTATCAACTGTGTATTAGAGGCGGTACTTCTTCCATTTCCAAGTTGTTTCATGGTTAGTTGAAAAGGGATAATCATCATGGTAGTTGGGTAAGGATTATCAAGGTGGCAAAAATCAGTTGTGCTTGTGAGATGTGCGTGTAGATGCAAAGGATCACATCAGTACAGAAGGTTTACATCTATCAATAAAAAAGTTCAGAAGACAGAGAATTGTAGTATCAGATTCCAACCAGTATTATTGATCATGGTATGCCCCTTTTATTATACCATTTACTCAAAGATGCCCCAATTTGTGGTAGTGTAATCTATTTCTTTCTACTCAAAGGCGTATAAAATTTTTATGATTGTACTATTTTTGTTGTTGAGATTAATGTATGCTTTCACATTGTTCTTTTTCTTCTTTAATGTGTAAAGTAATTACTCCCAGATCTCTGTGGACCAGTGAAGCTGCGTAGCGAATCAAAATTTCTCAAGTAGGCAACCTCACTGAACTTTTTCCTTCGGCAACAAATTATGGTTTCACTTATATATAAAAGTACTACACCATTTTGCTGAAATAATTCTGAGAGAAGAATCAGAATATAGTTCAGAAACTAGGGAGGCAGAGGATAACCGAAAGTGTGAAGACTTTGATTTGTAACTAGTTAAGGTGCTGATGGAAATAGGAATAAAGGGTACTAGGCGCTTTCCTGTACAAATTGCAGAAAGGCCTTTCCTTTTAAGAAAGGTGGTGGTTTGCTTTGTCATTTCCTGTGGAAAAGCTTGTTGAAATGACCCTATTGCTCAAAAAAAAATAAAAGAGGGGAAAAATTGAGGATGACAACCTATTGAACATGTTTGTCCTTCATAGTATAAAATAATAAAATATATAAAAGATTAATATAAAAATATATTAAACTTCTAAATAAATTTTAATTGACGGATAAATAGAGATTCCTACCATTTTTGTCCATTTATAATTATCTCTCTATCGATATAAACATTTTCAATTAAACCTATTGGGCATGATTACACAATTTATTCACTACTCAACTCAATTTGTGAGAGTTTAACGATCCTGTACTCTTTTGCTTAAGGGAAGGAATGGATATACCAAATGCTAATAACTGGGCATGGTTAGTTGAATTTTTATGATAGTTGCTTCCTTGAAGTCGAAACAATAGAGCCGATAGAACCAAAATAGGAAAACAGTAATGAGAAAGCATCAATTCACCAGAACTTTTTAACTTTGTTTTTACCATTTGTCTGTTTTGGTTTGATTCTATCCCTTAATACGTTATAGCAAGTTCACTTTGCATATGATAATTAAGGTTGTGTTCGGCAATAACTTTTTAAGTAATTTTTAGTATTTTGTCCGGTCAAAACTCTAAACGCTATTTTTTTCATAATATTCAGTAACATAGCGTTTGAACTAGTTTTTAGAGATTTAGGTAGCGTTTTATAAAGTTTACCGTGTAAGGTTTACGAAAAACTATTCAAACAGCTAATAGATAAACGCTATTAAAACAACTAACAACTATCAAAACAGCTAGTTTTGTTGAACAAAACTTAATATTTGCATATATTGTTTGTTTGGTATTTCACTTATGATGTGTAAAGAAAAGAAAAAGTTTATTTTATTCTCTTGGATTCAATTTTATAGATTAAATATAACTAAATCAAATTCTATCATGTCCGTGAGATACTAGATCATTTATTCCAAACCGGAAAATTAGTATCGATTGGAATGTCAATAAACTTTGCAGTATAATTTTGTAATTCTACAAGAATAATAGGTAATTAATTCATAAAAAAAAATATAGGCTAAGTTGTGTTGAGTTGATGTCATTAGTAGTTCATTGATCATCATTACTTATTTTTTCTCTATAAGATGAAAAATCATTAACTAGAAGTTATGATTGATTAAAGAAGATTAATTGTGATCAAGTGAGTGAGCTTTGGAGAGTGAAAATAAGTGCTTTCATTGAACTTCATAATGGTAAATAATCATAACAACTTTGTCTTATTAGAGACAAACTATTAGTTCAACATTGCAATTAATTAGGAAGAAGATACTTTTTTCTTTCTTTCTTTTTGGAAGACTGGAGAAAACTTAATGGTCAATGAAAAATTTCCAGGACAAAAGAGAATCTCTATGCCCATTTGGAGATTTTAAAAAAAATAATAATAAAAAATAAAAAATAAAAACTTGGTGGAAATGGAATGATTAAGAAAAGGCAAATGGTACTCTTTTCACCTAGTGAAAAGCAAAAATAGTTTGTCCCCTAGGATCGCCTCATAAATGAAGCTTCTCAAATAGATAATAATGAATCTTTTAATGATGTTTTAATATAAGTTAGTAGAAACCGTACAATGAGAATCACAATACAATGTTGCTTTTCATGGACTTAAGACATTCTTATACGAGTGTAGTAATCTTGCCACCAAGGATTGACAATCAAGTGGAGTTAGAGCAAAGAAAACCCACAAATCAAAATTAATTTATTAAATAATGACATGGGTAATCTAGCCTGAATCCTTATTTGTACTATATTATGTTAATTTAATCAATAATTTATACTCCTAAAAGGGGTCTTCTTCTTTCTAGGAGGATCTCTTGAGAAAGATCCAATAATGAGAAAAGATCAATTAGAGAAAAAACTAAAAAGAAAAAGAAAAAGGGGGATTGAAGAATGTGATGCTTTAATTTAGTGGAGTGTAGAGTCAGCCTCTACCTTGATTTGAAGGTCAATACTAGTCAACTAGGGCATTTTAGGTGCACATAAACTTGATTAGTGAGTCTGTCTGCAATGGCTTATTAGAAAATAAATAGCCATTAGGAGCAGAAGTTGGTTCCATCATATATATGGACCAAGCTGACTAACGAGTTACTCCAAGCTCGGCTCAATAGAAGCTTGTTCAAGCTCATATTTTAGAAGTCATTTAGTAAATGAGCCAAGCCTAAAACTAAGTAAAGCTGGACTCTTTTAGTAATGAGATTAGCCAGAACTTAGCTCATTTGCAGCCCTACTAACCATTAATACATAATTTTCTTTCTTACTCCTGCAATTCTGCAGTTTGGACCAAAACTGAGGTTGATCAACTGTCAAACTGAAGGGGAAAAAGAAAAAAAAAAAAAAAATTAGAAGTTAAGTGGTTAAATTTAACAGATTGTATTATTACTAATAATATGCTCATAAAATTCATAACCTATTTATGCATCAAAAACTACATGTAGAAAAAAGTATAAACATATTAGCTTTCAACTTATAATGAAGATGCTTATCGCGCCGGATTCCTTTATTTCATATTCTCCACTTGAACTTAGAATTCCATAAGTTTGCTTATTGGTCCTTACAGTTCTGTTTCTGCATTCTTCTAATCTTATCTTGGAGGTAGGAACCATCTTTAAGGTATCAGATAATGGAGCAGGCAGGATGGCAACTGTAAAGCCTAGTCTCACTTCAGAATCATGTTCTAAACTCTTTTAGAACAACAATATTCATTGAACATACGTTCGCCCATTCTCATTTGGATAGACTTCACCAATCCCTACATTGAACAAATGATTTTTCAACAAAAAGCACAAAGCATAACCCAGATTGGAGAATCTTCCCTCTCAGTTTAATAATTCACAAATGAAATGCCAAAGCAAACAGAATCTTTTATCCTCCAAGTTCAAGTACCACATATGGACTAAACTTGAGTTCTTGATGACATATACACAAAATACCCAGAAAAAAGAGATAAAGAAAGGGTTAAAGTGGGAAAGAGGAGCCGCTTAGACAAAGCTATACCAGTGAACTAAATAAATTGCAGTCTCATCCATGAGGGTAATGTTGTGCAGATTGCATTTGAAAAGCTATACTTTGAGGATGTCCAATGTAAGGCTCATGAACTGCACCTCTATGCATATTATGAGCTTGCATTTTAAGTCCATATGAGTTAATCCCGTAAGGCAAAGAAGACATAAACATATTTCCATGCGTAGAATTGAAAGCCATTGTTGCTGCTCCACTATTAGATTGATTCCACTGAAAATGTGTTCTAGGCATGGCAACAGAATTTGTCTGCTGTGAAAGCACCATAGACTGATCAGGTGAAGGTGCTCGTTTATTGTCCGGAGAAGGAGTTCTAATCTCATTTAGGTTAACTGTTGTTATATCATGAATGCTAGCTCTTCTCTTATCTTTGCCTCCTGAAAGCTGCCTGATAAAATACTTCTGTGCATGACTAGCTACCTGGGTTGGTGTTCTAGTTACTACAAAATTTCTTGATATGTTTCTCCAGTCTCCTTTGCCATATTTTTTCAAACCCATCAGAAACAGCCTGCAGACATTTGAATTGTCATGATTTGCAGTTTATGAACTTATAATTATGATTAAGGTAGAGAAACAATTAGAATTTAATACAGAGTTATATTAGCTGCCAAAAACATGTCTATAGTACAAAGCTCCGTAAATAAATCAACAGGAGAAATAATTCAAAAGAATCTTAGTACATCTTTGTTCTCTTCCAAATTAGATTCTAGCATGGATTATATTGTCTCTCTCTACCCAAAACCAGTTACAAGTACTAAAACTACAGTGTTCACCCTCCTTAAAATCAAGAAATGAAAAATCAAGATTCCAAAAGAAAAGGATTTGCTTCTTTCTCAGCTGATAATTTTTTCCATTCTAAAACATAAAATTCAATTAAAACAAGAAAAGATTAATCAGAGAAACCTGAACAGCAATAGCAAAAAATATATATGTTATGTATAGAAAAACTTACTTATGCTCCTCCTCTGTCCATGGAACTCCTTTCTTTCTCTCCTGATCAGCCGGTCGACCGGAAGAAGATCTCTTTCCACCGAGAGCGTAAGATTGTTTGTAACCATCATAGGTGTTATTATTAACCCAATCCAATGTGAAAGGAGTGGTACTATATCCAGGAATTGGAATTAAACCTGCCTCTATATTACTAATATCAACTTCTAATTCTTTATACTGCTTCATCACATCTCCTACAGTTTTCCCAGGAAGCATAGCAGCAACTCTGTGCCATCTATCAGGAGTATCCTTATCATAAACTGCCAGGGCATTTTCAAAAATCTTGTTCTCTGCTGGAGTCCATTTGGTGCTTTTGCTCTCTTCCATAACCCAATTTGGATATGATGTAGGTGAAAGAACTTCCATTTCCCACTTCATTGGATCAAATTAATTAAGAGACAAAAAATATTATAACATACTGGAGAATTTGAAAAGAATCAGAAATTCCCTTGTGAAAAAAAAAATTGGGTAAGAGTGAAACAGAGAAAGAGGAAAACAGAACCTAAATAGGAAATGCAGAGAGGTGGAGATTTCACAAAAAAAATATCAGTGTTAAATCAGGAAGCATTAGAGAGGAATCAGAATAGCTTTTTATTGTGGTATAATCATACTCTTGAGGAATCTAGAAAGGGACCGACTTTTTCCAAACACCAAAGAAAATATTAGTAAGACTAAACTAAAATAGTCTTACAATATTCGAAGATGGAACCCTAGAACCACTACTGAGATCTATACCCATTTAAACTTCCATGGGAAGCAAAACTAGGAAACTTAGCAAAAAGAGTAAAAACCCAGAAACAAACTGAACAGAACCAGCACAGAATTTGAAAAGATGAAAGCTTTAATGGTGAAAAGTGAAAATTAACACCAAAGCTTCAATCTTTGAAATATACCTGTACGAGAGTAGGAAGGAAAGAAAAGAAGCCAAAGCTTTAAAAAGAAAAGGTGGAAATGGAAAACCCAGGTGGAAAAACAACTTAGAAACAGTGATTCTCTGAAGAGTTAAGAGAAGTGAAAAAAGCAGCGAAAAGATCTGTCTGCTTTGCTTTCTTCCTTTTCCTTGAGGTTAGAGCAACAAAGAAAAGAGAAGAAATAAAAAGAAAAAAATATAAGCACTATAGTGAAATGAGAAAGGGAGAGAACGCTACAATAATATCAAGCTCAAAAGCAAGGTACCCAGCTCCAAGGAATGAATCTAAGCTTTTTAGCATTTGCTAAAATCTCGAAGAGAGAGAGACTGAAGGTGGTGGGCTGTGATTGGAGGATATGGGGTCTATGGATACTGCAAGAATGGAAAAAGTTCCCTCTTATTATAATTGTCACTCTCTCTGTTTCTCTAATTTTTATTAATATTTAAAGAAGAAAAAAAAATACTCTAATAAAATTTAGTTATGAATTTGGCTTTGTTCATTCAAAATGAAAGAAGCTCACCTGTTCTGAACTACTGATCTGGACCGTCTGATAGAACAACCGAGATGAAGATCAACCACTCTTGATCTAAGTGATTTATATGTTTTCTCTTCTTCTTTTTTTTTTTTTTTTAGAACTGAAGGTGGTGGGCTGTGATTGAGGATTATGGGGTCTATGGATACCTGCAAGAATGGATTAAAAGGTTCCCTTCTTATTATAATTGTTTATCTCCTCTGTTTCTCTAATTTTTTTAATAATTTTTAAAATGGAAGAAAAAAATACTCCTAATAAAATTTAGTTATGAATTTGGCTTGTTCATCTCAAATGTAGTAAAGAAAAAGACTGCACCTGTTCTGAACTACTGATCTGGACGTCTGAATAGAACAACCGAGATGAAGATCAACCACTCTTGATCCTAAAGTGATTTATAATTGTTTTTCTTCTTCTTTTTTTTTTTTTTTTGGTTTTTCTTGTCCTGATTATGGTTCAAACTTTAATAGGGTTTTTCAAAAAAAAAAAGAATATATATTAATCACTAGATATATATATATTTTGAATTTTCAACGGGTAGCCGCCAAAATATATATATTTGAATTTTCAACGGGTAGCCGCCAAAGGAACGGTTCAGATCAAGAAATAGTAAAATCAGAGCAAAGAAGGTGTGGGGCCCACACACGGTTACAACACTTCTTATTGGGCAGTCTCCTACATAATTGAACAGGTTATGATCTCTAGGAACCGTGTCCTTGAAACCAGCCTGATTTGAGTACGTGGCATGATATCATTGGTCAAGACAAAACTTCCTAAGATTGTCCAACAAGCACAGCTACGCCTACTATAGCATCATGTAGCCATTCATTTGGACCGTTCATATATGGCATTAGGCAACACCACCTTGTATGTGGGGCTTTATGTGCACATTGCACCATGTTCAATGTATGAAGCTAGACTCAATATCTGAAAGTGCGAAAATATAAATTTAATCTCTAAAGATCGCACTTTATTAAAAAAAGGTAAAAATTTTTATGTTATATAGTTCCAAGGAAGGAAGTAAACCTACCAATTATACTATAAAAGCTAGATAGGAATCAAAATGGTTACAAGCACTTTAAAACCCCCCGCCCCCTCTCCCTCGATTTACTGAATTTTAATCATTAAGTTAAAGATATTTAAGTGTTATTAGGATTATCTATTAGTTGTTTTATTATTATTCCAGTAGATATATATTTATCAATAGCAAATAGTACTTGTGAGGTTTGATTATCATGGCTTAGATCATGGGTTTGATCCTCCGAAATCTTCTTGAGCCAGCCCCTTTACCTCTTAAGACGAGCGATGATTAATAAGTTTAAATACCGTTAAAACGAAACTAGGCCTGGATATCCTGTGTACATATAAAAAAAAAAAAAAAAAAAAAAAAAAAAAATAATAAGTTTAAAATTTACCACGGTAAAACGAAAAACTAGGCCTTGGATAATCCTGTGTACATAAAAAAAAAAAAAAAAAAAAAAAAAAAAAAAAAGATATGTTCATATCATCACATTAAGGTTTGTTTAGATGCTTATGAATGTGCTTCGAGCTAGTTTATGAACTCTCAAAAGTTTGTCCATTGCTTGTAATGTTAATACACAAGCTAATGTTGAACAGTTGGTGCTTTAAGGGCTTAATGTTTGGAGAAACTTCAGATTTGGGTTATTACCGGGACTATCCTCTGTAGTGGATTGAAACAAAAGAAAAATAAAATTTTTACATATATTTTTAAGGACTAGCTATGGAAACGGATTTAAGGATGGAAACACCTAATGTTATCGATGATGACATAAAAATTTTATTAAAATATGCAGAACAAGCAATATCCACTCAGTCTTTTTACTCCTTGACTTTGTGCAGAGATTGAAAAAATGATGATAGTGGCAAGGATATTAGATGGATAGAAGAGATAGGGGGATATGTTTTAGTAAAGCTCTAAGTCGATCTTCTCACTTGTGTGATGAGTGAGAAGTTTCGAATTCGAACCCTCTCAACTATATGTGTTTTCAGAAATTTAGTGAGTTTGTGAGAGGGCTTACTCCAATCCTGATGTTTCAATCTCACGGGATTGGGAAGACCCTTAGTTGCCAAACTTAGAAAATCCAAAGGTGGCCACTAGCATTAAAATAGGGATCAAACTGTGAGTTATTCGGTTAAGAGTGCCTATAAAGTTAGTTTCTAGTTTTAACTCTCAAAGTTTTGATGGAATTAAACTTTTTTTGAAATAGTTTTGGCTTTTGAAAGGGTACCAAGAACTTGGTTTGGCGTATGGTGTAAGATCTTTGCTTGAGCACCATGTCCAATCAACTAAATGATAAGAACACTCATTTAGATTTAAACTTAAAAAAATATATATTTAATATGGCTGCGGCAGCCGCAAGAGGTTGTGATGTCGCCGCAAAAGGTGGTGTAACCATCACACGTATCTAGCACAATATACTTGACTAATAAATGGGAAGTTTTACCCCTTCTTTCACTATAAATAAGACCGCTTGACCCTGAATTGCACACACCCCAGAATCTCTTGACTGAGTTGTCATCAAGAGCGGTAGCCACAAGAGACTGGGCAACTGCCATAGGCCACCTACAACCACTGCAAAAAGTGGTGTGCCGCCGCACATGTCTGGCGGACTGACACTTACCACAACCTGATTTGCTCCAAATTTTCACTTCCTAGATTGGAAGTTTTGCCTCTTTTCACTATAAAGAGGCAACTAGGCCCACATTTGCAAGCATCCGAAGAATTTCTTTGTTTAATTGTCACAAGATTTTCTGAGATGTTTGCAAACGAGGCCGAATGGCCTATTTTAGTGAAATAGAGGCAAAATTTCTCATTTTTACAAAAGTAATGTTCTTTGTTGATTAATTTTAACAAAAGTAAAGTTGAGGGGCTCAATATCGATAAATAAAAATTAATAGACTCGATGAGCAAAATTGCGACAAATTTAGAAACAAAATTGAGAAAAAAATAATAAAGAAAAATTTTCTCTTTTTTAGAAACAAGGAAAAAAAATTGGAAAAAAAATTTTCTTATTACAATGTCGCTTCGAGCGTATAATGTATAATCTCTTTAAATTTATGAGAAATTAATACACATGTGGTGTAAAATGCGACTATTCATTATTAAATTATTGAAATATCCTATCCTTTTGTATTCACCGTTATTTCTTTTTCACGAATGTTGTAAATATATCGAAAGGCAATAAAGCACTGATACTATATGAAACCCATACAAATGGCTTTACAAATTTTATTATCTTCAATTAAATAATAAACTTTTATTAATAGACCAAATTAATCATTATTAAGCTAAAATAAAAAATGTATTATTAATCATATAAAAATAGGTATAAAATTGTAAATTGCATATATATACTATATTGAACCATACAAATGCTTACAAATTTTATTATCTCAATTAGAATATAACACTTTCTTTAATAGTACCAAATTAATCATTATAGCTAAAAAAAAGAAAAAATGTATGATTAATGCATATAATAAAGATAGGTAATAAAAATGTGTAAAATTTGCAATATTTATATTATGACATATACTATATATATAAAATCTGTACTTGTTTGTACTATTAAAGACTGAATCCTGCCAAGAGGAAAGAAAAGCAATGGGTAGTTTATATATATATATATATATATAAAATTCTGTACTTGTTTTTGTACTATAAACTGAATCCTGCCAGAGAAAGAAAAGCAATGGTAGTTCAACCAATGAGCTGGATCCACGTAACAAGTAAAAATGACCAAAGTATGGGATCAATTATAGCCAATAAGAGACCATTCGGTACTCTTTTTTTGCCACCTCTAAGCCTTGGTTGGCCAGCCACCACCACCTCTAACATCTCCTCAAGCTTTTTCACACAATGTTGGTTAGTGGAATTGAGTAGGAGAATATTGCTTTTCCCACTCTCTATTTAAGCGAGTGCTAATCACGACCCAATTCGTAAAAAGCCAAGTAAACTTTTATTGTTCAAAAATCACGTCAAACTAGCAATCTCCTTTTCTTACTTACCAAGCTTCTTCGTTGCTTGCTTGTGTTACCATCTTGTTTGGCAACAATATTTTAAATAGTATTAAACATTATTTTTTACGATCTTTAATAATATAAAATTTAATTAAATTTTTAAAAATTAATATAATATTTTATAAAAAGTTAACTCATGTAACATTTAATTTTGTAATGTTTTATGAAAAGTTATTCAAACAGTTAATAGCTAAACACTATTAAAATAAATAACAACTATCAAAATAGTTAAATTTATCGACAGACCCTACATGTTTCTTTAATACAATATAATAAAAAAATATAATATAATTAAATGTTAAAAGCAAAGAATTCTAATCAATAAACTTAAATACAATAGGATTAATAAATAATGATTCATTATTTTGAGTATTTTATATGTCATGTAACTATAGGTATTAGGAACAACATGCTAATATATATTCATTCATATATTTTACATAAAAAATTTTATAACACTCTCAAATTTTTATCTTAATTTTTTGAACATTTTAATCTAAAAATATACAAATATTAAATTCTTAACTTATAAAATTATTATATTAAATACTAATTATTAAAATTAAATTAATTAAATATTTATGGTGTCTGCTTAGTCATTTTAATGCTTGACAAGATGGAGCGTGAGAAGTACGCGCTCAGCCTACATAGTTGGTAATAAACCCATTCCTCCTTTGGCTGCCTTGGTAAGCCTCTCAACCAATACAACAAAGCGGTCCCCTTCTGATGTGACCAACTGTTCCACTGCTTTTGTCCTTGTCCCTCTCGCGTCCCCACTTCGCTTCGCACCCTTCTATGTGAAAATCTATCTACCCA